ACAAATAATTAATAAGAACACACCATTCGTGTGCATGAAATATTATTAATCACTCCGAATTTAAATTCTGAAATATAGATCTAAAGGGATCAAATTTTACTACAAAAAAGTATATTAATAACGGAATTCTATCTCTAAAGTTGACGTAGTTTACGCAATTTTCTTTCTAATTTCGTCTTTAATGTTATTAATAACGGAAAAAATGAATTTAAGAATGAAAAAACCTTATTACAAAATTGATATTTTCTTGTTGTGTTAATCCTATGCTTAGTTGACTACAAACTTTGAACTTAATTTATCTGATTTAAAAATAATTCATTTGTTTTTATTGTTTTTCTTAAGAAAAAATAAATTTGCAATTGGGAATGTCAGAAATGATGAAACATGCACAAGTAACATGTTGTTTATCCTCACCCAAATTAATAAGTAAACACAATAAAGCCAAATGGATTACATCTTAGTTAATATTTAAGCATTCAATGATTGCACAATACTTCATCTTCAAGGATTTGTTATTTTATTATGAGTTTATTTTTATATATAACTATTACATTGTGATTATTACCTTATTGATTCTTTGTTACTCATATATTTGAATGAACAATTATTATAAATATATACATGTTATGAAAAAATATAAAAATCTATTGAATTATATCATAAATTGCTTTCAAATCACCCATTTATACATTTATGTAAGATTGCAAATGCAAATGTAAATGTAAATTTAAATTAAATAAACAATAAATTCATTTGTCATTATATTTAATATTGAAAAAAAAATGGTGTAGAGCAAATAAATATGAGTTAAAATTCCTTGTAACAATGATTAACTTTGCACATTGTTACAATATATTTAGAAAATATATATTATATTTAATGTAGTTATCTTATTTAAAAAATTTGTAGGATTATTGCATTATTTAAATGATTTGTACATATAAATATGTAGGAATTTTTACGATTGAAATAGAGAATTTCAGTTTCATGGTATCAGAGTCAATTTCTTTTCGGGTATATCCATGACCCGTTATATCCCGTATATATTTTTATGTTTTATTGATATATTTGCTTTTATCCACGATCATGCTATCATTTTCATGCCGTCCGTCTCTACTATTTCGATCTCCACTGACAGAGTTCTACTTTCAACTCTGACGCAGTTGAGAGTCCTATTTTCGACTCTAACTCTATTGAGAGTGAGTGAGTCATGTTTCCGACTTTAGCTCTGTTGTGAGCGAGTCAGTCCTATTTCCGATTTTAGTTCCGTTGTGAACGAGTGAGTCACGTTTCAAACTCTAACGGTGTTGAGTTCCGATTCTGACTCTGATCCGGTGGACGGCTACACCACTTTCGGTCAATCTTGGCAAATTCAAGTTCGTTCGTGAAAGATCTCGACTATATTTTTTTTCTGTCACTTTTGACAAACTCAAGTTTATTCGATCATTTATTGAGTTTGAGGAGATTTAAAAAATATACATTATATTTATGGTAGTTATCTTATTTAAGAGTTTTGTAGGATTCTTGCATTATTTAAATAATTTGTAAGTCATTATAAATATGTACGAATTCTTATGATTGAAATAGAAAATTTCAGTTTCATATTCTAACACACATCACCAAAATTAAAAATTTGTTGCTTTCTAACTAAGACAAGTTTTATGTCTAGAATTATTTCACACAAAAAGTTCCTTAAAATTTAGACAAATTCAATTGCGAAATAATTTCCACAATTATATAAAAGTCCACTTTCAATTCCTTCTAAAATTGGGAAAGTTCACAGCAAAATATAATTACCATTGCTTCTTCTACAAACTAAATAATTATACTTCCACTATATTTTAATTTTATTTAAATAAATAAATTTAAAGAATAGCACTATGAAAATGGACAAAAAACACTAACGACCAGAAACATGGCCATGTCTGCACAAAAATTGTGTAATAATTCTAACACAAAAAAAAGGTTTAATTTTGCCAGTTTGGACACATATCTTATCCCTTTTCTTCATTTTATGGTCTCCCTCTCATTATTACATCATCATTTATCTTCATTCATTCTTTATTTATTTTTATTTTTTTTGTAACTTTGGTTATAGTTTTAATTTGATCCAATTAGCAGATAAAAAATAAATAGATAGGAATTCATATTTTTATATTTTTTAAAAAAAGAAGTTAAAATAGAAAAATTAAATTAAATTCCAAAAACATGCACCCAAATTTTTAATTAAATGATTAATGGCCCTACATATAATTAGACACAAATTAAAAATAGAAATATATATATTATCATTATTTTGCAAGAAAATTGTGGGCCGCCAAGCAGCCATCACATAAATATTCTTCCATGTGACATTTTGTTGAGTATAATAATACTTTAAATTTCAATAATTGGGTGACGAGGAAATGTTGTGAAATGATCTTAACTTACTAAGGGAAAAAAAAAAAAAAAGTACTTTGCACGGAAAATGATAAATAGATTTGCAAAATAATTCACCTTTTTTTTTTAAAGTAAATATATATTAAAATAATTATTTTAATTTGAAATTTTATTATTCAAAATTCAAAAGCCATAGGGTGTATGTATTCTTGCTGTTGTTACAAAAATGATAGTTCAATCATTGTCCTTTGTGCCATTATTTATTTTAATTACATGGAAAATTCCAGACATTGGAGTTATCCATTTTATTTTAAATTTGGATTCAATATATTTATATGTACATATTTATTTCACAAAAAAATGAGTGTAATAATGGTTGGGTGCAAAAACAGCCGCAACCAAACAGAGCATTCTTATGCGGGGCCCACGTGAGGTGGTCGTAGGCTCGTAGGTATCTACTTTACGTGGGGTCCGAGGTGGCCCTAGAGGGAGGTCGTTGTCTGCCACGTCAGAAAAGGTGCCAGCGTGTATCTTGTTGGTTCCAGCTGTACTTGGGGATTGGGGAACGTACGATATTCGATATACTCTATTTTCAATTTTCATTTTATTTGAATAAAATACGTTTAATTTATGCCTCGGACAACTTCGCTCGTGCTGGAAATACAATAATATTCGTCGTGTTTATCTATTTACTTTTTAAATTAATTTATACATATATATATTTTTGTGTGAAAATTACCGAATAATTTGTCGATTATTACAGCAGTAGAAATACTGATCTTTATTTATAATTGAATTGTGATTTTTTTTTTTTTATTGTACATTTACAAAAATATTTGATATCAGTAATAATAATATTTGATATAAGTTATTTATTTATATAGCAACAGCTGGCGTCCGCGAAGCACTAAGCACGCCTTTTAATCACTGGGAAAATAACAAAATTCCCATTCCAAAATTATATGAAAAATATAAATGTTCTACAAATAGTCAAATCTTAAATTTGTTAAAATTTAATTCTATATTTATTTTTAAATAATAAATTACTATTATTTTGCATGCCAGGGTGGAATTGGCAATAAATAATCCCCAATTGAAAGTACACTGTGTCATCAGTTCTTTCCTAAAGCTTTTTGGCAATAATTCATTACAAAATTACAATTAATAATTACTGTTATACTATAAATAAATTGTTAGCCCATCCCCATCCATCAAAAGTCAATTTCGACATTTTAAATTACTAACCAATTTTATTTATTTATTTATTTTTAATTAAATCAATTATGTGACACACAAACTGCACGCACATTTAATTTAAGACTTCAAATTTTGGAATGACTGCGATCCTATAGCTGGAAATAAAATTTTTTATTAAAAAATATAGTTTCAAACAAGAAAATGTATTTAAAAATAATTTAAATTATATATATATATATATATACATACTTTGTAATGGAAGTGTGATGGCTGATACTGCCATGACTCGACTAACTTGCATGTCAAATTTCCAGCTCTTTCATAGCCAAATTATTAAATTCTACATTATTTATTTATTTTTATTGTTTTTATAGTGTTTACTAATTCCATCCATTTTTATTATTAAAAAGATAATAACGTAGGTGACGAAATTATATTATGTTATATTCGACACTTTCTTCTATTTCAACCAATTCAAAATTCAAAAATATATCTAAATAAATACTCTTAATGTCCAAGAGGAATGTATCTTTTTTATTCCACTAATATATTTCTTTAGTTTTTTTATCCATTTTTTTTTAAAAAATAAATAATACCTTTATAAATTAACATATTTATAGCAATATAATTGATCAATAAAATTTCTAAAAACAATCATAAGTCAGTAAAAATGTGTTTATCATTACACTCAACACAATTAATTTTACATATAATTAGTACTATTATTTTTAAATTCCGTACAAAACATATTTGATAAAAATATGAAATATAATGATTTCAGTGTATATATATATATATATATATATTATATTTTACAAGCAAATGGATGTTTTGAACCTGGATAAATCTAAGAAGGAAAAAAAAAAAAAAGTATGTTTGTTATGTATTTTCTTGCATGTTTCTAATTATTCAATTCGCAATTAAGATAACATATATATAATTTCCAATCTTATTAACTATTGTATAAAACATAGATTTCGAGTTTGTTTAATTTTAGCTTGAAATTGATTTAAAATAAAATATTTACTTTTTTATTTTTTTTAAAAAAAAATGGTATATATTTTATTAAAATTATAAAGGATAAGTAATATTGATTTAAATTTGAAAGCACAAAAGAACAAAATCACCGAAAATATTTTGTAATATAGTTTATTATGTTAATTATATTACAATAATAATAAATAAAATACAATATTTCAAAAAAAAAAAACGTGAGAATCACAATGATGATTTTTTTAAAAAATAATTCATACAAAGAAAAAAATAAAAAATCTCCAAGCACTCTCAAAATGAACTCGAAAGTCCAAAACACATCCAAAGTAAACGTTGGAATTATAAAAAAAAAAAACAAAGAGATTCCATTAAAAGAGAAAGCATTATAAATAGAGCAGAGGGAATACTTATTGCAGCATTGTACACCCAAAATAAAAATAAAAAAGTAAATAATTTTTTGAAAACACACAAACAAACGTTCTGACAAACCCACACACAAAAGCCACAACCTTTGTCCGACTCCGACTGACTCCATTTTATTATTCAGCAGCCTTCCCCTCCTCCTCCCTCTCCCCCTTCCCCGTCGGGTTTCGTGTCCCTCTCCCAATCTTCCGACGGAAGCCATTATGCTCAAAAATCGATTCCATTAACAATCTTCAGACACGCAGCTGGAGGAGGGTTTTAATTTCTTCTTGTCCGAAAATGGCGGTTTCGAAGAGCCACAAGAAGAAGAAGCAGCAGAGCTACATTTCAGTCCCTTCCCAGATAATAAACTCGATCTCGCAGTCATCTCTCGAATCATTACTGCATTCCCCGAAGAAGAAGAAGCAGCATCACTCGAACCATTTGAGGCTTGTCCTGAAGAATCCCTGCTTTATTATTACATTCTCGATTTTTTCGTTTGGTGTTTTCCTTATGCTGCGGATGTGGCCCAAATTCGATCCTTTAATGCCCTTTTCGCGCAACCCCTGCGCCGTTTCGCAAGAAAATAATGTCGATAAGCTTGTGGGTTCTTCTCCGGCGAGTTTTGTGGAGGACGACGCCGAAACGGCGTCGTTTTGGAGGCAGCCAGATGGGATGGGGTACAAGCCCTGTCTCGATTTCAGCAGAGGGTATAGAGAGGATAGCCGCGGGATTGTCGGGGATAGGACAAAGTATCTTCTTGTCGTGGTTTCAGGAGGGCTTAATCAGCAGAGGAATCAGATTGTCGATGCTGTTGTGATTGCAAGAATTCTTGGGGCGGCTTTGGTCGTGCCGATTTTGCAAGTCAATGTCATTTGGGGAGATGAAAGGTGGATAAGGATTTGCTTGATCGATTGATCGAATGTTCTTTTGACCATTTTCTTGAATTGTCCTGAACTTGTTCGATTGTAGTAATTTTGATGATCGTTGGTTGTGATGGAATGATCTGTTTTTGCAGTGAGTTTTCGGATATATTCGATTTGGATCATTTCAAGAGTGTCCTGGCAAATGATGTGAGGATAGTTTCGTCGCTTCCCTCAACACATTTGATGACGAGGCCCGTCGCCGAGAGCAGGACTCCGCTCCATGTGTCGCCGGAGTGGATTCGATCGCGCTATCTTAGACGTGTAAGGGAATTTACAACATTGTTTGATGATCGTGGCAGCTCGTTTATGTCATTACATTATTACATTTGCATAACTTGCTTGAACAAGTCTTCCTTATTACCATAAAAAACTCCTTAAAAACATCATCTTTTGGCCAGGCGGCCGGCACGATTCAGCTGATCCTTATTTAAATGTCGTGAAGATAAAAAAGGAGGGAAAATTTTGAATTTGTCCTATTACTTTGTTCTTGTCTAAACTCGAAGATATTTGATGTAATGTAGATTAGGAGAGACGGCGTGCTGCTGCTGCGCGGCTTAGATTCGAGGCTGTCCAAAGATCTCTCGTCCGATCTTCAGAAGCTTCGCTGCAAGGTTTCTTACAACACCTTATTTCGTCGCACTTTATGTTTCGGAGGTTTGATATAAATAGATGTTGATGTGCTGTTTTGAATATAAAATAAACTTGTAGTAAAAATCTGAGGTAAAACCCATAAAAGAACACAACCTAAACTTTTTTCACATTGCAGGTTGCATTTCATGCTTTGCGATTTGCCCCGCGCATCTTAGAGCTCGGAGATAAGCTAACCAAGAGAATGCAAAGCAAGGGACCGTATCTCGCCCTTCACCTACGGATGGAAAAAGACGTGTGGGTGCGAACAGGGTGTCTTCCCGGGCTTAGCGCTGAATACGACGAGATTATAAGTAATGAAAGAAAGGCACACCCGAAGCTCTTGACGTCGCGCTCGAACATGACCTACCGTGAAAGAAAGCTCGCCGGTCTTTGCCCCTTGAACGCGTTGGAGGTCGCAAGGTGAGACTACGAAATTTTTTACTATTTGGACTTCGTAAAAAATTACGTTTCGGTCAAAAGGGTCTTGATTTTTCTTTATTCGAACGGTTTTGGCGCATTCGATTAGGTTGCTTAAAGCGTTGGGCGCGCCTAAAAGCATGATGATCTATTGGGCGGGGGGGATTCCGTTGGGGGGTAAAGAGGCGTTGCTGCCGTTGACAATGGATTTCCCGAATTTCTACAATAAGGAAGATCTTGCATTGCCGGGGGAGCTCGAGCCGTTCGTCGGGAAGGCTTCCCTGAGTGCTGCGATCGACTCGATCGTCGCTGAAAGAAGCACTGTGTTCATGGCGTCGCACGGTGGAAACATGGGCCACGCGATTCAGGTACGTCGTTACCGTTTGTCGTTTTTGCAATGCGATGTTGCTGGGGACTCTTGCTTACGAGAGTCTCGTCGTGTCTGATTGAAACAGGGATATAGAGCCTATGCGGGGCATAAAAAGACCGTAATCCCGAACAAGCGACAGATGCTCGCGCATTTCATGGACGCATCTCTCTCCGAACCCGAGTTTAATAAGATCATACTTGATTTGCACGGGGACTCGATGGGGCAGCCCGAGCTTAGGACGAGCAAAGTCGGGAGGGACGTTACTAAGTATCCGATTCCCGAGTGCATGTGCAACGCAACGATCCCGGGTTCTTCATAAACCAAGAAATGGACTTCGGAAGAGCATCAAACAAGATAAAACTCGCACCGGCGCAATCACTTCTAGTAAAAAGTCGACCCACAGTTCACCGGGAGAGCATTCTGCAGCAAGACGATGGCTTTCGACGACTAGATTCGGTGTCTTGCTTGTGTATGTACTGAGGAAGAAGGAACTTTGGCAGAGTATGGTGTAATATAAGCAGGGCTCTATTGATTTCTCCCTGGTCTATGATGTCTGAATTCCTACGAGGGAGCTAGCTGTATAGGAAGGACATGAACTTATATATGTATTCTTTACATTCCATTTATTCTTTATGTTGTAGCAGTTAACAGAAATCTCGTATGGAATAGAGCTGTTTATTAGAATACGAATGGGTTTCCGATATCGATAACACAAAAACAACCTAAGTCATCTGGACTTTCGAACAATGCATCGAGAAACAATCGTTCATGGAAATGTTCGGTGTAAAGGCAACAATTCTAAACTATACAAGACAATGTCAACAACAGATTTGTCGCAGATAACTCAAAAGATACATCCTTCAAGTAGAATTGCGCATACAACATAAAAAATACATTCGGAAAAACAAGAGATCTGAACAATACAGCAAAACAACACAAGATATAGCAACTGAGCTAACCCGAATAGGAAATTATGTCTTGTAGCAACTGATCGATGTGGATGAGGCAGTTCTGGCCAGTGCTAGTAGAAGTCTTCAATCCTGATCCTGACCATTGCTTATACATAATATAATCGAACATAGGGAGCATTTTAACTCGTAGAAGATGAATGATTTGTAAGAAAATAAACGAAATCGAATGATCTGATATAAAGTGGAAGTTCTTGGTAGACTCATGAAAGAATAACTGCACATCATTCTCAAGAACTGGATACAATAAAGACCGTATACCGACAGTCAGAAGCTCGATTCTTCTGCCTGCGAAAGAAAAGCTGCTATCTTGTTTCCACCAGTGAAGAAGTCCGGTCAGCAGCAGGCTGCCATAATGGTGAAAGTGCTACAACTTTCCCGATGATGATCAAGGTCGGCGAGACCAACTGCTGCGCGGCGATCTCATCAGCAAGATCCTTCAGTGCAGCAAACACCTAATCACCGAAAATACATCAAACAATTATGAGAATGGTGTGTTATACAAAAATGAACTTTTTAAATTCTGTGGTGGTAAGCAAAATGCTCACAATTCGCTGGTGGGGTGTGGTTCCTCGCTCGATAGCAGCAGCAGGCGTGTCATCAGGCAAGCCATAGAACATCAGCTTCGCAGCCAGGGAAGGGAGCGTCGCGAGACCCATATACACGATAAGAGTGCAATCAGGATCAGCGGCACTCTCTGCGACGTACAGAGGATCTGTACCTCCCTTTCTGGAGTGGCCGGTGAGAAATCTGACGCTGTTCGCCACACCTCTGTGTGTCAATGGAATCCCTAACTCTGCAGCTATTCCTGAGGCAGCTGTTATCCCTGCCACAAAATGAAACTGATTTCGCAACATCTCATCAAACACAAAACGAGATTCGGCTTCGAATTTCAGACAAACATCATACCAGGAATGACTTTAACAGCAATGCCTTGTTGCTGCAGATAATCCATTTCTTCCCCACCCCTTCCAAAAACCTAAAACTCAACAATTTATCATTACAGCCATTCTTAAAAACTAATTCTTGCACAATATATATGTGTTTTCGAAGATGGTTCTATTAGACTTACCAATGGATCCCCACCTTTGAGCCTCACTACATTCGCCCCAGCCTCAGCAAAGCTCAGAAGTAATTCATGAATCTCCTCCTGCTAAAGCCCACATCCATTAATAGTTTATCCATTTCTAATATGAAAACACAAGCAGCATTAATGATTTTGATCTGAAATTGCAAGAATAATTCAACAGATTTAACCAACCTGAGTTCTGCTATGGTACCCTGCAGTCTTGCCAACATACAGAAGCCTAGCATCGGGTCCCACCAAATTCAATACATCGTTTGACACCAACCTGTCGTACAACAAGAGATCAGCCCCCTGGATCACTCGCAAGGCTTTGAGCGTGAGCAATTCCGGGTCCCCAGGTCCCGTCCCCACCAAGAAAACATTTCCGGGTCCTCCTTGCCGGACGCCATTTTCTCTCTCCCTCTTTTCTCTCAGCACGTCGAGTAATTTTCTAAGCTCCGGAAGCTGCAGAGCTATGTCGTAATCCCTGACAAATTCTTCATCTGGAGGAATCGGACAAGAAGCACAAGACGGCTGCTGCTGCTGCTGGGTGTTGTACAGCCAGCTGTCCCGTTTGTACCTCTCGGCCGAATGCTTCTCCGTGAAAGGCGACGCCCTTTCCGAACGCGATGCACAACGAACCCTAAAAATCGGCTTGACGGCAAAGCATCTCCTCTCTCTCGATTCGAGTGAGGTTGGGGACGACGAAGCAGCAATTCTGCTCACAAACGCCATAAAAACGCAAAATATAGAGCTAATTCAAATCCTGACTTCCGCAAAATTGAAATCAATGCTCCTGAGCGGAGAAATTCATTTTGTGCACGTCGAGACAAACCATATAACTAAATTAGTAGTGGATGCGGCCGTGATGTGGGGAACATAGAGACCCAGAGGAACTCTGACTGGCCGAGCTGGAGACGAACGAAACGCACTTTATGAGCTTTAGGGGACGGCGAGAAGCCAATTTTGCTTTTGGGAATCTGATAGGGACACTTCTGCGACCCTCCTCAGACACGCACAAATCTGTTCTCTTTTACCTTTTTCTGCAGCTTTGGGCCTCCTCCTCACCTTCGATCAATGATTCGATTCCTGTGGCCACGCCAATGGTTCAAAGGTCAATCATTCAAGTAGAACGAAGGGCTGGACAATTTGAACTTGGCCAGGATCACAGGCTATGGCGGCCATGAAGAAAGGAGAAGGGAGTAAAAGAAGAAATGGTGGCCTTTTAGATTAATTATGGGCTGGACTTATTCGACATCTTAAATGTATCTCATACTGGGCCCTCTGGGCCTATTATTTTACATTTAGCCCATTATTGTAAAATTAAATAACCTATAATTTTGGGCCTTAATTGTATACTTTCATAATGAGGCCCAAACGTTTGGGCCTTTTAGTTTCAAAGCTGCGATCCATATTTAAAAGCCCGAATCAAGCGCGTGGTGAACACTCGACGGTCTTCGAAACGCTGTCGTATTTATTGCAAAACCCTCGCCTAAACCTCCGCTTCGTCGCTTCTTCCCACTAAAACCCTCTGCGCTTCATTTCCTGCTACTTTTCCTGGATTGTAAAGATTTTTGGTGTCGTACCCATGGAGAAGAACCAGGAAGAACAGGGAAAGATCGGGAGGAAGATGTGGCGACCGCACCTGGCGGAGGAGAAAGATTACACTGCATTGAAAGAGCTTGTCAGGCACCACATCGAATCGTTTGATTATATGGTGGATTATGGTCTGGAGAAGATGATGCTGAATCTCAAACCTGTTGAAGTTGTAGACTCTGTTTTAAAACAGAAATTAAGAAATATCCTTTTTTGGTTATTTAATTTTTTGCGACCAGTGTCGGGTATGTTACAGAATTTGCTTATATATATATTTTATATATAAGTTTGTATGTGTGGCTGTGCATCTGTTGAAGGTTTGTTCTTAACTGTAACATACTTTGGGTTGAAAACCCTGAAATATTTCCTCCTCAGAAAGAGCGGGCTTCCAGAGCCATGTCCGATCCTTTATACCCCTTCGAGGTGCGGAATACGGGAAGCAAATGAATTTTGTTGTTAGATTTACTCAATTGTGGCAGATGATTGATGCTATTTTTGTGGTTGAGCAGTGTCGACAAGCTAAGATCACATATGCTGGGAAGTTCATGGCGGACTTGACATTCCAGTACGATGGAGGAGTCCCTGTCAGAGAAAAAATCAATTTTGGGCAGTTTCCGATTATGTTGAAGGTAAGTTATATACTTGAATTATATTGTGAGTTTGCTTTTCTATTTCAAACCTCAGATGCCATTTTATTCAAGCAGATAAAAATTGTAGGTTAATTTTGCTTCTTTTTAGTTTTTGGAATTCTTTTGTTATTCATATATTCTTCTTCATTGCTGTTCGACTTTTATTTTGCTGTTTAAAAACTGAGTAAAAAATATGAGGATGCTGTCAGTATATATACTTGGAGAATAAATTAGATATAAATCAGTGAAAATGTTATGTCAATATTTGTGTCCTGAGGTTTGGGAATGAAGTCTAATAACTAGATATCTGCATGTTTGAATTTGCTTTATTGTTGGGTTTATTTTATCTGTTTGTTTTTAGTCCAAACTCTGTCATCTTAGAGCCGCAAGTGATGCCAAAAGATTAGTTCAATGCAAAGAGGAGCCCTCAGAAATGGGTGGGTGAGTGTTTCCCATTAGCTGCATTGGGTTCGGAAAGTTTTCAATATCTGCCCACTTACACAAATTTTTTGTAGATACTTCATCACAAATGGACTTGAGAGAGTTTTCCGGCTTCTTATAATGCCAAAGAGAAATTATGTGAGTATACTCTTCTGCAATCATGAGTATTAAACATTGCATTTTAAATTAAGAAAGACGACATGAATTTAAGTAACCCCCATCCTTACTTTGTTCTTACGCTCATCTACTTATGTTATTGTTCAGCCAACTAGCATGTTACGAAGTTCATTTGCTGACCGTCGAGATGGATATACGGATAAAGCTGTGGTTATAAGGTTCTTTTCCATGTCTTATTCCTCACTTTGGGTTAATTAATATGAACTTCAACATGGATAAATTCAGTAACTTCTGGCTTGTATGAATAACTGAATGTTTCTTGCTAATTTTAATACATTCTGAAATTTGGCTCAATGACCAATATCTGGGTTTGTTTATATTGACCGTTGATCTTGCATCAAGTTTTTGTGATCTTTTATCCTCGTTCAGTTAGCATAATTTTCATTGCTATTTAACTTTCCTTCTTAAATGTATATGCTTTGCGATAACCGATTCATCTACCTTGAACATTCAGATGTGTTAGGGAGGATCAGTCATCAGTTACAGTTAAACTGTACTACCTTAATAATGGGAGTGCAAGGCTAGGATTCTGGTGAGGATTTGGCTTAAATAGAATTTTTGGATTCTACACTCAAAACATGGTATACTCATTTAGATCCTCATCCAGGTTACAAGGGAGAGAACGTTTGCTTCCTGTTGGACTCATATTGAAGGTATGCCATGTTATTTTGTTTCTTTGGTAATGATAGTATTCTCTGGGGTGTGAAAATTATAGCAAAAATGTTTGTATATGTTTTCAATTTTCAACTATTGCAAGTGAGATTATAATGATATATAAATTTCATTTGTGGAAAAAAGTTAGTCTAAGATGCTGTTCTTCCCTGGCCCTTTTCTACATGTAGGCTCTGATCGAGACATCTGATCATGAAATCTATACGATCTTAACTTGCTGCTACAAGGAAAAAGCTGATCGGGTAAAGGGATCTGTTGGCACCCAACTCGTTGGTGAAAGAGCTAAAATCATTTTGGATGAACTCCATAATTTATCTCTTTATACCCGTGCACAATGTCTAGAACATATTGGTAAGATTGCACTGAATCTCTGGCTTCTAATAATCTGCACATGCTGATTGCCATCACCTGACTTTTTCTCTCAGGGATGTATTTCAAGACTGTCTTGAAAGAGCTAAAAGAAGAAAGCTGCAGAGCTGTAAGTTTATGTCCTATATTGCGCTAATGTGATGCTTTTTGAACGTAACTCGTGAATCCTATTGAGTGAGCTGTTGCCATATACCTCTCAGAAAATCTTGAAGCAACTGCAAACTTCTTTGTTTCCTAATTGAAAGGATTTGAATGAAACAACCTTATATTTCTTACCTTGCATGTGGAACATTGTTTTAATTTTCCATCTTTCTGATGCATGCAGGCTGCTGAAACAGTTTTAAGGGATTACTTACTTGTGCATCTGGATGACAATAATGACAAGTTCAATCTACTCATGTTAGTATTATGGTTATCGTACTTGTTGAAAATTATAAATTATTTTCATATTAGTTGTCTAATTGATATATTTCCAAATTCCATAAATTTTTCATATTTCATACATTAATATTTTGAAATGCTTTAGGCATTTCATAAGGCCCAGGGTGTGCGTGGGGCATCATGGTATTTGTGATTACAAATAAAATAAAGTGAATTAGCAAAAATATTCATGAAAGCTTTTTGAAACAATTATTCAACTGGAATAAGTTGGCCAATATAACCTTTATAGACACTTCTGTATGGCGAGTACTTACAGAGTCCAAACACCTCTATTGATCTAAAAACCATTTCTGTGTCTTGTCTCTCTAAACTAAAGGCTCTCCAGGCAAAGCCCTTTAAATCAAGATGTGTATATCTCTCTGTTTCTATGTGCATATATAAATATTCAGCAACTAATTCAAATGTCAATTAGCTTCATGCTGCAGAAGCTGTTTTCTTTAGTAGACCAGACGTCTGTGCCTGACAACCCAGATTCTCTACAAAACCAGGAGGTTATATTGGCTGGACAATTAATAACTAATAATCTTAAGGTACAGAATATGATATTTTATTTTGTGATGATGCCTGTAAGCCAAATAGATGCTGTATTGGATTTGCGAACTGAATTGGATTATTTTTGCTGATATTTGAGTTTGAGCTCTTAGTTTTAGTTTTTGCATTTTTTAGTGGGCTTTATGGGAAGCTTATAAATTAAAATAATTTTTTGCTAAAGGATGCTTGGTTTGCTTATGCAAATATAATCAGAAAATCTAAACTATGTAGTATGTAGTATTAGTGTTTTGGTGAATTTCATTAGAAATAGGAAGGTAAATAATACTCCCTCCACCATTGAAAAGTGTTCCCATACTTTTCGACACAGGTTTAATGTGGATTATTTTTTGCCTTTTATAATAGAAAGTACAAAAAAAGTTGGCATGAATTAGAACTGAGAATATTTTTTTTATGACACCTCAGAAAAAAAAAAAAAAAGTGAGAATAAAATTGGATGTTAGAGAGAGTATAAATTACTTGCGTTATATTGATGAGTTTGTTTGTCTGTATTAGGAAGTGACAATTAGAATTTTAATTAGTTAGTTCATAAGAACCTCATAACTATTGCTTTATTCTGCTTTTAATTTTGGCAGAATTTAGGTACATTTAAAAGGCTCACTAGGCATGGTTCATTTGACTAGTATATTAATTATGTGGATTGTGGGAGTGGTCATAGTAAAGATATGTTTTGACTGTTGAGTAACTTGATTGTCTGTTGATTCCAGCATATAGAGCAGTATCTTATCGATTTCTTATTTACATATATTGCAGGAAAAAATACAAGAATGGTTAGTCAGGGTAAAACAGGCTCTTCAAGAGGAAGTTGACAAGAGTTCAAAGACATTTGAGTTCAATAGTGGTATTTTTTATTGTTTCTTTTTATATATTTAGCCTGCTCAATCTTAGTTTCCTTTCAAATTTGGTACATGGATAGTTTTGGAAGTTCTGATATGTAATCAGAGACTAGATGCAAATCATATTGATTGATGCTTCTTGGCTGAACAAAAAAATCTATTAAGTTTTTTTCGTCTGGTTCTATGTTGATGTTTTGATATGCAATTGCTTGTCTCTGGGAAATGACAGTGGCTGATGTCAAGAAGATCGTAGAAAGAAATAGTCCACGACAAATTGGTGCTGTGATTGAAAATTTGCTGAAGACAGGAAGATTAAGTACACAAACTGGTTTAGATATGCAGCAGGTAGAATTAGTGCCATTCCCTTGTTTCTCGTTGTGAGGACCCTAATGTATATAAGAGAGGGTAACGTATGTGAGGTTTACTATGGATATATACATGCTCAAGTATGAGAACATATGTTTGAAGCATACTAATATTTTTGCTTATTTATTTATTATTTTTTGCATTTGTTGTGGGTGCTAGAAAGCTGGAATCACAGTTCAGGCCGAGAGGCTAAATTTTTTGCGCTTCCTTTCACACTTTCGAGCAGTTCATCGAGGTTCTGCATTTGCTGGTCTACGCACAACAAGTGTACGAAAATTGTTGCCTGAGTACGTTCTAATCCTCTATTTCTCATGTAGCTGGGCGATTGATTATGTTACACTATTATTTCCTTCTGTTAATTTGTAATGCCTATCAGTTTACCCATTCTCAAACTCATGTATGGTTCTCTGCAGGTCTTGGGGATTTCTCTGTCCTGTGCACACACCTGATGGGGAGCCTTGTGGTCTGCTGAACCATATGACTTCTACTTGTCGTAAGTATTTGCCTTTTAAATTTTTTGGTTTTCTTTGAAAAGTAATTATTAGCAGATTTTGATGATGTAATGAAAGGAAAGAATATTTATGTCAGGGAAATTGCTTGTTTATCTATTATTAAGCATGTTTATTTATTCGATAACCTCTGCTCTTATTTTCTCACATGGCATTGAAATGGCTAGGGTTGCAGAATGCCTGCGGTAACTCACTCTAGTGAAAGAAAATATTTATGTCAGGGAAATTGCTTCTGTGATCTGGTTGTTATTGAACCTGTATGCAGGGGTACATTAGAATAAGTGGCTCTATATGCTTATTTAGGGGGAACATTTATTCAAATAACAATAAACCATTTAATTGGTGAGATTTGTGGACATAAAGTCACTTGAGAAAAGTGCATGTCTCAAATCTATTCTTTACCTTTGTCACTTTAGGTGTCCTTTTTGAGGGAAATTTGGAACTAACATCACTTACCTTTTGCTCACAGGGATAACTTCAAATTTTGATTCCAAAGGAAAAGTGAAGGACTTTCTTGAGATTAGGAAATCGATTTCAAATGTTCTTGCAAGCATCGGAATGACTCAATCACCAAAGCTGCAAGCTGCCCCACCTGAGGCTCTTCAAGTCCTTCTGGATGGTCGTGTTGTAGGTTATATTGTGTATGATATAGTTGAAAAAGCTGTCTCTCATTTGCGTAGGTTGAAGGTTTCAGGAACACCAGCGGTGGGCTTTTGTCCTCTATTTGTTTCTGAATAAATATATTGTTACACACTTCTGATGATTGATCATTGTTCTACTTTGGATAGATACCTGAAGATCTTGAAGTTGGCTATATTCCTCTAAGCATGGGCGGGGCATACCCTGGCTTATACCTATTCACATCTGACTCTAGATTGGTTCGACCTGTGAGGAATATCCTAGTACCATCCGAAGAGAGCAGTAACATTGAGTTTATTGGGCCCTTTGAGCAGGTTAGCATCAGATTGTGTTTACATATGTTGCGGATTTTTCTGAGAAATGTATATGATTCAAACTTTTTATAGATGAAGGTTTCTTTTTCACTTAATGAGTGAATAATCTCTGCCTTCATAATCATTTGCATATAAATGTTGCCTAGGTTTACATGGAAATTAGTTGTCCCGATGGTGGTGATGGAGGAAGGAGAGATGTATTTCCTGCTACTCATGAAGAAATTCATCCGACTGGAATGTTGAGTGTTGTTGCAAATCTTACACCATGGTCTGACCATAATCAGAGTCCTCGTAATATGTATCAATGTCAGGTATATCATTTGCTCATTTTTTATCTTTTCCTTTTTGTCCATTTTCTTTGATGGAGTGATTGGGATCATGACATCTTTTCTTTTTTTTACACTTATTAGATGGCTAAGCAGACGATGGGTTATTCTTGTCAAGCTTTAGCTTATAGAGCAGATCAAAAGCTTTATCATCTCCAGGTTAGTCATGGTATTTTATATCCTTGTCATCACAATTTTCAGAATGGCTGGAAAATGTATAAAACTGTTCCATTTAAATCAATTGCTTGTCTAATGATAATAACAAGTTGTTCTGCGGGTCCAGTACTCCATTTATTGTTGTTAGTGGTGTGCATGTGCTGTAGCTTCATTTTTTCCTCTTGAGCTAATTTCTTAATGTGGTCGTGCAGACACCTCAAACTCCTATTGTGCGCACAAAAACATATGAAACATACAATATTGATGACTATCCACTAGGGACCAATGCTATTGTAGCAGTTTTAGCATATTCAGGGTAAAAGTTCAACACCTTAACTTGTTGATTAATTTTCAAATTGTGGTTTCATATGTTCTGTTCATACATTGCAGATATGATATGGAGGATGCCATGGTGTTAAATAAATCATCTGTTGATCGTGGCATGTGCCGTGGCTATATATACCAGGTCTAGCTTCTGTTTACTCATTTTATTTTATCTATTTTAAAGTATGGTGTGAATATGTTGGTGCCTAAAATTTGTGCTCATTTAGTTTTGTCCATTGCAAGCACACATTTCATTCCTGCACTTCATTTTTTCACCTTTGTCTGCAATCATTTGCTGCTGCTGCAATTTTCATTTATTATTTGTTTTCTTTTACTTTTTTTGGTGCGTCGAGGGTGTGTTTTCTCAAGTCTCACACAAACTCTCTCTCTCTCTTCCCATGAATAACATATTATCCTATAGGAGGAATATTGATACAGTTTGAGAATAGAATATTACTGTCTTAGTTTGTTAAGTAGACATTTATATAGTCCTAAATCTCAATTGAAGGTAAAAACAGTGACAACCTTGGACTTTAGGGGCACTGTCTTATTAGGGTTTTGTAGTAGAGGGTAGTTGGCCCTTTGAAGAAATATACTCCTGCTGTTGGTTATTGCATATACAGTTTTTTGTGTCTTGGATTCCCTGCTGTTGGTTATTGTATATTATGTTATCTTGTTTAAAATTAACTCGTCAGATTGAGTTTTGAGACTTGTTACTTATTTTCTTCTAGTAACAATTTACCTCGCTAAGAAACTAGCTGCAGCATGCTATGAAACATGGATAGGAGACAATAAACATGAATGTATAACTCCTTGACATCCTCATTTCAGACAGAAACTATTGACTTGACCGAACAAGCTGTGAGGTCTGCCGCTAGCCAAAAATCATTTGGGATTAGTAACCTGAAAGATGGAGAAGCAGAAACAGCTCGTAAATTTATTGACTCTGATGGACTCCCCTATGTTGGACAGGTATATCAATCACATTGTGTATTTTATATGTTTTATATAGTCTCTCTCTGTCGTTAACTAAATTGCAGTAATGCATTTTTTATTGCCATTTTCCAGAGGATAGGGCCCAATAATCCATATTGTAGCATCTACGATGCAACTACAAGTACAGTGAGAACAAACAAGCTGAAAAGTTCAGAACCTGCATATGTTGATTTTGTTGCAGTAGATGTTAAAAATGATAAGCCTTTACAAAAGGTAAGCATGTTATACACAAAAACTTTCCATATGAGCGGTTCTGATAATAGGGTGTGTGATTCTAACTGTTCAATGATTTTCCTCTTCTTACTTTACTCCAAACTGCTGCTTAAATCGAAAAGGAAATGTTAATTAGATTACATAAAATTTCTAATAAGTTTCCAAAACCCGAGAATAACTCAATTTAAAGTCTATCCTATTTTCAATACTAATACAATGGGTGCTTGATGAAAACATGCTCCAAGCTACTTTTTCTTATCCCATATGTATCTGCTTAAAAAACTTACAGCTACTCATGTTTTAACTGTCCTTGTGCAGGCAAACATCCGGTTTCGACACCCTAGAAATCCAATTATTGGTGATAAATTTAGTAGCAGGCATGGTCAAAAGGGTGTTTGCTCTCAGCTATGGCCAGATATTGATATGCCCTTTTCGGGAACTACAGGAATGCGCCCAGATCTTATCATCAATCCTCATGCATTTCCTTCTCGGATGACAATTGCAATGCTTTTAGAATCAATTGCCGCCAAGGTATGACATCTATTTATAAAGGTTCTACTATTAAATTTTCCATGGCTAGGCTAACATCCTCTTCCAAGATACAGTAGCCTCTTCCACTGTTAACCTGCAAATCTAAAGTCGAAAGGGATGTTTTTCTGATTATGTTATTTATTTTATTTCATGAATTCTATATGATTGTAGGGAGGTTCCTTGCATGGTAAATTTGTTGACGCCACGCCTTTTTCAAGCTCAATGAAGAAGTCTGATGGATCAGAATCAGACTCAAATTCACTTTTAGATGACCTTGGTTCTATGTTAGTCGAACGAGGGTTCAATTACCATGGTGTAGAAGTATTATACAGTGGAGTTTATGGGACTGAGCTAACATGTGAAATATTCATCGGGCCTGTGTATTATCAACGTCTCAGGCATATGGTTTCAGACAAATATCAGGTACGAGGAGGATTTGTCCATTCCATTTCTGCCACACAAACAATCAACTAATATTTGTTTATATTCATGTATAGGTCCGGTCTACAGGAACAGTAGATTCAATCACCAGACAGCCTATCAAAGGTAGAAAGCGGGGTGGTGGTGTACGTTTTGGAGAAATGGAAAGGGATTCCCTTCTTGCCCACGGAGCTGCATATCTGCTACACGATAGGCTCCATACGAGCTCTGATCATCACATAGCCGATGTCTGCTCCTATTGTGGCAGCCTCTTGACCACAACGCTTATACGGTCACCCAAACAAGAAGTACAAGCTTTGCTCGGTCTGCCCCCTATCAAACCCCCGAAAAGGGTCACATGCGTCGCCTGCAAGACAAGTAAGGGAATGGAAACCGTCTCAATGCCTTACGTTTTCAGATATTTGGCTGCCGAATTGGCTGCCATGAACATAAAAATGACTCTCCAACTCAGTAATGGCGCCGGAGCTTAAGCCTTGTTCGTCGATAAATAACTTACTTTATGGTAATGCTACTCTTTGTCCCTTTAAAACATTCCTTTGTGTCAATCCTGTGCAATTTTGTGACACGTTGGGATGCCCTCCTTTCCTTTTCTACTTGTAACAATACATATGTATACCATTATTCACTATTAATTATCCATAAGCAACTACACACCATTCATTCAGGTTGATTTCTTTTAACTTTGAATTTGTTAAAAATGCACTCATCATGATCTAACAGTTCATAGTCTTAACCCAATTTCATACCCAAAATCCACTTAAAAATATATAATATATATATATATAAAATAAATAGGTCCACTTAACCATTATCAAGATTCTCAGCAGCCCATAATACAGAACAAAACAAATATAGCTCACAAAATTTGACCAGATCCCATTTCCATTCACATTCACTACATAAGTATTAATGCACATATGAATTATGATGAAATGAAAATTGTCTTCCCACAAAGACCAAAAGTACAAAAACATAAAATCCCAAATGCCATTCCAAACAGTCTTCTTCCTTCTTCTTCTTCACTCTCTCTCTCCCCCATCAGCTGCAGATTCTTCATCTTCCTCAGGGCTATGTCATCCTGATGACCAATCTGCACTCCTTCAATTCAAGAACAGCTTCTCAGATCCCAAACCATTCCCCACTTGGGACCCTAAATTCCATTGCTGTGGATGGTATGGAGTTGAATGCAATGAGACAACTAATCATGTCATTGGCCTTGACATTGCCACCAGTGATCTCAATGGCACCATCCCCATTACCCTCCCCAACCTCAAACACCTCCAGCACTTGAGGCTCCACAAGCTCCCCAATCTTGTCGGCGAAATCCCGCCCGAAATCGGACAATTGCATCACCTCACTTACCTCGTCATAAGCTGGACTAATGTATCAGGCCCTGTCCCTCATTTCCTGTCCAACCTCATCAGCCTCAGGTACCTCGTTCTTTCCTTCAATTGCCTCTCCGGATTCATCCCGCCTTCACTGCCGACACTTCCTTACCTCTATGCCATCGATCTTAGCCGGAATCATCTAACAGGGCCAATCCCCGAGTCGTTCGGTCACTTCCCTGAATCGGCAGGGCCTCCCGCTCTCGACCTGTCCCACAACATGCTGTCCGGCGACATTCCAGCCTCCCTGGCGAATGTCAACTTCTCCGAAATCGACATTTCCAGGAACAGTTTATCAGGGGATGCCTCGGTGTTCTTTGGCCTGGGAAAGATCACCAACACTATCATCATTTCCAGGAACAATTTCGAGTTTGATTTCTCAAAGGTCACTTTCATGGAGGACTTGGACGTGCTGGATATCTCCCATAACAAGATTTACGGGACCATCCCTTCTCAGATCATCGACGCTGTCTACTTGCAGCAACTGAACGTTTCTTACAACAGACTTTGTGGAAAAATCCCGACTGGATGGAAGCTGAGATATAGATCAGAGATTTGGGACAACTCATCCTTCTTACATAATCGATGCCTCTGTGGATTCCCCTTGGATCCCTGCCAGTGATCATAAATAATCGATCAAATGTACCAAATTGTATTGCTTCCTCAATAAATTATTCCTCCAAATGTTCTTGCTGAGTGAAAAATGTTGTCTTGTCAATAAAAAATCGATCTTGTCCAATTAATAGTAAAGCCCAAGTTAAAGCTACGAAATTTATGTATATATTTGGAAAGTAAAAGGAATCATTTTATCAGATCAAATCCATCACACTCCACAAATCTTGGACACAAGATGATCCAGACGTAACGGGTCGGACCCAATTTCGCACTCTCCAGTCCACTAGAAGGTTCCAAGAAAGTCGTCTGGGCTGTTTCAGATCATTCGGCCATTTGATTTTCTGGTTAACGCTCGACTAAAGTAAAAGGGTTTTGTTTTACTCCACGCACGCCATTGATTCCTTGCTGCTGCAGGTTGAAGATCGAACCAATGGTCCGGTCCCACGGCCTCCGGCTCGCCCGCCGCTCCGTCTCATGGTTTCTCCTTCAAAATTCGAGCCCCTCCGTACGTTTCATCGCCATCCCTCTTTTACCTACGCCGCGCGAGATTTTGTCCTTATTGTTGTGGTTTTTTGGTCTGATTGATTGCAGTTGTGGGATTCGCTGCTTAAAGGGGGCTGCAGGAGTTTCGGCACCGCGTCGGGGAGTCGACTCTGGGGTCTTTTCGATTCCAATTTGGGAAACGGTACTGATTTATTTGGTGTGGGAGTTTTGTGGTTGCTGTTTAGAATCTTGATGTAATTGGTCTGTGTCAATTATTTCAGTGAGAAGTGAGAAGAGCTGGTCGAGGCAGGGATTGTTCAGTGATAATTCTTCTGCTGCTGCAGTACGGTCGATACATAGCACTGGTAATCATCCCTTTTCTTTTTTCCTGCCTGCCTGCCTTTTTTTTTTTTTTTTTTTTTTTATTATTTTTTTTTTCATTTGAGTGAAATGTATTCATGGGGGATTTTTAAGCTGCAGTTTGTCTGTGGTTGAGTTTGGGGAGGGATGAGGTGTTTTGGACTTGAAATTTTTTGGAATTGAGTATATGTGTTGTATGTTGCTTTAATTGGAAAGTAGGTGCTGATGCCGTTTTTCTGAATGGGATATATGTTATGGTAGACAAGAAATAGCCCAAGAACAAGGTTGAATTGGAAGATTCGGAACTATTAATATGTGGCATATTGAATTTGCTGAAAGATGCTCGTAGTGGCAAATGATGAATATGTATTATTATCCGGGGATTGCATAATTTTTTATGAGTGTGATCATTGAAAGAAACAAATCTAATAATTATTCATGGAGGATGTCTTATGATTCTTTTTGTATTGAGGCTATCTGCTGGTTTTTCCCAATGGCTGTTTCCTAACTGCAATTTTTTATGTGTTCTTATGCCGCCTCTGAAGCCCATCTGTCAAGGGATTTCTATGATGTTCTTGGTGTCAGTAAAAACGCGACTGCATCTGAAATCAAGAGAGCCTATTACGGGGTATAGTTTAGACTTATTGAAAATTTTGGCCGATAGATATATTCATTATTTCTGAAAATATGCAATGTGATTCAATTCTGCAGCTAGCAAAAAAGTTGCATCCTGATACAAATAAAAGTGACCCAGAAGCCGAAAAGAAATTTCAAGAAGTGCAGAAAGCTTACGAGGTAAATTGTGAAGATCTTCAGGTTTCACAAAGTTTCTTGTTTTGTAGTTCCCATTCTGTCCAGATTAATTTTGCTTCTATGGTTCAAATTCTTGTAGGTCTTGAAAGATGAAGAGAAGCGACAACAATATGATCAGGTCTCACTCTCACAGTTTTCATTTTTATTTATTTGATCAGAATTCTTGTAATTTGCAATGGTGCAACCCTAGTTCTAAATTAAATCCCCATTATTACGATAGAGATTCTAGTATCTAATCTTAGATATGCATGTACATATGGAAGGTGGAAGGGAAATTTTACCGAAATATATAAGCTAAATCACTCATTTTTCTATGTTTTCGTGCATCCATATCAAATTCTGTATCCTAGACATGCGTGGACTAGGAGTTTGGTTAGGAATTTGAACTTAGTATTCATTCATTTACATCAACATTATCAGTTCCTGCTTTCGAGGTTAACTAGTTGCTTGACATTAACTCTGAACAGCTTGGTCATGAAGCTTTTGAAAGGGCCGGTAATGGTGAAGGTCCAGGATTTGATCCATTTGGAGCTGGCTTTAATCCTTTCCAGGACATATTTCGAAATGCTGATGTAAGCCTTTTGTGATAATGCTTTCTTACACATTGAGTAAGAGGGGATTTGCTTTTGCATCCCCACGTCTTAATTTTTTTAAGAAATTATGCATATTGCAATGAAGAATTGAATTAAGAGGGTTTGTTAGTAAATGATCTCTGGTATCATATACCTGGATGATCACTTTATGGCGGCTGCTTAAAATCTTTTGTACAATGTTTGATAATTCAATTTGCTTCATATTAAATTGATGCTCGTAGTCTATTGACTCTATTCTTTATGGTATCCTTGTGGAAGAAGGTAGAGCGTGGGCATGCTTTAAATTTGTATAATTTGGTCGTGGCGGCTTTTGATTGTCTTATCAACTTTAACTTGTTAATGCTATGTAGCAATATATTTTGTAACTAGTAAATTTGAAAATCTAATAATGCTTTCATTTGCGCGCTGGCATATTTGATTTTGGGGATCAGATTTTCAACATCTTCAATAGGGATATGGGAGGTGAAGATGTGAAGGTTTTGCTCAACACTCTCTTTCTATATATATATATATATATATCTTGAGAATAAATTAAAACACTTTGCTCTCTAATTCAGGTCTCAGTTGAACTATCCTTCATGGAAGCTGTTCAGGGCTGCACGAAAACGCTATCAATCCTGACCGATCTAACCTGTGAAGCTTGTGGTAAAGCCTTATGTGTTTCCTAAATGTGCAAGTCAGAAAATCTGTGTTTATTTTGCTAATGTTTTATCATACTTCAATTTTGTCGATACATTTGGAATAATTAGTTTAATTCGTAATGAAATTTTTTTTGATTTTGTAGGTGGAACTGGTGTTCCGCCTGGGACAAGGCCTGAAACATGTAAGCGCTGTAGAGGCTCCGGCATGGTTAGTACCTTTAGCATCTCATTGTTGGTGCAGTTGGCGAATTTGTTCTAATATCCTGCATTTGTTTCAGATTGTATCCCAAAATGGTCCGTTCACACTTCAATCTACATGTCCAAGCTGTGGTGGAGTTGGAAAAATTGTTTCGGTACAACATTTTGTTCTAATAGAATTTGCTTTCCTTTTTTTTTTTTGATCGAAAAAAAAATTATTTCTGTATGTGTAATTGCCACTTGATTAAAATTTCTATAACTGAACGGTTCTAATGAAAAGTGTTTTACAAAAATGTACTGTTTTGAAAGTTGTCTGGCATGTTTGTTTAACCTGAGTCCCAAAAATATCTCTTAAAGATTCCTTTTGAGGTTAGAAATAGCAACGCATAAATCGCTAATCTACTTGTCATTTTGTTCTGTTGGCGACAGAGCTTTTGCAAATCCTGCAAGGGTAAACGAGTTGTTAAAGGGCACAAGACAGTGAAGTTGAATGTCATGGCAGGTAATCATTATATATAAGTTATTGGTTCTTTCGTCAACTCTCTGTAATCAGTGATTGATACTTCTTGCTGACACTTGTTAGTATGACTTTACTGCACCACAAACACCAATTTAAGTAAGCAACTTCATGAATTCTTCCCTGAAAAAGAAGATAAATCTGTTCAGACTGTGTCGAGCCGATAACCTGTGGTCTAGCCACATAGGCAGTTACACTGATTCGTGTTTCCTTTTAGACTTTATAAGCATGAGTTTCCATTGGAAAATTGCGTTTGCTTTTAGAGTTCCGCTCTTTTGGGAAATACAAAAGCGTTTTGGAATCAATGTGATCTTCGTGGTTTTCAGTTTTTACTTTTATCGTTGAAGGTTGATTGATAATTGTAGTTTACATTGTTTATATACAGGGGTGGACAACAACGAAACTATCAAGATTCCTCGAAGTGGCGGATCAGATCCTGATGGAAATCATCCTGGTGATCTTTATGTTATCATCAAGGTTGCATCGTGTGAACTCCTTACTCAAATTTTGACTATTTTCCAGTCTAAAAGTGTTTGAAAGTATAATACTGTGTTGTATGCATGATACAGGTCAGAGAAGATCCGGTTTTCCGTAGAGAGGGAGCTGACATCCATGTAGATGCAGTTTTGACCATCACTCAGGTAAAACTAATTTCAAGAACCATCAAAAAGAAATTCGGCACACCAACTGTTTTTTAAATGAGCTGAAACTCCATACATGAGCATTTATTACATGAAATCTTATGTTCGTTGCAGGCAATATTGGGAGGGACAATTCAGGTTCCTACTCTGTCTGGGGATGTTGTCGTCAAGGTCTGTTAGAAAGCTCTCTTATCGTAATTTGGTCTTACATGGACATCATCGACAGATTCGCAACTTTAAGCTATCATCTGCAATGCTACTGTTCTTGGCAGTCAAATCATTCAACTTTTAACTGACTTTTTTTGCCATATTGCCTTCACCTGCAGGTCCGCTCGGGAACTCAACCTGGCCAAAAGGTCGTCTTGAGAAAAAAAGGTCTGATTTTTACAGGCATTTTTATCATAAGGTTGTAGGTGCAATTAAATGTCGATGAAAATTATATTTATTCGTCTTCTACACAGGAATTAAAGTCAGGAACTCGTTTTCATTCGGCGATCAGTATGTGCACTTCAACGTTAGCATTCCAACGTAAGTACCAATGGCAAAAACAGGCATCAACGATGCTCTAGACGTGTACTGCACTGCACTGCACTGACCATGTATTTATTTACTTGACTCTTTTCAGGAACTTGACCCAGAGACAGCGCGAACTGATCGAAGAGTTTGCAAAGGAGGAGCAGCGACGGGAAGATGACAAAGGTGCTGCTGCAGGAGCTTCAGGTTAGGACCAGATGATCGAATTGTCTCACATATATATATATATATATATATTGTTGGAGCAATTTTGGGAGGAGTGGATAGGGAGGTTGGGATGAAATTGTGGTTTTAATGTGTTGGTACATATGATATGGTATGATGTTTTGAAGGAAATGAATGCATCTGTCGCCATTGCCATGATCTTACTATTGTATTGTGTACTGCAACAACGTAAAGAGGGATTGATGATGTCAGAACTTAGAATGGATATTAGGTAGCTAATAGCTATTGGTATTAGGGTTTAGGGAGGGAGAGGATGAAGTAATGCTCTTTGATCTGAATGAAGAATGAAGGATGTTGGATAGATGGTCGGTCCTTTATTCACTCAGACAGCCTGTATGTGATCGTAAATGCTTCCGGTAATAATAATATATCCCATTTTTATTGGTCCTATTTTTTTTCAGTGCTTGATAATTTTCGAAATTTTTTTTAACTATTGGAGTCGTAAATATATTACTAATATTTATTTATTTATTTTATTAGTTTTTTGTAAGGAAAACTAATGGGCATGCTTACTTTAAGGCTCGTCATTGATTTTTGTAATTTGAATTTTATAATATATTTCGAGAAAATATTTTCTTTTTTCTTTTTTCTTGTAGAATATTATATTAAATAATATTTAAATAAAAAGTTTAAATGTATTAAAGAGTCTGTTTTAAAATCATACTGTCATTTGTCGGACGATTCTAATCTTTGGAAGAAAGATCATAAAAATATCTTTATTACTAACAGTATAAATATTTTTATAACTGCAATATAGGCTAAATTGTACAAAATCTACCTTTGGTTTCATAAAATTGCATAAATGTGTTCAAATTGCGAATAAATTTTAGAATTTCAATTTCTAAATCCCTAAAATTATACGAATATTTATTTTTTATATATTTAGCCTAAAAAACTAGTAAAAATAAACTTTTAAAATCCGAAAAAAATAACTATTTTTTTAGTATATTTACTATTTTTTTAGGGTAAATATAAAAAATAAATAAATATATTTATAATTTTAGGGGTTTATAAATTATGATTTTAAAATTTATTCGAGATCAAATACCGTTAAATAAGGACTGCTGAGGGAGTTAGTCGGGTTTATGAAACCACGAGGCAGTTTGACGCAATTTTAGAAATACGAAGAATTTGGTGCAATTTTATGAAATTACGGGTGGATTTTGTGCAATTTAGCCCAGTAATATATATTACGCAAATATTATTATTTTTATTTTAATAATAAAAAAATTGTGTTAAAAATAAATAAATATATTGTTCAAAATAGGTAAAATTATTATTATTTTTTTTAAAAAAAATGATATTATCTCTATTATGCAAATGTATGTTCGAACGAGTTTTAATAAAAATAAGTAATAATTGTTACTAGTAAAAAAATATAAAAATGCAATAAATTTTTACTTAAAAAAATAATATCATTTTTTGATAACAATCCACAACAAAAATAAGTATAAATTTAAGCGACGGAAAAAAACAAAATGTTTAATATACAAATAAGCACGCGCCATTGATCCTCCACCGTCAACCAAAATGTTTTTCAAATATTCCGAAGAAGAGCGGGAAGAAGAAACTCTTCTGTTATCCACGTGCATCATTCTCATTGGATTATGAAGAAACACGCGGATCATGACCGCGACCAAGAGCGCCTTTTCTTCATCCAATCTCAACCGTCCAATAAACCCACAATCAACGGTCCTTCCTCACTCCCTACTCAAAATTTCCCCAGTCCCGCTTCCCTCTCCTATATAAACACAAACACACCCCCACCAATCTCCATTCAATTCCGTTTCTCATCTTACTGCAAGACAGTTTCAATAATCCTCCTCAAATCTCTCTAATGGCTCGTACTAAGCAGACCGCCCGCAAGTCCACCGGAGGCAAGGCTCCGAGGAAGCAGCTCGCCACAAAAGCCGCAAGGAAGTCAGCTCCGGCCACTGGCGGAGTCAAGAAGCCCCACCGTTTTCGCCCTGGAACCGTCGCGCTTCGTGAGATCCGCAAGTACCAGAAGTCTACCGAGCTCCTGATCCGCAAGCTTCCGTTCCAGAGGCTCGTGCGGGAAATCGCGCAGGATTTCAAGACCGATCTCAGGTTCCAGAGCTCGGCCGTGGCGGCGTTGCAGGAGGCGGCGGAGGCGTACTTGGTTGGACTGTTCGAGGATACTAATCTCTGCGCGATTCACGCAAAGAGGGTTACGATTATGCCCAAGGACATTCAGCTCGCGAGGAGGATTAGGGGTGAGAGGGCTTAGAGGATCCGACCCCGGGTAGGATACGGGTGTGGATCCAAGTATTAGGGTTATCGGATCGGAAGATTTGTTTAACGTTTACGCTATGCATTAGGGTTATGATTTTGTAAATTTCACTTTGGATTATCCACTCATTCAATGGTTTTTGTCTTCAATCAAATCTTCTTTCGTATTTTCTTACGATATTTCTGTTATGCGCTTTTTTCTTGCAGTAAATAGGAAAGTAGGAAGTAATTTTGGGTATGTCGGATATAGTTGCTTTTATATTGATTACGTACTGAAACAGAATTCGACACTCAAAGCGTAAAAGGGGGAATATTTTATTTTTGCATTCACGGGGTAAAGTATTCTCCCGCCATTGACAAGTTTTTGCCAGATCTTGCGTCGAAACCCTAACAATCGGAATTCGATTTTCTGTCTGGGAGTTTGGGGACGCATCTATGGATATCCCAGTAATCGATCTTGCCCCGTACTTGGAATTCGCCGGAAAAGCGGAGTTCGATTTGAATCTGAAGAATTTGTGCACGGAGGTCAGCCGGAGTCTAAGGGAGACAGGAGCTTTGATTGTCAAAGATCCTCGGTGCACTTCGGAGGACAATGATAGGTTTATCGATATGATGGAGAAGTATTGGGAAATGCCCGACGATTTCAAGCGCAGTCAAGAACGGCCTCACCTCCATTACCAGGTTTATTCGTTTAGATCTCTTTTCGGTGCAAATTTCTTGAATATTGATACGTATGGCTCAATTTTGACTAGAACTCTTGGAGTGTTCTTCGTTTTGTCTTGAAATTTCCTTGTGTAATACATCTTTTCAGATGCTTTAATAGTTATCAGTGGCATGCTTACTGTTTTGTCCATGGCAGGGCGCTGATCATTCTCTTCTATTTACTGAATTTAATCCCTGAGTGTAGTGATGCAATCACATCTTTTATGGAGAAAATTAAGCAAGCATTAATGGATTCAAATTTTATATGCTTTTCTGCTTTTAATATCGACCCTTTTGATTTTTATTATTTGGTTCAGGTCGGTGTAACCCCGGAAGGAGTTGAAGTACCACGTAGTTTAGTGGACAAAGAAATGAAAGAGAAGTTAAGAGCCATGCCAGAAGAGTTTCAACCATATGCTCCGTCTGGACCAGATCCCAAGTGGCGGTATATGTGGAGGGTTGGTCCACGCCCATCCGAAACCAGCTTTAAGGTCTTGCGGCAGGAATGGCTTGTGATTAAATATGTCCAGCTTCTTAATACTGACCTGTTTAGCTTTATAGGAACTTAACTCAGAGCCCGTCATTCCAGAGGGATTTCCTGATTGGAAGAATACTATGGATTCATGGGGATATAAAATGATATCAGCAGTAGAGGTGAATGAGTGTTAAATCTCTCCTTCAGGTTCTGCAGCGTTATTACGCTTATGCATAGTTTACACTTCTGCTCCATTGTTCATCTGCTTGCCAGGCTGTGGCTGAGATGGCTGCAATTGGATTTGGCTTGGAGAAGGACGCATTCACATCTCTTATGAAGCAGGTTATATATATATATATATATATATATTCTATCTCATTCTTTCTGAGATTGCTGCTGTTGGAATTTCGAATTAGTGATGTTACTAGTTTGTTTTGGTAATCTGTAATTCATTTGGAGAAAAATACATGTGGAGAATTATACTTGGTCCATAAGCATGGAACAAAATAATGTATTAGGTCCTTAGAAGAAGTTTTTGCTCTTGAAATATTCAAATTGCGATGCTATATAAGAACTTATAGTACCCTTACATTACATGGCCCACCCCCACCAAATGTGCAATTGTAATCTTGAGACTTGAAAGCATGGAGGATCTAATTGATTTATGTGTTAGGTGCTCTAGTCTCCTATGGTGGACTAACTTTCTGGACTCATAGGTTAAGTTGTCATACACTATCCATGTCTTTGAATAATCAATGTGAATTTTCTGTAGTTTCATGCTGAGTTTTTCTTTGATTTGAACTGCAATGCCTCTTTGCTCCATGTTTTGTGCATATATTGCTTCATCATCAGACTATCTGAACCTTTCTCATAAAGAATGATCACTTCTCTCTTTCAGGGGCCTCACCTACTTGCTCCAACAGGAAGCAATCTAAAGCGTCATGGCCAACTGGGCACCGTTTTTGCTGGATATCATTATGACCTCAACTTTCTTACCATTCATGGAAGGAGTAGGTTTCCAGGACTAAACATTTGGCTGAGGAATGGACAAAAGATGCAAGTCAAAGTTCCTCTGGGTTGCCTTCTCATTCAGACCGGAAAACAGGTATAATAATTTGCTATCTTTTACATATTTATACACAGACAAATTAAAAGTACTGGAATAGATTATCATTTATCAAATTACGATTAAAATCCTGCGTGTTGCTATAGAAACAGCAAATACTGAAAGAAACATCGTAATACATTCTATATTTTGTGCAGATTGAATGGTTAACTGCTGGAGAGTGCATAGCTGGGATGCATGAAGTAGTGGTGACTGATCGCACAATAGATGCAATAAAATCAGCTTCAGAGCAAAATCATAGCCTGTGGAGAGTATCTTCAACGGTGAATTAAACTCTCAAAAACACATTGTTTCTTGCTCTTTTATTTCTTCCCCCATAAACAACTAACAAAATTTTCTGGCTGTACCCCTCCCGTCTTATCCAGCTCTTCGCCCACATAGCATCTGATGCAGTGCTGAAACCATTAGGTCACTTTGCCGACTCTCCCCTAGCCAGCGAGTATCCTGCAATGCGCGCGGGTGAGTTTGTGGAGAAGGAGCTGGCAGTCATTAATCTGAAAGGAAACAACGGGAACACCTAATAACTGCAACTCAAGACAGTATGCGTTACATTCCTTCAATTTATGTTCAATTTGCTTTTTAATCGCGAATAAAAAGTTGTATGTTTTCATTCATTCATGGCTACAGAACACAAATGGCACAATCTTGCTACATTGTTAAGTTTATCTTCTGCTCTGAAATTTTAGTATTCTGAACCATTACATGTTTAGCATGGTGGGTTCACTAGAGTTGATGAAAGGTATCTAGAACACGACGTAGAAATCCCCCGGCTTTCTTCACCTCGACACAGCACATGCGAGCACTGAAGAAGCCTATAACATTGACGTGCACGGATCGCGATTGTTTAAGTTTGGTTGGTTTTCATATTCTTTGTCTTTTAGGTTGGATCTTTGTGTTAGTTACATTACTGCTATAAATTATAATTGGTAGCTACAATAGAAGTTGAATAGGTGCATTTTTGTTGCAAGAAAAAAAGATTGAAAGAATAGAGATGGTTGATTAGTACTACAGCATGTTTTATGTAGACATTGCACATGAGATAACATCCTAACTTGGCCTAATTCATGGCTCTTTGTTACTTCAACTAGAAACCCTTTTAGTGCAATTCAAAGAGTTCTTGTAGGTCCTAATTGTACCAATTATATGAAGCCATTTTGTCCATATTAGCAAGAATGTTTCACTATAATTTTGGTGTGTTTAATCTAGTTCAGATTTTGTTTTGGATGTTAGATACTTGGGTGAAAATAAGTTATTAATAGGATATTTTAAATTAAAAAATAAATGTTGGATGATGTTATTTAGTGAATAATGCGAACATATTGTGGATTAAACAATTTAACTAGTTCAATTTCAAGAGTGCTGAAACATTGTACATAATACTAGACAACATACAATGTAACAATACACAATATGATTTATTAATATAATATAAATGTAGTATATACTGATGAGATAATATGTGACATAATCCATATAATATATATTGTGATATTTGAAAATATATGAGCATTATTTATTTCTTTTTAAATCAACATCAGATTAATATATTACCGTCACTCTCTATTATATTTTTCATATAAATATTACATAAAACAAAGGGTGAGCTTGGTTTGGCTCTTAAATTTTGGATTTTCTATATATAAAAAAAATACATATCAAAGTAATATTTAATTTTAAATCCAAATAAAAATCAAACAAATTCAAGATTTGTTAACTCGGACTTTGTAAGAAATAAATTGGAATAAAAATTACAAAGAAATTGAATTTTATTCTCAATAACAGTTTATATTATTACTCCATATCAAATATTTATTTTTGAACTAATCAAAATCTTCCAATTAACTCCTTGAATGTCTCAAATAATTAGATCAACCAATAGACTCATTCTTGATTTCATGCATATCAGAACATCCACAATTATTGCACACTCATTCTTTTTGCCTCCTTTTAATTATTTTCAATCTCGTTTTTTCTGCCCATTTCTATGGAACACCACAGTCCCAACTGCACACCACAGCCATTCCCAACTGAAAGCTACCAAAAGGAAGTGGAAAATCAATAATTGCAAAAAATAATCTGTACGTACATACATACATACACTTTTCTGGCTATATATATATGTATCTGCTACATTCTGAAATGCCACACTGATTTGAATTATCGTTATGGAATCGTGGGTTGCTCTTTTTCTTGTCCTTTTTTTCCATTTACTGTCAGGTGAATTCATTCGTACGTTTTAACTTTCTTTTTTACAACTGATTTGTTCAAGAACACTGACTGCCCTGATTTTTTATTTTATTTATGTTTGCAGGATCAAACGGCGCCGTTTTCACCCTACAGAACAAATGTGAACAAACAATATGGCCCGGAATCCTCTCCGGCGCCGGGAGACCTCAACTGACCAACGGCGGCCTGGAACTCCGGCCAAATCAAGAAATAACCGTGACAGCGCCGACCGGGTGGTCCGGCCGCTTCTGGGCCCGGACCGGCTGCAACTTCGACCGGTCAGGGAAGCAGGGGAACTGCACCACCGGCGACTGCGGCGGACTTCTGGAATGCCAGGGCTCCGGCGGGGTGCCGCCGGCATCCCTGGCGGAGTTCACCCTGGACAGCCCGGAAGACTTCTACGACGTCAGCCTCGTCGACGGCTTCAACCTGCCTGTCTCCATCGTCCCCTCCGGCGGCACCGGTAACTGCTCCGCCGTGAAGTGCACCGCCGACCTGAACCTGAGTTGCCCGAAGATCTTAACGGTCACCGGAAACAATGGTACAACAATGGGGTGTAAAAGCCCCTGCCTGGCCTTCAACCAAGCTCGGTTTTGTTGTACCGGAGAGTACAACAATCCACAGCTTTGCACTCCCACAACATATTCGAAGATGTTCAAGAATGCTTGTCCAACCTCGTACAGCTACGCCTACGATGATGCTACCAGCACCTTCACTTGCAAAGGTGCTAATTATTTGATCCAATTCTGCTGATCGATTGAAATCAATTTGGGGATTAGGGTTTCCCGATCAACCATTCCCAAAATTGATCATATATATATGAAGAAATTGTATTGAATTAGGGCTAATAGGATCCAGCCATAATTTATCACAACTGAAAATTACAGCAACATATTTTGATTCTATGCACAAATTATTCATCAAACCTAAAATACTAACAGCAACCTAATTAGAAACCATACATGAAAAGACTACTGCAATGAAGAAAAGGTAACCATATATATATATAAGTCTAGCCATTTCTCTAAAACTACAGATATATGGATATAGATATAAATATAGATGTTTCTGCACAACATCGACTCGGGACGTGGCGAAGAACAGCAGCTCGCGCGCCGTGAAGATCCATTTGGTTGCGATTACGACTACTAAGTGGAAGGATTTGTCTGCTTAGGTTTGTTGGCGCAAACGCATTTAGCCCGTGTGTCCGTGAGCGTCTGCGCGATAACGAAAGCTTAGGACCGTGTAATGAAGGGAATAGATACACATGTATATATATATATGTATGTATACAAGATTCATGTGATTCCTATTACATTGTGGGGACTCATTTATAGATGTTGTCAATTAATATGTTGTTGTACCTGGACTTGTTTCTGGAGGTCTTTAATGTACTCAACTGCCAAGTCTAACATATCTGCTGTGTTTGTTTGCTGCTCGAAAACAAAAACAAAAACAAAAACAAAAACGAAAGAATTCAGACAAAAGATTAATAATTTTTGTTGCAAAACTGTGGGAGATCACAAGATTGATTGATTGTTGTTCTATTACCTTGTCCATGTTGGGGAAAAGATCCTGCAGCTTCTTCATCCTTTCGCTGATTCTTGTTCGTCTCATCTGCGAACAAAATGTTCGATCCCAATCGATCAACAAAAAATTAAAATTTTAATTTAGCTATGACAAAATGGTTTCGAATTTTCTACGTACCCTTTCCGCAATGCTTCTCGGATGAGTTGCGCAGCCTCGTTTCGCCCGGATTTGACAGGGCACGGTGTCCTGCTGAAACTGCAGAAACTTCTCGGCCTCGGCAGCCTCAGAAAAGCTTTTAGGCAAGCTCAAATGGTGGACTAACCCCGAAGGATTCTTCCTAGTGTCCGAATTCTGATAAGAGATCGAATCAATCGAACATCACAACATCGACAATGTAACTAAAAACATTAATATCGACCGAAAAAGATCGAATATCCACCTGATTTTCCAACCCTCCGAAACTAGGGAACATCTTGACATCACCATCTCTGTTTCTCTTAAGGCCATTGAAGGACGAGGCGGTGTTCCACGAGGCGTCGGGGAAGATTCCGGCGCCGGCGGAGGCCTCGCTGCTCCTCAACTGCCTGTGCTGATCAGAGTTGCGAATGGCGACGCCTTCGCTTCCGTTTTCCGGTATGCTCGGCATGAACCGCGACGTCGAAGATGGTGCCGATGAGAAGCTCATGTGGTTGCTATTCATTCCCGACGACGACGGATTCGGCTTGGGATGATTATGGACTCTGTAGCTTCCAACATCTCCCATTATTCCGAATCCTGATAAAAAATTATATGTCAATAAAACATATATATCGATTTTAACTTAGAATCATTTTTTTAGAAAAAAATGCTATGCATAGATAATGTGTAAGTGTGTCGATTTCATCGTCATCATCGTCAACGTAATTTTTACCCTAATTTCTTACATTGTTGTACTGCTACGCAACTTTATAAATGGAAGCCATTGCATAAACTGTCTAAGAATATTAAAATCCATATGGAATATATGCCTTTTACAGAACCTTTGTGGATAGGAAGAATAATTCAAAGCATCATCAAATTTAGAGCTGTCAAGATGAAGTAATCAAATTCACAACCAAGAATATATACATATGTATAGATATGTATGTATATGTTTGAGTATTGTAATGAAAACCCCAAATTATTTTGTTGTTCTTTGATCTCCTGATTTTCCGGATCCAAAATTTGAACTGTGTCTGAAAAGTCAACGCTCTTTCATCACACACACAAGCAAGCAACACAGACAGACTGACTTTACCAGCTAATGAAGAAATTCAATTAATTAATTATTTTTTTAAAAAAATTATATTATGAAATGAAGAATTACCATTGAAGAATCCAGCTGGAGAGCTGCTTTGCCTCATGAGATTAGATCCATTCTCAGTAGTCTCCATAGCCGCCGCCGCCGCCGCCGCTGCCGCCATAGAATAAGATCCAACAATGGCGCCGCCGCCGCCGCTCACTGCGGTCTCATAACCGCCGAATCCGGGTCGGGTCTCCTGGTGCGGCTCCGACCCGGCTCCGGCCTCCTGCTTCATCTGGTACTGAATCTGATGATGATTATGAGTATTATTATTTGTACTATCGCCGCCCTTCTGGTTGTTCATGAAGGCGGAGAATATGGCCTCCGATTCATCGCCGCTGCTGCTGTTGTCCGTCGTCGAATCCAAAAGCGCCGCCAGAAACGAGCTCGGCGCCGATCGGTACCGCGCCAATCCGCCCGGCTGCTGCGGCGGCGGTGGGTGGCTCAGCCCCTGGTAGAAATCTCCGGCGCCGCCGTGGAAGCCCTTGCTCTTCAGAAACTCCCCGTCGGACTTGAAATTGGGGATTTGATTATTTCTAGGGTTTGCCTGGTGAAGAAAGCTGCTGCTGCTGTTCTCCGACTCGCCTGAGCTGAACATCGTTGACCCAATCGCAAGAATCGATCTTTCTTTTACACTAATTAAGAAAAGAAACTGAAATCTTTCGAGAAGATTAACATTAATTGAAGCTTCAGATCGGAAAACGAATTTATTCAGCAGATTTCATCTTCTTCTTCCAAACCTGTCACGGTTTTCCTGCTGGAAAAAGCAAACAATAATAATAATAATAATAAGGATTTGGATAGAAATGGGTAAGAAATTTTGCTAAATCTGTGAGAGCAAAAAGCAGCAGCAGAAATGGCAAAAATCTGGAGCTCTATTTATGGAGGTTAAATTCGCTTTCTGATGGATGGATCGATTCTATTTCTATCATCCTGCGGCCATGGCCTTTCCTTCAGCACCTCCTGCCCTTTTTCTAACACTCGGATTTCCATTACCGGCAAATGGGGCCCACATCCCATGATTTCTGTGAAATGACTCAATTGCCCTTCCCTCTTTTATCCTTTTCTTTTATTAGATTTAGATGCTGCTGCTGCTGTAATACGAGTTTTTATTTGTTACCTCTTTTAGTTATTATTTAATTATTGTAGTAGTAGTAGTCGTAATTATATATAAAAAGAAATGCGCATATTCGTCTCTCGCATATGTCCCATCACACAAGCGTGTGTTACAGTCTAAAAAGGTTATTTTGAGTTTTACAATTAAATTAAAAAATAATACTAATATTTTACTGGTAATTTTAAGTACTTCAGATGATTTTAATTTTTTTTATAAATATATTTTATATGTAATAATATATAATAATAATAATAATAATAATAATAATAATAATTTATGATAAAACATATTTTATTGAAATGAAGATTGTACCCTCAGTGTTCAATACAAATATTGTGTTTATTTTATCATGTTAATTTATCTGTTAAAAAAGTATATATAGGGATAATAATATTTAGTAAAAAAATTTAAATTTTCAAAATTTTTACCCACTATTTTACATGTGTTTACACCGTGGCCAGATATGGGTTTCATATATTTACACTAGGGGAATTTATTTTAAAATTATATTATGAAATTATAAAATTTTAATTTTTATTGTTATAAAAAAAATATTAAAATACTATTACTAATCAATTTAGAGATGAATTAAATGTAATAGATAGAAGCATGTATGGTGATATATAATATTATATATATATTATGGATTATAGATAGGGTTTGTTAATATTGATACATATTTTGACCAATTACGGTTTTGCCTTATTATAGCAAAGAGTGTCGTGGAATTTCTGTGTTCACTTATTTCATTTATTCTCAACCTAAGCTACGTTACCTCACCCTTACAAGCCATGCATAATTATATATACTATTATTATATTATATTGGGTAAACTGTTTTTTTAGTTCCGTATCTGGACCTCTTTTATCATTTTAGTTTCGTAAGTGGAGTCTGTCATAAACTAGTCCCATAAGTAAAAAATTTTCGTTGTTTTAGTCCTCCGGCGCCGGAGACGCCCGCGTGGCTCGCCGGAGGTGACGTGTCTGCCAGGTATCTCACCAGGTCAGCGACACCTGGCGGACACGTGGATTTATTTTTTTTTTTTTCATTTTTTTTAATTTTTTTTTTACTTTTTTTAATTGGATCAAATGAAAAAAAAATATATACAAATAAAAATTAAAAATAAGTTTAAAAAAAATTAAAAAATAAAAAAAAAATAAAAAAATCCACATGTCAGCCAAGTGTCGTTGACCTGGTGGACACGTCACCTCCGGCGATCCATGCGAGCGTCTCCGGCGCTGAAGGACTAAAATAACGAAAAATTTTCACTTATGGAACTAGTTTGCGACATGCCCCACTTACGGAACTAAAATGATAAGGGTCAGTTACGGGACTAAAAAACAGTTTACCCTATTATATTTATAGTTAGTTTATTTATTTATTTATTATTATTAGTCTACCATGTATCAAACTTGCCTTACAGGCCAATTCATCAATACATTATCTATATATATTTAATACTTTTATTGAGCCTTTTTTTTAAGAAAAAAAATTATTGTGATTTTGTATATATTGATGTCGTCACTCGTCACACATTTTATTTTATTTTTGGGTTAAAGGTGATCATGCATACGTCACGCAAATATATTTAATTTTATAATTGATGTGTTTTTTCTACCCTTTATTTTATATATATATATATATATATATAATGTTATATAAAGTGGTTGATAATTTGTTGAAGAAGTTGGATTAGTGAAAATTGTGGCAGATTAATTAAATTAGTTTGGCAAGACATTATTAATATATATAGTTAATTCCATGATTAAGAAGTTAATTTTATTGTTATTAATTAATTAAATTGGGTTGTACGGTCACCTTTCACGGCAGCCTTTTGCCTAACCTAACAAAATTCAATTCAATTGTTTGGAATTATTCACTTTTGTCCTTTTCTATGTATATCATTTTTCACACAAACCCAATATATGATTATAATTAATTAGGATGTGATTTATGGATCTTCAATATTTAAATAGTTCTTTGGGTGTTATTATTATGAGAAGAAAAATATATTTTATTTTATTATAACATTAGTTATTATTAAATAAAATAATATATTTTTATTAAAAATAATATTAGATAACATTGATTTTTATTTTTTAAAAAAAACACGTACACATTCTTTTGTTGCTCATCCACTTTTTATTATGTTATACTTTTTTTTTTAGATTTTTTAATTGAAAATAGTTAATAAATATAGTACATATGTTCCAAGAAAAAAAAAATTTATATAATTTTTGTATCTCATTTAAAAATATCAATTTTTTATTACATTAAAAGTAATTATAAACTAATATCAAAATATTCTTAATTTTTATATAATTACAAATATATAATTATATATATAATGCAAATGATAAAATATCAAAATTATCTTACATATTTTTACTAACAAAAAAAAAATACTACTATTATTTTAAAATCTAACCGTACTCCATGGGTCTATTAAATATATACATAATTTTTCGTTTGTTCAAAAAAACTATTTATTTATTTATAATAAAAAATTTTTACGCAAATATTAATTTATATTATTTAATAATAGATATGCTACAATTATTTACATATTTAATTTATCAAAAAAATATTATTTTATTAATTCATTCATATACTATTAAAATATTTTTCTTTTATATCATAATCATAAATATAATATTATATTTATTAAAATTCCTATTTAGTACATTTGAATATATTTTTTTTGTGAAGGTAAAAGGCAGTAATTATGAATAAGAATTTCCTAACATGTCCTTATTTAATTGTATGTTATCCATAAGTTGTACTCATTCCGTCCCATTTTTTGCGGCCATATTACTATATATATATATATATATATATGAGAATTTATAAAAATATATATATATAATTAATAGGTAATTATAAAATATATTAGTAAAAATAATTATTGTATTATAAATTAAGAATAAAATAATTAAATAGTATAAGTAAAATTATAAATTATAAATTATAAAATTTAAAATGTATAATTATATTTCTTTAAAAAAAAGTAAATAAGGTAAGATCAATCAAAATAGAACTAGTGAACGAAAAAATGAGAAGAAACGGGTAACAAGCATTTTCATTATCAACATACGATAATTATGTATAGAATCGACTAATTGTATATTTACTAAATTAGATTCTAAAACTTGAATTAATTTAATTGTAGTTTAAATAATAATTCAAATAATTGTTGCTGCAAAGTCAAATAGTAAATGTCACGGTCACTCGTTTTCAAAATAAATATAATTAAGAGAAAAAGAAAAGTTAATGCTTTTATTTGTATTTATGAAACTTTGTTTTTTTTTTTTTTTTCAATGTTCATACAAAAATCATTGTATAAATATGTATAAATTTTGATGTAAGATACATTTATGTAAAATATATTTATAAAAAAATATATATACATAAAGCAAACTAGAAAACAAACACACACATCAACATCAGGATCAGGTCGAATATATTATTTTTATATATATATATACATAAATTGATGTACTTAATATTATATATTTTTATAATAATATAGAAACTCGTAATAGTTACTCGTCGTTTTTGTTGTGAGTAAATCCCAAGTCGAACTTAATAACTTACAAACAAGGCCAATAAAATAAGTCACGCTAGAAAAAATATATATAACATACAAGATTGAAGACATTGAAAATTTAAATTTATACCCAAATTCATCCCATGCCATCAAATCATGCCTAACCGAACTAATATTACATATTTTTTTTATAACATAAAAATTCGTAGTCATTATTCGAAAGTCCGCAATAAATTAACTATTACATATGTTAAAAAGACAAACGAGAGTGGTCCAATAGCAGTTTAATTTAATTTAATCTATTAAAAGAGTAGCAAAGTGGTCCCCCACCACCACCACAATAACAATAATAATAATAATAACACATATGTCTTTTTTTTTAAGTGAAAAATGAAGCGTAAAAAAAATATATAAATATTAATAATTGGGGAAATTAAGATGCCTCGGCACGTGTGAACACAGGAATACCAAGCCCAAGGCAGCGCCTAGGGAGATGCCACACGTGACGGATGCGCACAAATTAAAGTCAGCTGTTGTCTGCTAGACCAGATTTATCATTATTTTTGGTATTTCTTGTATTCTTTTATTATAGTGAAAAAAATTGAAAAATATAATAAATATGGTAGTAGAGAGGATTTATTTATTTTATTGTAGTAATTAATTTGCTATGTTACAGTTGATATGTTAATAGTATGCATTGCTTTTTATTATTTTTGCATTATATATTTTTAATTGCGGGCGTCTACATGTGTATCTTGCTGGACTCGTAAAATGAGTAACATGAATGCCATGTTACATATATACTTGTGATCAAATGAAATCAAATCAGATCAAATTTCACAGCCACTTAAAAGATATGATATGTTTGCTTCGCGTTTTCGATCATAATAAAATATTTTCTCTCCTCAAAAAAATAAAAAAACTAATAATAATTAAATTAATTAAACATTACATTCAAAAGATATTAAATCCAAGACATAAAAAGAGACGAGCACTGTCAATGCGTCTGGATGAAAAGGAAAATATGCACTAATAAGGCTCTATTTTTTTTAAAAAAAAAAAAATTAGTTTGATAAATGTCCTATTTTATTTAAAAAGAAAAAAAACCTGCAAATTATTTTTCACCTAAAGCATAAAAGATTAGGAGAACCGTTCAACTCCTCAATTTATCTCTCTTGCTTATCCAATACTAAATTTACATTCAAACTCTTTAAATACGACTGATTGTATAGCCACAATGATTCTACGTCCATTAGCTAAAAATAGATGGATTAATGTACATTGCCGACATACCAAAGAAAAAGAAAAGGTTGCGTATAAAAAAGATATAATGAGATACAATGGATTGCCTAGGATGAAAGAAAGATGCAAAGTAGAAGCATTTATCACTAAAAACAAAACCCAAAAAAGATCTTAATCTACACACGCGTTGACTAAAAGCATCAAACTCAGTAACATTTGGATCAGTTAAATTTGGTTGGTCAATAGAGAAGACTAATTTTCATAAGGTAAAAAAAGGACAATATAGGGACATCATTCCACAGTTACTACTATAGCTTTGCACTAGCTGTCCAATTATTTCATTTATTCAATAACTAAGTCATAATTGCTTAATTAACTTCACTAACTCAAATGTAACTCTAGAACAAATTGTACTATTAGTTCTCCAGATCTTATTGCATTCTTGTACACAACAATCATTAACTTCTTCAACTGTTCCAAACATGAGACCCCATATGTTATTTTTGTGTCCAAAGAATATGAAAATACAGGGATGGTATCATTGTAAAGGAGCAATTGTGTGGCAAGCACTTGACAAAGCCCAAATTGGTCATAAGGAAAATGGAATATAAACACAAGCAATTAATGTAGAAAACTATGGACCCTAATGCCACCCACCCCCACCCCCTCCAACTCTACTCTATGCCAATTTAGGACCCATCTACCACAAGACAACAAAATATATCACATCCATCCTATGAATATGAAGTGTAGGGAAAGAAAACAAGCTAAGAAAGAAAACAAAGCATAGACAGTCGCATTTATATTTTACCCTCTAGGTAGTTTCCGAATTTCAGCTATACTTACAGCTAAATCAAGTTAAGTCGGGATCTTGAAAAGTATTTTCATTCATTCGAGTAGAGTGTCAATAGTATAATGCCATAAAAAATTAAAAGCAATGTTATCAAAATATGCAGAACAAGAATGAATTCTTAGTCAATGCCCCAGCAGGAAAAGCATAAATTACCGGTAGTTGTCTGATACAAAGCTGAACAGGATGGACGCATAGCATATGGTTCCACAAGATGCAGTGAACACAAAGAAAAGCAAACAAGTTGAAGAAGAATGGGGCAGTTGTTACTGCAGCTTCAACACACTAATAATACGCCTTCCGTGGGTTGTTCTGCAAATAGTGAAAATTATAAAGCATGAGAAGCTTCTTCGGAATATATCCTATTTATGGATTTTTTTATATATATTGTTTCTGATGGGTGTTTTTATAAAACTGTACCAGAGGATTTGGCCTGTAACGGTAACCAAGCATCATCCGCTTCTTGTACTGCTCATATATGTCATCCTCGGAAGTAACCTCTCCCGGAGCATGAGCACCAACACCCAAGTTATCCTTCTTCACATCACCAGCCATAATTGGAGCAGCAATCCCACTTTTGGAGCTACCCAGGCCCTCACCTGTGGTGCAAACTCAGGTTATAATACCAAATAGAGTAGCAGGTGCAAGTTCTAGCAGTCAGGCATATGCAAACACAGTCCAGATGTAAAATTGTCAATACACAAAAATATTGTCAAAAAAGTAGCCCTCAGATACCATGTAATTTGTGAAAAAACATAGTTGTTATTTGCACTATCGAAATTGACATAACTACGGTACTGATCATTTTCAGTAATCATGAAACATAATCATGTTGCATAACAAATGATGTTAATTTAAAAGTTGTATAAAGTGATAGGCAATCAATGCTTGTACCGCAACTTTTCTTTATAAGGTCCACAAGATTGGCAATATGGTGCTAGATATAGTGCCTAATTGAATACTACTTTTGTAAGAAACGCCAAGTACTAAGTTCCCTTAGATGGAATGCTCCTATGATAAGGTCTCGGTATTTATACCTTCCTTCCAGCCCATTTTTGACAAGAGTCGGTGACCAACATTATCAGCCTGAATTTTCGCTCTTTCAGCATGCTCTTTTGCAACTTTCTGTGCTGCAGCATCATTACAGTTGGCCAGAAACTTCTCTAGCTCTTCAGGAGGAATATAATCGCCCATGTGGTGCCCTTTCTTTGGAGCTGAACAAAATAATTACAAAATTTTCACCAAGGGAGTAATTTAACAATGGCTTTCTGAATAACTGGGGAGGGAGAAAAGGGAATCAGGTAATAGAAACTACACATTGCACATGCTTTACAAATATTAGCACTAACCTTGCAGGGATGGAGGTGGGGGCATCTCATCCTTTGAGGATTTAGGAGGCCTCAACTTCTCTTCCTGCGCAGCCCTTTTCATGTAGTATTCCATCATTGCTATAGGATCTGACCCAGATGGAGCACTAGATTCACCTATCAGTATAAGATAAACATCAAACATTACCGAAAATTAAAAAAAAAAAAAAAAGAACAAAGATTACCCAATATGCGTGGTGCTGCAAAATATCACTTCAAATCACAAAAAGATTACCCAACATGCTGATTCATAACAACAGCACCTCAGTTTATTGAAACATCCCAAAACCATTCTAATAATAACAATAAATCAATGACTATTCAAATTGATTATTTTAAAAATGTCTTTTATTTGTATAAAACTAAATCAACAAAATGTACATAGCATATCTGCCACTAGTTTGCAATGATGCAAGGCTACCTCCTGTGTTATCGGTTTCATATAAAGCTGAGGCTGGGATCTGATATTTCGAATGTTGATAATGTGATCTCTTTGAGCCAGTTGTTGAGTTGGGAGTTGGACCAGTGCCTGGGCCAAAGACATAAATATAAGTAAATTAGCCAATTTGAAAATTCGGCCACATCTACACTAGATTTGGAAGGTCAGAAAGTATGGATACATATTCTATTTCTATAATTAACAAAACGTGTCAGTTTGGATGTCTTTGGAAACAGCTCAGTCAGCAAAATGAAAAAATATGTGCGGTGCCCAAGGTATTAGTGTAATGCTAACAGGTAAAATTACATCCACATGTCACTGGTGTAAAGGTACAGAGCCTAAGAATATTAACTCTTTACACCTTGCAAAGAAATCATGCTACAAATTGCTATCTAGATGTGTAGATGGTACTATAATAGAACACTCTTGACAAGTGCATAAAAAACCATAACAGCGAATAAAATCAATCTTCAATTTCATGGTAAACTGACATTTATGATATACAAGGGTTCAGAATCCAACAACACTTCATCACTCAATTATAATTAGTTCCAACGTGGCCATTCATGTAGAAGTAAAATCTAATCAACATGTAATTTTATTTTTCTTCACAGTTCTGGAAATTTTCAAATAGCTAACATCCCTTACATTTGTGAAATATTTCTATTAAGTTACTGATGTTTACAGGAACATTCTATTTCTTCAAAACTATGCATCAGCATATGCCAACTGTTTGCATTTTTAAATAGTATTCCCTTGGTAAATTTTCACTAATAACCAAATTTATCTGGAATTCATATACTAACCACTCTGTGATGTTTGAGAATCTCTAGATTGGGACAAAGCCTTTTCCTCCTCACTAAGTCGATATTCATAATATTTGTAGTCAGGACAGCTTTCGTCAAATAAAAACCTGCAGGAAATGCTATCAATATATATACACCAGGGCTTCAAAAAGAACAAATAAGTAAATAAATGCAATATGTATAGTAACATTTAGAAAGCAAGTCATCCGCAGACATGAAATAAGCCTCCCAGATATGACAAGCAAAAATTACAAAATGATATATATATATATATAAAGAGAAAACAAAGAAACACACTTCAATGTAATCTAAATCACAATGGAAGCTTCTTTAAGATTTTACAAGAGCCAAACACCGAAACCAAAATGCTTGAAATAAGGATGTGGGGTAAAATATCCACACCATTCGAGTAGATTATATGAATATCGGTGGATGATTTATCAATCATTCATTGAATATGAAATCCAATATTGGAAATACAGCATCCTCTTACCACACAAAACTGGCTCAACTACTCATTATTAATCCTATTACTTATTACTAATGCTTAGATGACAGGACACTAAAATCTGCAGGCAGATACATCTGAGAATGAAACTATTACTAAAGGTGCACCCAGCAGCTACTATTTTTCAATAAGATGGGATAAATGGCAACACTAATCATCATAAAGCATTTAATGTAAATACCATCCGAACAGTACAAGGCAATTGGTATCAATGCTTAATATTGATCCAGACAAGTATATAACAGGCAACCAAAATCATGGGGGAAGAAATGATTATTAAGGAATGGAAAAATACAAACCCATCAAATTATATCATGAATACACACAATTGTAAGTAAAAGGTCATCACAAATAAATTTGCTTACTTGAAGGGAGTGTCTCCTGGGTTCTTCTGCCTAGTTACATGCTCAAACTGCCTTCCATTCTTGGCCACAAAACTGGCTAACTTGTCTGCAACTTTCTTCACTGTAGGATCACTCGGAGAAGGCAGTGCTGCAGGTCACTTAAATAACTGATTAATACCAACAGCATGAACAAGTCAATGTAAATTACTGTAGCAGGGGTGCCACAAATTCCATATCTTTCAGTGAACATCTCTTCCCACGAATGTTGATAGAGATATAAGTATAAGCTGCATTCATCAGATAAAAAGCAATTCAAGAATGTTTTGCCCTCACTGCACCAGCTTGCATGAGAATAGCAGAGAACCTACTTTTGCCAACTACCCTGAAGTCAGTCATGGGTTAAATGAACTTCCGACCAAAAATAAGGCAAAGTTTCAACCAGCTGTGACAGAAAAACTGAAGACAAAAGCTCACCCAGAAGTAAATAAGAAAATGAATGACTTGGAGATGAATCCAAGCAATCTACCCAAAGGAAACACAGGGCCCACCCATCTTACGTATCATATAAAGTATAAACAAAGAAGAATTCTTTGGGAAAATTACTGCGGTCTGGTCTCTTGCAAATGAAAGACTAATATGGACAGGCTTAGTCCATGGAAAATGAAAAATTAATGGCACAAAAAGACCATAATCACAGGTGGTTGAAAAGGCTTTAAAATTTAAAGTTAAAACTACACCACCTCATGAAGCAACAGAACAGGAGCACAAACCATCTCAGTATAAAGAAAAATGTATGTAGGAATCCATAAAAATAAGGTATGAAAAATCAAGCAATCCATCGTGCATGCATGATGGGCAAAAGCTCCTCCCAGCAAAAATAATGAACATCTGATGTACTTTACTTTCCTCAACATTCATTGGGAAATGGCAGTTATTAGTGGATAAATGAAAGAAGTAATTACCAACATCAACTTGTCTTTTAAACTGATCAGAAGAGTCAGGTTGGCCCAACCTTGGCCGCTTGGTTGGCCCATCCCCAGAGGAATTTTCAGCATCCTTATCATCTTCATCTTCGTCCTCCCCAAACTTAACAGTTGTCAACAGTTTAGACTTTTGTTTAAGGCTGAATGCAAGCTTTCCACTTGAAGCAACTTGATTTGGTTTTCGCAAGTTATTAGCCTTAAAGTCAATGGTTGTTTTGCTAATGACAGTCTTTGGAAACGAAGTTACAACTGTACTAGAGCCTGAATTTGATTTACCCAATACTTCACTCTTATTCTTTTTCTCCTCCTCCTTCTGCTTCTCTTGTTGAAGCTGTTTAAATCTCTCCATGAATGAACCATCATTAGCAAATAATCCATGATCCTTTGCTTTATCCATTGCTTAAACGCCAAATATGACTCACAGCTCACAAGTACCCACTGCTTCACAGGCAAAGCTCAAAAGCTTTTTAGTAACAGAAAAGTTAAGTTTGACTCTAAAAAAGCAGAACCGCTTTAAATTAATTTAAAAGCACCACCCAACATTATCAACTTCCGATAAACTTATGTTCTGAAGAAGATGTACAAATTGCACAAAAGGAAAACATTGTCAAAACTCCAATATGAGCCCAAACCACGTCAAATACAACAAAGTAGTAGATAGATACGATCATCTCATGAACAAAGACTATTCAAGAAGAAACCTTAAACCAAGCTGATCTTGAGAGATTCCCCAAATATTATGCCATACATACTTAAATAAATCAAAACTCATAAAAGAACGCCAAGAGCCATATTCTTCCAAAAGTAGATCATGCACACTTGAAAGATATTATATCTATTCATACTAAATTTCTTAAGAGCATACGAACAAACTCCTGAAAAGATCCGCTCAGTAAATACACGATAATAAATCCTTAGACCTGGTGATTCCGCACGACTAAAAATATAAAATCAATTCGTTTAACATAATTTCTCACATAAGCGAAGTAATATTTATCGCAAAATACTCCGAGAAATCAAAAAGTACAATCATCAAAACCCTAAATCCGATAGTGCTATTTCTTACCTGATCGTTGGCGAACAGGATCAAGAGAGTGTATATAAATGAAACCCTAACTCCTTATCGATGACAATACAAATTCATGTCCCCAATCCCTCCTTGTGCAGAGAACAATCAACGATTCGTACCGATGGGAAAAGCGCTACGAGTGGCGTGGAACACGTCTTATATATACCTATGAGAAAATTAGCTACATACTAGCATGACGGTGCCCCGGTCCCGGAACTTTTGGATATTTCTTTTCTGACCCGGAATTTTATAATATTTCCTATTCCGCCGCATAGTTTTTGATTAGTCTGGTCATAGTTCGGACCTTGGGAAGGAAGCCAACTGCGTGCTCTGTTTGCTACTTCGCTGCCCCGGTCGACTCTGATGCTGTGGTGGTTTCATTTTGAATTTTCTACTAAACCATATTTTTTAAAAAAATTTAGTATTTTAATTATAGTAGTAATTAAAAGTAATAAAATGATTTTTTATTCTTAATTTTTGGTATAAAAATAATAATATGATATAAAATAAAAATATTTAATGATATTTACTATCAAACGTAAAAAAATATGTATACTTAGTAAACGGAGGAAAGTATTCCATAATTTAAAATTATACTCATTTGATGGTTTTAAAAAATATATATGTAAAAAAAGAAAAATTGTATATTTAAAAAAAAAATATATTAAAATATTTTTGGACGATAATAAAAAATAAATATAAATATGTTACATTATATAGCTTTGTTCACCAGGTATGCTTCTCCAAGCCCGATTTGGGCAAAATCACTGGTAGCGCCAAACCGGGCGCACCTACAGTAGACAGGCTGCACTTTTTTTTTTTTTGATTTAAAATATAAATATGATTTAAATATTTTATTTATTTAATATTTATAATAATTATAAGTTAAAAAAATATATACAATATATATTTCATTTTATATAAAATAAAATTTTATATAATATAAATAAATAAAAATTTAAATATATATATTGAGTATAATATAAATTTATAATCAAATTATCAATATAAATTTTATCAATTAAATTTAATACATATTTATATTATTTTATTCATTATCCATAGTATCAATACACATTAAAACTTCCCAAACCCCAACCAAACTCAAACACAAAACAACAAAATTCAAACACATCCCAAAATTCAAATAAAAACTAAACTCAAACTCAAATTTCTCCGAACCTCCCTAAAGAAACAATCACCCAATCTTTTTGAATTGATTAATTCTTTATATATAGTACAAGAGAATTAACTATGTTAAAAATATAAAAAAAATTTATCCTTTTTGACTTTATAAATAAATTAATTGTAAGATTAAATTTTAATATTATTTTTGTAATAAAAAATAAATTACTTTGCATTACAATGGAAAAAGTATATAAAATTCAAGATAAATAATATCACTAATAAATAAATAATATATATATATACACTGATTTTTTGAAAATTTACAACCATTATTCTTCCAGCACATGCACTCCTAGACAAGTTTAACTATTAGGGGAAAAAAAAAAAAAAAGATACACTTGACAAAACTAAAAATAAAAAATCTCAAATTAATAAACCATCAATGTCCTTACCCGCATATAAACTCTCCCTGTTATTCATGGCATGAATGAATAGAACAAACTATGGTAAGAAAGCTACTCCATTTCAGATTCAAATCCAATATTCCAAAAGCCTTCAGGAGTCATAGGAGGTGCGTACCTATACCGATGCCTCGACACTCCATCGTGATGCTCACACCGTATGTTCTTCTTATCACTTCCTGCAGCTGCATCGTCGAGAACAGCATCATAGAACTTCTTGCACTGGTTGCACTCAACACCCTTCAGATTGTCCCTCTCGGCTTTCTTTCTCACCGGCTCCACATATTTAAAACCGGACGTTCCAGCCTTAGGAGGCGGCGAACACAGTTTTGGAGGTCCAGCATCTGCTTTCATGTCCTGTGTTTCATCATCAGAGTTGCCGTGGATCATGTTTTCCGGGGCAGGTTCCTGGAGATCCTCCATGATCTTTCCTAAGTTCTTTCTCATGTTCTCCAGAGGAGTATCCAGGAAATCGTCGTGGGGATCAGGTCCCAGTCGGCTCTGATGTGATCTAGTGTCCCTCCAATATGAAAGAGGGCGTTTTGCACCAGATGTGGAGCAAGGTTTTGTATTGGTGGGGGAATTTGGAGGGATCGAAGTAGATGGTGAGATGGGACTAGAATTTTTTATGGATATGACTCCTCTCTTCACATCGGGTGTTTCTGCTTCTACATCCATTTGTTTTGTTACATCACCGGGTATTCGAAGAGCTCTTGAACCATTATTCTCAGCTTCTGCAATTGCAGACATAAAAAGAAAGTTAGGACAGGCACATTTTGATTCGAAAGATATAACTGAGCATCTGTTTATTTGTATTTTCAACTCCATTTTTACATTATGCATTATGCAATCTTCGGGACGATATTTTTTCCAGCCCAAAAATATCATTTTCAAAACTCTAAAAGCGCTAATCTGAACTCATGTACCATGTCATCGTTGAATGAAGATCAATACATTGTAAAAATCAATAATCAAGTGTAAATCAAGGGATTTCCACCAGTTCATCGTTGAAAGAGTTAGGCATAATTACAAGAAAAATAGAAGGGTGGATCTTACCGAGTGATATCAATGGAGTCTCGCTGAAAATATTTCTTTTGCTTTCGTCTTCCATTTTGTCAATTGGTGCTGACAGCATGTTTTCTTCCGTAAGATTTGATTTCTTTAAGAGGAAGCAGTATTGCGATTTTAAATTCTTATATGAAGCAACAATATATCTATTTTTACTCTTTTCATTCTGTAGTTCAGAATCTTTAGCTGCAATTTGAAGAGAAGACTGTTTCATTCTCTCAAAGAGACAACACTGAAGCTCATCAACTTTATCTTGCAAGTTTGTCTGTTTATCCAAAAGTTGTTTCCTCTCCTCCTCAAGCTCATCCAAACCGGGCTCCCTCTTAATCCTCTCTGAATGAGATGAATGAATCTGTTTGATTAGCTGCAGTGGCACTTTTCTCCTCTCCTGAAGTTCAACAGGTTCGTTTCCTAGTTCTCTTTCAAGCTCGTCAACAAGACTCATCAAAGTCTCAATTTTTGCTACAAGAAGCTTATTCTCCTTCTCATATCTATCCGACACTTGTTTGCTGCTCATCATTTCTGAGGCTTGGAGTTCAATCCTTTTTAGCAAATCTTCATGCAATTCCTTTCCTTTGCATACTTCTTCACTCTTGTTTTTGAGTAATTGAAGCAGCCCGTTAACCTGATTCTCCGTGCTTTGAAGCTTGGATATGAGTCCATTCGTTTGCTCTTTGTATTCCTTCAATTGAAGGTCTTTCTGTGTCATCAAAGAGACATTCAACTCATGTGCTTGCAAACACTTGATCTTCAGCTCCTTTTCGAAATCAACCTCCTCAGATTTCTTATTTAGCTCTAGTTGCAATTCTCCAGTTTCAAACTCCAGCTTCTTCAGCATATTCTCGAGCATGCAATTTTTTTCTTGGAGCTCTTTTATTTCCTTTTGTAGATTTTTATGCACTCCCTTGACCTCAATTATTTCAGTATTTTTCTGTTTCAAGTCTTGCTGAAATTCCTCAAGACGGCTGCACAATTGCTTTTCATTGCTAATAGATGTCGCCTTCTCCGACTTCAGCAATTGGTTTTCGTTCAACATATGCTGGTTTTCACATTGAAGTTTCTTAATCTGGAGCAGCAGGTCTTTCTCCTTTTCTTCATATGCTTTTTCTGAAGCCACCTTTGCTTCAGAATAAATTTTCTGAAAGCTCTGACAATTATAGTGAACCTTTGGATAAAGCTGTTTACAAAAGATGAATTCTATCTGAGAGATCCTGTCTTTTGCATCCTGTATTGAAGCTACCAAAAGAGTGCTGAGTTTTGAAATGGTTTTTGCATCCACACTATCAGCATGCCCGAGATTAGGAGAGGTCATCAGACTGCTCGACATGTCCGTAGAGGCAGCCGGTCACCTACAACAGCAAATTGCGAAGATGAGCAACATGGTTATAACAAATGTTCCCATCAACGCTAAACAACAGATTAGCACCATAAGGCAATAGGAACAATCAGCTTACATTAAACCCTGTCACCTAACACAAACAATTATTGGTGTGTTTTTTTTCCAGAAGCATCACTTGATCAAACTCTTTAAACAATTTAAAGCTTCTCTGTTGATGTATGCCAACAATTCTTTTCTTTCCAAACTGGTTGTAACTATAAAAGAGGGTAGAGTAACAGGAACAAGAAAGTAATTTGCAATTATCACGGCCATAAAGTAGTTCCACAACTGACTTAGAGAATAGGCTGTGTTTGTTTGTGAGATTCCAACTCAAATTTTACTGTTTATTAATTCTTCCCTGAAAGCATCAAATTAAACTTTTTACCCTTTTTTTTATTAGATATATCACATTAAAAATCAATTTTATTTTCAAACCATCCTATCAACACATTTATATTACATTAGATTAACTATTCAACCTCAAGATTTTACTATGCAGAACCCTAAACCCAACTTCAAAACCTACAAACAAGCACAACCCAAAAATATCCAATACAAAATACCTGTACTCTCTCCTATCCAGCTATCTGATTCATAGCAATTGGAATTCCAAAATCATCTCTATTTTCATATGCTTTCAGTGCTCCACATACACAATTCTGTTATTCTGAACCAAAAATAACCGAGTTTGTGAAATAAAAGAAACACTTAGGCTATTTGCATTTATTCGATCTAGGTGTTATCCAACGACATTTTAAGAACCACATCCAATACTTAACTTTAATAGTAAACCAACACGAAGAAACTCCCCAGCTGCCAGAAAACCAACGGGAAGATAGCGAAAACACCTAATAGTTCAACAATTCATTTACAAACGCTATCGTTTCACATAAAACTAGACAAAAATGAAGTAACGGATATATACTACACTGTTCAACGTAACTTCGCAATTCAAGAGTAAATCCAAGAAATATTTGAAAAGCATGAATAAACAGATAATCTACTGAACCATTGCCACTTTGGATTTGGGTGCGTCGAAAAAAAAAGTGGGCGAGTTTACCTGAGAATCGGCTGACTCGAGAGGATCGCAGAATGTCTCAGCAGAAGCGTACCTCACAAGCTTTTCACACGCCAGGAAAGTTTTTCTTCTAAAGGGTCCCGGGGCGGGGAAATTAAAATTGAAAATGATTGGATGAAACGGATCCGGGCCGAGTCCGATTGTTGCGTCAATTGTCGGGTTAGATAGTGTGTGATGGACCAGGAAAAGTAGGCTCGTTTTTCTCTGTTTTTAATTTTTAATTTTCTTATTAATCTCACATTTGTACTTATTTTCTATTTTTATCCCTATATTTACTTAATCTTAATTTATAATCATTTTTTTATTACAATATTTTAAAATTATAATTTATTTAGTTACTTAATTTTAATTTATAATTATTTTTATTAATTCATAGTTAAATTTGTTCGTCAAATAATTTCTTTTCAAAAATAAAAATATTCCCACTAAAACAATATACTCATTTAGCCAAGTATTTTTTTAAAAACAAATATATCAAAATAATATTTTAACAATAATTGAAAAGACCTCATTTTTAAATTTCAAACAATTAAACCATAGGGAGAGGAAATCAGCAAAATTGGTAAATCAATCTAGACCTGACCTGATTCGGCCCTAATTTTCAGATTCCAAAGATACTTATATTCTTATCAATTATCAAAACCTTCAACTTCATCAATAACAGATAAACCTGAATTCAGAACAAGTGTATATAAAACTCACAATAATCCTCGGAAACATTGATCTAAATAATCTTTCAAGGTTTACTTCAAAACTGAAATCAAAATGCATAAAACAGAATACGATAATTTATTCTTCCTCATCGATGACCTGAGTGCTCAACCCCTTCAACCCTCCCTCGGGGACCTCCGCAACGGTCACCAAAGAGTAAAGCTCCTCCTTGGCATCTTCATCATCATTCCTCTTTCGGGCAATGCGAACACGGATTCTTCTCGGCACACTGCGGATCCCGCGGCTCCAGATGTGCTTGTTCAGCTTGACATCAACTCTCACATCTGTGGTTCCCATTGCCTTCTGGGCAAACTTCCGGATTTCCTTGATTGCTTTGGGAGCCTTCTTCTTGAAGGTGCTGCAGAAGTTATACATGGCAATAATTTATATGAAAGCCAAATTGCTTAGACAAGTGTAAGAGATTTCATTGTGCCAATCATCTTGCTTTTATTGAGCTGCCAAATAGTGATTATACACGATAGAACAGATATTAAAGAATATATTGAATTCCATAATATTGGCACCTAGATCCACTTCAACAGACAACACAAAACATGACCCGAGTACTCGCATACAAACAATCTAATGCAAACGAGGGCAGGCAATTCTGTTTGCTGGCAGGTCAAGAATTCTTTGATTGCTAAAATCAGAACTCAAATCCGGACTTAAACATGTATCGGCTTCCTGTTCAACACAAATCCTAGATTTGTACAGCCACTAGAAATTGTATTAGACCAGTTGTGCAAATAATCCACCAGCCATGGATATTATACCCTAAAAGTAACTGGCAGCAGGATAAGTGAGTCAAAAGTAATCTAGAAAATTCACAGATCGACATCTTAAGCAATTTAAATTTTTAACCAGAGTCGGGTTGGAGAGTCCCAAATACCACTTGCAATCACAGTACTGCTAGGACCTAGTTTGTAAGCTAAAAAACATACTCGGATTTAGGACCACAGCCTCTTTAATCGGATTAAATCTGCATCGGTATTTCATTACTTCACACAAATCCAACTTGCCGAGGCGTGCGCTAAATTTCTTTCACAATAAACACATGTAAATAGAACTCCACACAGAGAGCACAGTAGAATACACATACAACAAAAGAGAGGCAGGTATCCCCGCTTCGGACTACAGATCATCAATTGAACGGTATGCAAATAAAACAACATAAGTTATTCATGTACCCTACAAGAAACCGTTCAGCGATGACGCCAAAGATAAGCTACTACAGATCTAAATTACGCCTAAATACAATCCCCATCGCACAGTAAGACTCGAAAAGCAAAATATAAAAATAAAAGTGCAGAAAGAGTACCATCCATGGAGGCGCTTGTGGAGGTTGATTGTATACTCCCGCGTCACAACCTCCTCCTTCCTAACCTTGCTACCTTTCTCCACCATTTTCGCCGCCGATGATAGTACCAAAACCCACCGCCGCTTTCTTCCTGGAGCTTATAGCCGCTAAGAAGAAGCCCTAATTCCTCGAAGCCAAATCAATATATACTATCTGCTATCACAGAAAGACCCTAGCTTTTCTTGATAATTACATATTTACCCCCGACAAAATAAAACCCTGATAAGCGTAATAAAAGCCTTAAAGTATGGGCTCTGAAGCCCATATATTTTATTATGGCCCGTTATGAACAAAAGGCCATAATATTCCATAGTTTTTATATAAAGTATCTAATTAAAACCACATATTTATCACTTTTATATTTTTTTAGTAAATTTATCTATTTTAAGGGTGTGTTTGTTTGGGGGTTTGGATTTTGAGTTGGGATTTGAATAGTAAAAATTTTGAATTTGAATAGTTGTATGATGTGATATAAATAGGTGATGATGTGATATTTTGAATGTAAAATTGATTTTTAGTATAATATAAAAAATAAAAAATACGTGTTTGATTTGAATGTTTTTTGGAGGAGAAAATTTTGGATGAATAGTGAGATTTGGACCAAATCTCTCAACCGAACACACCCTAAATATATTTAATAAATATAAATTAATTAAATTAAAATTTTAAATTTGAATTACTCAAAATCGTTTTTTTTATATTTTTTAATAAATAAATATTTAATTTATATTTAAAATTTTTTTTTTTATAAAATTAATTTATATTAATCATAAATAATTATATATTCATGTAGTTATTTATATCATATAAAAATATTTTTTTAATTTATAAAATAATATTTATATTATAAAATATATTTTATTAATATATAATATTTAAATATTTAAGTATGTATTTTAATTATTTTAATTGTATATATTAACTTTTATTTTAAAAATATCAATACACCATTCACATAAAAATAAAAAAATAATAAATAAATAACCACTTAATTTCACTCAAGTTTTCATTACTTTAAATAAATATGTGTCACAACCAATCGAATCAAACTGTTTCAAAACAGAGACAATATATTAAAACATCATTTTATGTTTTTAAAAAATATATATTACAAATAACCAATTTATTGTTGATGTAGCATTTTATGTACGCATGCATTCCTAAAATTTTGAACAATATTTATCAATAGTAATTTTTTTAAAAAATATTATATTAAATATATTTTCAAATAAAATATCAAATAAACTATTAATTTTTTATTATTTTCAAAATAAATTTAAACATCATGGATGTGTTTATTTTATGTTTTGATTTGAAATTTTTATATAAGATATAAAGATGATGTATGTAATATAAAAATAATGAGTATGTATAGTATATTTATTTTTTTAAAAAAAAAATAGAATTTTTTTTATAAAAGAAACAAATCCCCTTATGATTGTGTGTTGATGTATTTATTTATTTATTAAAAATAATAATAATAATAAAAATTGTTGCAACAACCTATACACTAGATCATAGGGTCTGTCCCCTAAGCATTTAGTTTGGCGCCCAAACTTCCATATATAGTGTTCACAGTTGAACACCCAAACATGGCCTAAAAAAACACACCAGCGTCCTAAAGGTCCAAAGAGTTTATATTTAAGGGTGTATTTGTTGGGGAGTTTTGGATTTTGAATTGGGATTTGAATAGTAAAAATTTTGAATTTGAATAGTTATATAATATAATATAAATAGGTATTGATGTGATGTTTTAAATATAAAATTGATTTTTAGTATAATATAACAAATGAAAAATAGGTGTTTGATTTGATGTTTTTGGGGGGAAAAAATATGGTTGTTGAGCACAAAATAATGGATAGGTTTTAGGAAATGGGTCTGCCAAGATTAGGTCATCCGAAATGTCCCATGGGCTTTTAAAAGTCCAAATATGATTGTCGGATGAGTTTTGAATTTGTCCAAAATAGGTCGGGTAAATCCCCTAGGTCGGGCGAATGAGGAGATTGGACCCGGTCGGGACCAAATAGTTCGGACATCAAAATCGGACCTAATCAGGTCGAAATCCGAGGGTCAGATTGAAGAAAGTCGGACGGTTGATAAGATTGGACCTGGTCGGGACCAAATAGATCGGATATAGAAGTCGGACCTAATCGGGACAAATTCCAAAGGGTCGGGCATAGGAAGGTTAGGTATTAAAAATAGTTATCCTATAGGTCGGGTAAAATGCAGTTTCTGGCAGTGGGGAGTAGTTTCAACTAGTGAGCGGTTTTTAAAATCGGACGTGACGTGATGGTTCTCGTACATGTCGATAGAAGAGAATTTTTTGGGGAGTTAACAACGGTTATGGTAACTGACCGGATAGCGGTTCGAACCGTATCTTCAAGGGGTTATTTAAAGATTCTGTACGGTATAGAGAGGGCATCTTCAATCGACATCAAATTCAAGAAAATCGCTTTTGGGGATCACCACTTTATTTTTCAGTCTTTATTTTATTCTTATTTCTTTCTATCGTGTTTAGAAGTTTCTAATTTCAGACATTCACCTATCAAATTCGGGAATATGTCTTTATTTTCGAGTTTTACTTTTTATTGCTGAAAAAACGCATCAACAATGATGAATAGTGGATTTGAAATCCAATCCCCCGAACAAACACACCCTTGGGAAAAAATGGGATGAATAGTGGATTGGAAATCCAATCCCCCGAACAAACACACCCTAAGGGGATTGGATTTCCAATCCACTGTTCATCCAATTTTTCTCCCCAAAAGCATCATTATCTTTTTTTTTTCTCAAAAATACTAAATTAAATATTTATTTTTTATTTAAATATTAAAAATTAATTTTACATTCAAAACATTACATCAACACCTATTTATATCACATCATACAACTATTAAATTCAAAACTTTTACTATTCAAATTCCAATTCAAAATCCAAACTCTCAAACAAACACACCTAATATTTTAAATTTTTATATTATATTTATATTATATGAATATAAATATTGTATTTGTTATAGTAACATTGTATATTTTTTTTGCAATATATCATATGATATTAAACACAATACTAAAATTTTAAATTTATCACCATAACAACTGCTAATTTCGCTTTTAATTACCGTATTAGTTGGGAAAAAATCCGATTTCTCTAGAAAAAACACATATTTAAAAATCCGGATAGTATTATCATTAATGCATATAACACATGTTATTTGAAATGAGAGGATGCCTTATATATTCATATTTAAAACGTATGTGACATTTTATAGAAATATATTGTGTATTATATAAAAGTATGTCGTGTGTTGTTATAACTTTTATTGTCTTTATATTATATTAATGTAAATAATATATTTTCTCGTAGTTCATCTTGTGTTATATAGCATATATTGATTTTTTAAATTTATTATGGTAATCACTGATAATGTGAAAAGGATATTGTTAATATATATTTAGAAGTAATATATTATATTTATGGTAGTTGTCTTATTTAAGAGATTCGTAGAATTCTTGTTTTATTTAAAGGATTTGCATATTAATACAAATATGTACGTATTCCTATGATTGAAATAGAGAGTTTTAGTTTTATATTATAATATGATATTAGAGTCAAATTCTTTTCAGGTACATCAATGATCGGTAATATCCCATATATATTTTTATATTTTATTGGTGTATTTGCTTATATCTACGGTCATGTTGTCATTTTTATGTTGTCTCCGTCTCTACTATTTCGATCTCCACTGACATAGTTCTACTTTCAACTCTGATGCCGTTGAGAGTCATGTTTCCAACTATAACTCTATTGAGATGAAGTAAGTCATGTTTCTGACTCTAACTCTGTTGTGAGCGAGCGAATCATATTTTCGACTCTAGTTCCGTTATGAACGAGTGAGTCTTGTTTTCAACTCTAACGGTGTTGAATTCTAATTTTGACTCTGATTGAGTGGGGACGGCAACACCACTTTTAATCAATGGCAACTTCAAGTTTGTTCGTGGAAGATCTCGAATATATTATTTTCGGTCACTTTTGACAAACTTAAGTTTGTTCAATTTAAGGAGATATGTTAAAATATATTTAGAAGCAATATATTATATTTATGGTAGTTGTCTTATTTAAGAGATTCGTAGGATTCTTATTTTATTTAAACGATTTGCATATCACTATAAATATGTACGTATTTCTATTATTGAAAAACAGAATTTTTATATTCAAACATATACCATTACAAATCATCTCATGAGGGATGATTTAGTAGTGCGAGGTAAACTCGTAACTATGAAGTCGTGAGTTCAAACCTCCAACATATTCCGATCTTATATATTATACATGATTCATTTAATATGATTTGTCTTAACGAATTTAATCTGCATTCTATTTAGTTACAATGATATGATTTTAGTAGCCAATATTAATACATCAAGAAGTATTAAAAGATATCCGGTGGTAATAATATGACATCAATGGCCGATATCAAATCATTAAGGGAGATGGAAGACCAAAAATGAGGAATCAAAGAGGTATATTGTCTTAATGTCTTAACTTATATTAAATCGTAGAGTCAAAATAGTAAAAAATCAAGCAAAATATGAAAAAAGATGCATATACTTTTGTTAATTATTTATTTTTTACTTCCATTAGTTTATTCTTGGTATTTTTGCATTCAATTTTTATTATTTTCATATTACTTTTTATAATATGAAAATTCATCGTATATTCTTTTACTAAGGCGACTTATGTTACTTTTTATTGTTTTATTTTATTTTAATTTACTTGATAAGTCCAATATCAATTCTAATGCTTATTTGAGTCTGTCAATAATTATCTATATAGCTTTGCAGGGTAACCTAATTTAAAGGCCGTTTGAGATAATAATATTTTCCAAGACAACACATTTTATGATGCAAGATGTTTTTTGTGTTTTTTTTTTTTTTCTTAAATCTAATTTAGTAGTATAAGAATTTTAGAAAATTTAACTTTTAGAGAATATTAAAATAGTAAAAAAAATAAAAAAAATTGTAATTATGATTTGTGAAAGAATAATATATTTTCCCCCTATCTATACATTTATTTGTTGTGTTTTTTTATAAAGCTAAAATCCACAACTGTTACTATTTGCTCTGAGTAAAATTTTAATTGATCTTAATAACCTACAAATTAGGTCCAATAAGACAACCATACTATCGGAACGTTGTGCAGCATATTTCCGTCCAAATTCATTTGTCATGTTTGCATATGTGTTGAGATTAGCTTTAAATTCAACATTATTAAGTTACATCTTAATTCTTAACTATTAATTAAATAAAATTAATTAAGTCATTTTAAACATATATATATATATATTTTAAATTAAGGATGAAATTAATTACTATCACGCAGAAGTTATATATTCAGCATTACATTTATTATGCACCATCAATTTATTCATTTTTCTTTTAGTATCTAGAAAAATTATATCAACTAAAAAGAGCAACTAAATATTTTAAGAATATATGCGACCATTTTTTTTTTATAGTAAATTAAAAATAATATTTAAAAAAAAAATTAAAGATATTATTGTATTTGTATATAAATTACTTAATATATGATATAATAAGAATTATATATTTTGAACATGCCAGGATAAAAAGTATAAATCTCAATTAGTGTGCGTTTGTTTGAAGGATTTGGGTGAATTTTTATTATTTATATAAATTTTTTTCTCAAAAACATCAAATTAAATATCTATTTTTCATTTTTTATATTATATTAAAAATTAATTTTACATTCAAAACATCACATCATATAGCTATTCAAATTCAAATTTTTTATTATTCAAATCCCAATCCAAAATCCAAACCTCCAAATTTTTTACTATTACTTGTTTTTTGTACATTATATTTTAAATAATAATATTATAGTAATTTGTAATATAAAATAAAAATATTATTATTATTGTATAATATAAAAATAATATTTATATAATATATCTAAAATTATAAAAATATTTATTATGTTATGACAATTGACAACTGCGACAACTAATAGTGCAAAAATACCTCCAAATACACATATGCCCAAACATTTAATAAATTTTCGTAGAAGATTAAATAAAAATTGTTAAAACATCTTAACGATAACAAAATATAAACGAGAGAAGAGAAAAAAAAAAACAAAAAAGGAAAGAGTACACACAAAAATAAGGAAAGAGACGATGATGGAAGAGATAAATGAAAAAAAAAAAAATAATAATAATTTTAAGAGGGCCTGACCTAACTTGGCCCATTTAGGTAATTCAAAAACTTTTATTTAGCCTTTTTACATAAATAATATAATTATTAAATTAAAAAAATATATTTTATTTTAAGATAAAAAATAAAAAATGATAATTTTCGTATGGAGTAGTGAATATTTTTTATATAAAAAATAATATAAAATAATACTTTTTATTATATTATTATTATTATTATTGAGTGAATCGAATATATATTGTATCGTGTTATATTATATATTTTTAATAATATTTATAGGACATTGAGTAAATGAACTCTTATGGCAAAATTTTATTCAAATAGTTAATGAAAAGTTTTGATATATTTTTTTAATATATATAAATTAATTATTTATAAATAATATATTTATAATTTAAGTAAAATTTAAAATATTTTTAGTATTAATATAATAAATATGGAGGAGCAGAATGCAAATAATTCTTACCAATTTCGAGGCAGTGGAGAGGCTCCTTCATTGCTTACTCGGCAAGCGGCAGTCGGCGCTATCAAATTACAGTCGCCGGCGGCACTGAGCGAGCAGCACGTTTCACCGTCTTCGAGAATTTGTAACGTACTTCGAATTCAATTTACTTCAAATTTTCCTTTTCGTTCGCCTTCCGTGATAGTTATAATGTTCCGGTTTTTCATTTTTGATAATTTAAGTTTTCAATTAATGTTTAATCTCCGTTTCTTCTTTGGGTTTCAGCTCAGTAAAATGCGTTTTGCCTTTTGCTTGAATTCGTCTTATCCAAATTGTTTTGATACCGTTTCAGGAGTTTTTCTGAACCTGATAATTCATATTTCAATTGGGTCTGCGATTATGAGTCTTTGTTGTTTTTGTCAGCTCTAGAATTACATATTTGGCGAAGCGCAATTCACTCGAATTCGTCTTTCTTTTGGGCTTGTATGTGAAGAAGATTTGTAATGCAGGTTATGCTTGCTTTAGGTCTTGTTGGTTTGTGTGTAAAATTTATCAGATGTATACATACATGTATATTGTTCGATTTTATATATTTTGTACTATATTGACATACGGTTGCAAGCATGGTTTCTGATGCACATTGGAAATGATAGATTTATTTTGTCAATGTTCGCAACTGAAGCTGGGTTCGTTTGGTTGCAGTAATAGTTTATTTGTGAAGAGTAGGACTCAATATAACTACATTGTTTCACTAGCGAGATTTTACCACTATTATAGGATGCTTGACTAAAGTTCATTGAAACAATTTCCTAACAATGAAAAAAGATTGCATATATATTTGTATAAAATCTTGAATCCCTATGATAGTTTCGGGTGGCGAAAATTAATGGTCTGTTATTTTATCTAGAGCTTTAACATTTTGCTTCATACTTGTTTTGATTTATTTTGTTGGTGTTCGACGTGTTTGCAAAGTTTGACTTGGTGCTATGAAGGAATGTATATCAAATCTTTTCTACAAATGTTATAGAATCCAAACATTGGATCTGAAAGTATGTATTAAATACTGCTACAAATATTCATGAATCCAAGCAATGAATTTGAATTTCTGACATATTTAGGTATTTCAAAGGTAGTCATTACTTATTCTTAATGTAGATATTTTATAAGATTGTATATAATATCTTTCCTTATTTGTACCCTTATTCATCCATTCATACACTTGGTCTTTGTGTTATCATGTTAAGAAAATATTATAAAAGGAATGATATATAATACAGTATTACTAGCTGGATGACCATATTCAAGCACTTTAACGGCACTTATGATTTAACGGCACTCTGTTTTTAACATGATAGTTAATTGAACTTGATTGTGCACTTGTTTCTATGTTAATTATGATTCCTAGCTATCTACAATCTTAGGTGTGCGTTTGTCTTTCAAATTTTGTTGTAACTCATCTCATGTGATGCTATTTGTCTCTGCTATATTCCAACTTAATATTTGTCTCTTCAAATATTAATGAACCCAAGCAATGAATTTGAATTCCTGATAGTTAGGTATTTCAAAGCTATTCATTACTTGTTTTTAATATATATATTTTATAAGATTGTATATAATATGTTTCCTTATTTGTTAATCCATTCATAGTTGGTCTTTGTATTATCATGTTAAGAAAACATTATAAAAGGAATGATATATGATACAGTATTAATAGCTGGATGACCATATTCAAGCGCAATAACAACGCTCTTTTTTCAGCATGATAGTTAATTGAACTTGATCGTGCTCTTGTTTCTATGTTAATTATGATTCCTAGCTATCTACATCTTAGGTGTGTGTTTGTCTCTTCAAATGTTGTTGTAACTCATCTCATGTGTGATGCTATTTGTCCCTACAACATTCCAAGTTTAATATTTTGATGATTTTTAACATTTTTAACTTAAGAGGGTGGAGTATTGAGATTATCTATTTTTTAATTTTCATATAATGGAATAAAAGTAATAGCCGGAGTACTATTACATATTTTTATATGGTTGAATTTAGTTCTTTATCTACCACGCTACTTTTATTATCAAATTCAAAGAGTACTACAAGTACTGTAAATGTACTTTCAGTGGCTCAACCACCATATTTGTATGTTTCAATCAATTTACAACCTTTTCACTCTTAGAATGCAAAATGATAAATATTACTTATGTTTTCCACAGAACTGAAGGAGGTGTGAAGTGTCAGGTGTCGCTCAGCTTACCGTGACAATAATGCAGACCTGGAGAGCTGCTACTATTAGATTCTATATTGCATAGGAATTCATCTTTTGTGTGGATAATAATGGATGACAATATGGGAGACGTCTTTTGGCTGGAGGAGCCCAGTGGACAACCACCTTGGATGAAAAGCAAGAGAAGGGCTAAGAAAAGAAAATTAGAGTTTGTTGGGTGGGGATCTAGGCCATTAATTGAATTTCTTGAAGCAATAGGTCAGGATACAACAAAGAAGCACTCTCAACATGAGGTGGCATCATTGATATCCAAGTATATAAAGGACAACAATCTTGCAAGTGCAGCAAAGAAGAAGAAAGTCCTGTGTGATGAAAGACTTTATTATATTTTTGGGAAGAAGTCCATTCCTCGAATAAAAATACCTCAGATGCTGAAAGAGCACTTTGCTGAAACCCATAGTGATTCTGATAGTGACATGCTAGATACTTCGGAAGAAGAAGATCATAAGAACAATGCCACTTCCCAGAAGCAGTTTCTGAGACCTCCTCGAAACTGCTTTGCTGCTATTGTTCCTGAAAATATTAAATTGATTTATCTAAAGAGAAGTTTAATTCAGGAGCTACTCAAGGTTCCTGAAAGCATTGAGTATAAAATAACGGGAAGCTTTATTAGGATGAAATCTGATCCCAATGACATATATCAAAAGAACCGCTTCCAGCTTCAACTAGTCACAGGTGATTAGGCATTTTGTTGTTATAATTTTTCTTATAATACTTGTGAATTAATCAGAGTCAATCTACTTGCTAAACCTACAAAACAACCTTTTTTTGTAATATGCTTTCCTGTTAAGGTGCCCTTCAGTTTCAGATCTTACGAGCATTTCTTGCAAGTCACTTGCATTGAACACCTCTATAACATTGTATTGTTTTTATAAAAATACGAAAGTTAGTTTACTCATCTCCTTTGTTTTCTTTATCAATTTCTGACCTTTCATTTTCGTATATCCTATATTTTGTCAGAAATCTTTATGTTGCCTTGTCCCTGCACTATTCGCATTCTAGTAAATTCATTCGTTCTTTCTTTATATATATATATATTATATCTATTTCCCATTTGATATAAAGTATATCTTTTTATATTTTCCAATTTCTTATCAATTTGTTATAAAAATATTTTTTCTAACCCCCCCCCCCCCATTTGTTTTACTGTTTTACATTCCCTTTTTTAATAAATGATCCAATGGATTGTATATTTCTTAATGTTTTCTTGCTTGTTAAAGCTGTTAATGAAAGTGGCTTTATAAAATTGCTGGCCCTTTTTGTTATTTATTTTCAAACTAGTGTCTTTCGTATTCTAAGAAATATACTGCAGCCTGTATGGGCTGTTTCTTTGATCTCTATGATGTTACACACTTTATAATGAAAATTGACTTGCTATACATGTTTCTAATATGATTAATGACTAGCACTTGAAATATAATATTTGTTTTGTTTTTTATTTTTTTGTTGAATACTTTATAAATGTATTTTATTGTACCTCATGACGCCTCAATGAGGTTTGTGCAATTATAAAGTCTTACTATAAATGTATGCCAGTGACTATGTATTGGACAAAGTCTGAATTGCTAGGTTTCAATCATCTCTTCCGCACTTCATTTCTTGCATATCATATTATATATGCATATTTATGTTTTTTGTTTGCTTCTCAAACTTGTTTATTTTGCAGGTGTAGTGAAGGTTCCTGGAACAGGCGATACTGGTGTTGAAATCCACCTAAGAGTTTCAAACTTCTTTAAGGAAATTCCTATTTCCCAACTTTCTGATGATAACTTTTCTGAGGTAAATTAATCATGTATACCTGTAAACCTATGAATAGTGATGTAATTTGGTGAATTAATAATTTTAAGCACAGAAGCAATTGTGATATGATCATACTTTTATTCCTTGCAGGAGGAACTTGAGGATTTGAAGGATAGAGTAAAAGCTGGCTTGCTTAAAAAGATGACTGTTGTAATATCCTTCACCATAAATGAATCTTTTGCTTGCTTACAACTTTGAGATGCATGTACATGAAAAGTTCTGCATACTGCATTTACTACATGGAATCTTTTGCTCTGAAGCAGTTGATTAGGAAAATTGAACTAGAGGATATCCGAGTATTTTGCCTTGGTGTATCTAGGATAGGAAATCTTCACTTATCTCATAGCAAGAGATGACATAATTATCACTTTTAATTACTACTTGTATTCTTGTCCATTTCTTCACCATTGCAATTTATTGAATTTACTGTTGTCATAATTACAGAGCGAACTGGAATTGAAGGCCAAAATGTTGCATGTTGATATAACAAATCATGTAAGTGCTGCTATTTTTCCCTTCATTCTGTTTCATTGTTACGATATTGATGAACTTAGTCTCATGAGTATCAAGTAGCATTGTTAAAAGTAACTGAAGAAAAATATTAACTGAATATTACCAGAAAAGATGACTGAAATATATTTTATTTGTATCTTGGAATCAATTGAGACATAATTAAACCCCTATGTTTTATTGGTTCTCTCTCAAATACTTGAATTGCCCCAAGTGATTATGAATGCATTATATTACTAAACACATGAAATAATTATAGTATTGACTGCTAATATACAAAATTAATCATTCTGTCTTGATAATCACTAATTTCAGTTACTTTTTTATTCTGGGTTTTGGTTGATTTTAATGCATTCTTATTTAACTTTGTCATAGAGGATTGAGAAAGAACTTGCTGTGTTACCAAATCTCATTGATCGTGCCAATGAAAAAGGATGGAGAAAAGAATATCCTTCAAAATGCCAATGTTATTACATTGGAACTTTTACACTGCACCTTAAAAGTCCTTTGTTTGGGTAATATTATCAGTAATATGTTCTAAGCACATAGAATATTGGCCAAAGTTTATTGATGACATTCGTGTATCATTTGTGTCGAGTAACAGAAGGAATTGAAGGGCTTTGAAGATCTACTCTAAAGTAGGATATATTACACTTTTTGTGGTTGTCTCCAATATTTGCCATAATGTTTTGTTTGGAATATAATTATGGTAAAGCTCAAATTGAGTTGTATATCCATATTATTCTTGTAAGACTTCTCATTATTAGGGCATTTCTATTAGTTTCAAGAGGAATACACACGATCTTACTTTCTCGTAGCCTAGTTGGCTTTCAAGATAGATTTTGTGGGGAAGGGTATCGAAAATTTGGGAGTTGTAACCTTGATATTCAAGTACAAGCTGTATAAAACTACACTCTTGAGATCTTTGATAATAATCCATGTCAACATATATAACCACTGTAGCTCATTGAAGAAGATTTTTTACCTTGATTCAGTTAATGATTATTTGCCCCTCATTCAAAACTCTCTTGATTTACATCTTCATATCCCTATTGCTAGTAGTAGGAAACCCGTAAGGCCATATCCCATGCTTTTTTTCTCCTTCTCCACTCATGACTGGTGTTGTGTGTAGTGGTTCACATCTTTCAGTTCATGGTTGATTCCATTGTCTACTTAACTCTTGAGTTACATTCTTTGAGCATCGAGAAAGAAAGAAGTTGCTAGAGACACCATCAGAGAGAGAAAAACTATTGAAGAAGATTCCAGAAGTGATTGCTGAAGAAGAACCTAAGAAGGCACTAGTTGTCCCTTCTGAGACACCAGAGAGGGAATCCCCTCCAGCATCAACTGTCGGGGGTAGTTCAAATCTCCCCAGTGCAGGTTTGCTCTCCATCCTTCCTTGAAGCATGGATTAATAATACCAAACTCTTGACATTCTAATTCTTTCCAACTTTCATGCCTAGTGATTGTTAGTTTTAGACAATTTGCTAGAGATCAAATCTTAATATAAAGCATTACTATCTTGCAGGAATTACCTGTAAAGTGTTTTTTTTTTTTCTTGTCAAGAGCTTCATTAATTTGTGACGAGTTTGAGAGGTGGAAGAGAAGTGCAACTTCTTTTCCCCTCCTCTTTAAAATATTCTTTTTAAAGCATTATTTTGGATCTGCACAGTATGTTGTCTAATTGCACCCCAAAGTGATTGTGGTCCTTTACTTTTCGATCTCATAGCACATTTTCAGAGTTTGAAGTTAATGTTGTTTCATTTTGAAATACAGATGCTCTCAAAGTTCGAATTGGGGATCCCAACAGCTCTGTGCCTGATAACAATTCTAATGGTAATATGTTCCTACCTGCACTATCTGCACACAGATTTCATGTATACATCTGTAACACAGTTTCCGAATCTGAAGTTACTGTTGGTTCATTTCAAAATTCAGATGCTCTCATGTAACATATTTCTAATTGTGCTGTTTGCGTAACCATTTACACAATAAGATTAAATGTATGCCATTTATGCATTTTTTGTTTCAAAATTCAGATGCTCTTAAAGTTCGAACTGGCGAAGCCAATAGCTCTGTGCTCATCAACAATACCAACACCAATACCAACGGTAACTTGTTTATACCTGCAATATTTGCATTACACGTACACATGTTTCGATCTGCTGTACTTGGGCCCTAAGATATCGTGCATTGCATATATCTATGGCACAATCTCTCGACTGAAGTATCTGTTGTTTCATTGAAAAATTCAGATGCTCTCGGGGTCCCAATTGGAGATGTCAACAGCTCTATGCTCGTAAACAATGTGAACGGTAACATGTTTCTTCCTGTGCTATTTGTTGCGAGTTGCTAAAATTTCCTTACATGAATTTGAAGAGAGTAGTGTGTTTAGATATGCTTGGAAAATGTTTTAGTTTGTTTTGATAATACTACAAAGTTGAATAGATATTAGGCTTTGTTTTTATATATGTTCTTTAAAATTCTAGCAGTTTTTTTTTAAATCACATTAAATATTAATTTTTTATTATTTTCAAAACTGTAAAACTTAAAAATGACATCTAAAGCTAGGTGTTTGATATAATTTAAACATATAGTAGAAGTAATATTTTAAATAAATAGTAAATTTTGATGTAATATTTTGAGTATAAGATTTTTTAAATTTTTTTGGTGAATAGTACCGAATTAAATTGAAACATAAGTACACAAAACTTAGTCTAATACCAAATTTGTGCTTTGATGTAGTGTAGGCTGCTCCTAGTTTTTGTGTTGCACCATATACTCTAGTTACGTAATTTAGGTGTTTTTTATTTCTTGTTTTTAAAAATGAAAATAACTATTTGATATGGAATTTTATATGAAATGAATGTTGTATGTAATGTTTCAAAATAACTACGATTAAGTTTCGAAAATTTTTAGGAGTAGAAAATTACATGTATTTGATTTATTTTCTTATGAGTAAATAAATAAACTTTGAAATAAAAATGATTGCTTTGGTTAAATGTCAAAGTTTTGAAACTTTAAAAATAAACACAACCTAATAAATAGTAGAAAACAATGTGGCAAAAATATAGAGCAAAAACCAACCCTCAATGGCTTATTTTACTCGTTATACAGGATATATGATATCCTTCGAGTCTCCCAAGCAGATGAACCAAATGGGTATGTTCGATTCCCTTTTTCAAATAATTTTTCTTTCCTATTATGATTACGTTACTCTTTTAATATTCAAGTTTCATGTGAAGCCAATCGTTTGTTCTTCCATGATGCATGCAGTGATTCCCAGAGAAACAATGCCAGAAATCGCGGGTAACGTCGTCAACGGCACGATCAGGGTGATGCAGTCACCAATTGATCGAAATTTCATGCAACAAGAAACAATGCTCGCCGTCGATAAAACCACCCCTCAAGAGAAGCCTCCGACGACGAAACCGGCAGCTCAACCGGAAACTATAGAGTTGATAGAATCAAGCGACGAGTGCAGCCAAGATGATGCTATATGGCACTACTTTGATCCCCAAGGGGACACTCAAGGACCATTCACACTTACCTCGTTGAAAAGGTGGAACGATTCAAATTACTTCCATCCAGGTTTTATGATCTGGCGACGTGGAGATACCTCCGATAATGCAGTTCTGTTGGCTGATGTTCTTCGCCGGCGTAATGATTCGTAGATAGATCTAAAAACACCTAACATGAACACTGAAACCATGTGTGCTTTGATGCTCAATTAGAGGAAGAGACGGAATTCGTAGTCAATAAGCTCCTACTATATATGCTCCTATGATTTAGACCTAATTGCAATTTGCATGCTTAAGAGGAAGCTAGAAGTCTTGCAGAAATCTAAAATGTGAGCAAATTTGGAGAAAAAGTGAAGTTCCTCTGAAGAACTAGCATAACAGTTCTAATCAATCACAGGTTTGGAGAAGAATTTGGAGGTCGGTTGATTCAATCGCCTGTGAGCCTATCTAAACTTTGTTAATGTTGATAAATATTATTCAACACAAGCAGAGAACATCGCCATACATATTGAAACCAAACTCTAGCAGATGGTGGAGAACTGGAGATGGAAGAGAATGCATGTATATCTCACATATTCTTTTTTATTTTTGTGATATATGAAGGTTTTCGTGACGAAATATGGAAGAATTTCCCCCACCTTTTTCAGCCTTGTTGTCTTCGTGCGAATAGAAATATAGCAATCTTACATTGATTTGAGCAGCAATGATCGATCGATTGATCTTCATTTCTTCAACCCACGTTGAATTCCACCGTCATCTCATTTTCGACTTAAATTCTAGTTGTTTCAAATTTTGATGATTTTCGCGGCTTTGACCACTGGATTCTCCCTCGCTATGGCTTCTCGCCCTGCGGATTTGTAATCGTAGCTGCACTCGTGCCGATCCGTGTACCGATGCTCCGCACAGAAAAGCTCGCCACATCGGCATCTGAATCCGGTCAAACCTACCTTCCTCCGACAACCGAAGCATCGATTGACCTCTCTTCTCACCGGAGGAGGCGTCTCCGCCTCCGTGGAAGCATTTTGCTTCAGATCTCCATTCGTTTCCTCCGGCTTGAACAGTCTCCCCGGCGACGACCTCGACGACGGGCTAGATCTGAAAGGTTTCTCCGAGAACACATGATTAACAGGTTTCCCTCCGCCCGCCGGCGACGTAGCGGACGCAGCTGCAGACGTCGAGGCAGCGGTCGTAGCGCCGAAACACTTCTGACATAAATTATTAGCAACCGAATTCCCCGCAACGCCGCATTTGACGCACATCGTGATGGTCTCAGCCGCGACCTTAAACTCCGTCTCTTCCTTCTCCGTCCTCTGCGCCATCACCGCTCAAAGGAAAAGCACAAATCACCGGCAAAAATCACAACTCTAAATATACAACAAAAATCAGAAACTCTCCACCAACACGCTTCTCCACGTATCGAGCTCTACAGACACGATTCCATTACAACCACAACAAATTCAAGCGTTCGCGCACCGACTGAACGCAAATAAACACCAAGACAAAAAACAAAAACTCAAATTCCTTCACGGAAAAGAGAAGGAGCGGTGGTGAGAGAGAAACGTGGATTGGTTCAGTATGAAATGGCTAGAAATGGGAGAAACGGTTGGTATTTGTAGGGCAGTAGGTCGGCAAGGCCGAAGGAATTACGGCCATCACAGTGACAGCTCTTTGAATTGACGAAATTACCCTCCAGTGGGAGGGATTATTCTGGATCAACACTGACGTGTTTCCTGGCATGGCTAATTATCTATAGTCATCAATGATTAAATAAATATCAATAAAAATCAACCTTCTAATTTGCCCAATAAGAAAAAAATCGATTTCCCTTTTCTTCAGCAAACTGCCCATTTGTGGATGGCAAGTTGGCTACGCTCTACGCAGGTCATTTTAGGCACAGGGGGCAAAAGAGGGAATTCAAAACGGCGGTAGACCCACACCCACTTGGTGGTTTCGGGCAGGGTCGATCCACACCGTCCGTGTGGCGGGCCCCGATTGTAAACAGCGGGTAGGATCCGTCGGCAGTTCCCAGTGGAGAAGGTGATAAGAAGCAACAAAAAAAGGCTAGCAATGCAATGGCTCAGCTCCAGCCGTGCGCCGCCCAGGCTGACCTCTTCGCCCAAAATTTTCACGTCATTTTCGACCGTGCCCCGCACGTGCCACTCAAGCGCGTACAAAACTACCTTTCTCATATCCCCGCCACGTTTTTTGTCTCGATTGGAGGAGAAGGAACGCCTGTAGTGTCGTATCTCCGCGTCCCCTCCGAGCCACCCCAGACGGTCGATCTCCGCAGATCGACGGTCAAGATTTCCGCCCCTTCAACATCCGAGGAGTCGAGGGTACACGTGGCAGTTAGATAAGGTAGGACGTATATCACCACCACATCCCGCGCAACACCAGATCCCTCCCTCAAAAGCCCTGTGGCCCACAAAACGTCCATTTCTTTACCTGTAGGCGCCGCAGCATTCTTATGCCCTGATCGGCCCCACTCTCGCTTTCCCTTCTTTACAATACTTTCCTACAATATAATAATAATAATAATAATAATAAAATCTGAAAATACTATGTCATGGTTATTTATAAAATTTTACTTTTAATTTTATTATTTTATTTTTTTTAAAAAAAATATCAAATAAAACATTTAAATTTTATTTATTTTATTACACTAAAATTTAATTTTACATTCAAAATATTACATCAATATATATTTATATCACACTAAACCACTGTTTCAATTCAAAATTTTACTCCCTCCGTCCCATATAATTTGTTCCTATTTTCTATTTTTGTTCGTCCCATGTCCTTTCTATTTTTGAAAATATAATTACGTACTTTAATAGTATTTTAAATTTTAAATTTTCTTAATTTTAATTAAACTATTTACTTATTTTAATCTTAATCTATAATTATTTTTACTAAATAATAATTATTTTACTAATACATTTTTTAATTATTTATTAATTATATTTTAGCTAAATTCTCGTACCTGCGGAAATAAACCTCAGAAATAAAATCAAAACCTCAGAAATAAACACACCCACATTCACAATGAAATGACAGGAAGTAAAAGACACACTTTCCAAAGAGATGCAAATTGGGCACACAAGTGGGAGAAAAAAGGGTGTAGATCACAAAACAGCTAACAGGTGAGAGGAGTGGAGATCATAAAACATCATCATCAGTAATTGTGCATATGGAATTCAATACCTCAAAAGAAAATTTAAATAAATTATAAATAAAATTGATGATCAAATAAAATAAACCAAGCATGTTGCTACCAAGGATTGCTGCACTGCATGTGGGAGAACCACATGCACTGTTGCTCCATCATTTGCATTTATCACCACCCAAGATTTAGATTCATTCCATTCCCAATGTAGTATGAAGCTGTCATCTTGCTGGAGCCCATTCACCTCACTCACCTAATTCCCTAATTCTAAGAATGGAAAAGAAAAACAAAGATCATATCAGATTTTTCAGACAAGTCAAACGGTTTAATCTTTGCCCTCTATCGCATGCCAAGTTTCAGAACCACTTAGAGAATTCAAAACAAGCACCAAAGATGGAACAATAGAGATCACAAGGTTGGAGAGATGTGTCCCTAATTTAACATAATATTCGAGGTTTCGCAGCAGCCTAAGGACACCTTTTGGAGTCATACCACAAATCCGAGTCGGCAGAGGGAAGACAAAAACACACATTTAATCCAAGATGGCAGTTCTATATCTTGTCGAGTTTTTCAGCCTTCACGATTGGGTTGGCCTTGGCGATGGCTTCCTGGCCTGCCGAACGGTAGTCAAATTGGCATTCGTGTTTGTCGGAGTAACGGTGGATGGAACAGAAAACTCCCCCACAACGGCAGTTGAAGCCTGTCAAGCCGACGCGCTTGTTGCAGGAGCCGCACCTTTTTGGACCTTCTTTGACTTGGTCGTTTTTATTGATTGCAGATGTTTGTGGGGTTGCTCCGCTTGTTTCTGGCAAGGTGGTTTGTCCTCCAGTAATTGCAGTAGTGTTGATTTCTTTTTCACCAGCACCCGAGCTCCCGTTGACGATCTTTTGAATGGATGAAGCAGCAAGCTCAGCCTGTTCTTGCTTCAGAACATGGTCCTTGTAGCACTTGGAGCACATGTTCATGGTGGCAGCAGTTCCGAAGAATCCACAGTTGTTGACACAGAGGATGGGGGCTTGAGGAGCTTGGCATCCAGTTTCATTTTGCTCCATTTCGGGGATTTCCTGCAATAATCAATTCTCTACCAAAATCACCACAAACAAGAAACATATTGTGAAAGTCGCATGCTGATCCATAGTAATCATATCACTTCAGAGGCAATGAAGATTATGGAGTATTTGCAGCAATTTAAAGACTTTTGGATAGTGCAAAATGCATGATCAACTAATTTGACAATAAATGCCACTCAATTCTCAGCACAAATTCCACTCAGGAGAATGTAAGCAAAAGATAGAACTGCAACCATGACCAGGAAAGGGAGTATCCTATATGACAAGGTGCTTGATGCTCACTCGTATCATAGAGCAAACTCTCAGGTGCAGATATAAGTTTACAAATTCCTATACCCATCAAGAATGATCGAATTAAATCTTATTACAATTTAACCAAAAAATATAGCCATCAGGGGAGGCATGATTTCTCAAATTAGGATAGAGAAGATTTAGAAGCAAATTAACACAAAAAACAAAAACAAAAGAACCCAAAAGGTGTCACACATATTAGGTAATACAAAAATACAAGGGAAATACTCATTCAAGGATATGTTCTCTTCAGGAGCATAATTATCAGCGATTAATGGTGCAGCACAGTGCAAAGACTAGCTAAGTTCATGGCATGCCGCCCAATTGCACATAGTACCATTACAAGTATATCACAAATTTTCATAAATAAACTTGCAAATCTATTAGGTGTGGTTAAGTACAAAACAAGAACGGCGGTGCTTTGGATTGTTCTCGGATTTTTTGAGTTTATTAATGGAATCTAGGTGTTAAATGTGATTTTTCGGATGTAAACAAGTTATTATATGATAGGCTGGAGTGTAAAAGTTGGTATGAAAAATACAAGGGAAAACACCCACCATAACTGACATTTAATGCAAGTAATCATATAGGATCGCAACTATTAACGTAAATGCCAATCCCATGCACTTAATAGAACAAGTAGGATAAAAAAGCGTAGCTGTCAAGTACATAGATAGTAAACTAATGACAAGTTAGGTCACAACATTTGAATCTATCCAATGTATGTAATATTACAATGATACCGTTTTTTTTTTCTTTTTTAACAGAAAGAAAGAAAAAACACGTGGACGATTTAATATAAACATGTTTGGGATGTTAGGATGAAAACCACCATCAGTACAGCATGTGTGGCGCAGACACATGCATTCACACACTCCTCACTGAAGGCATGAGCCACATCTTGGCGAGTGGCTGTCCTATGCTCTATTTGAGCATGCACAAGATTGCACTCGGGAATTTCTTAAGGAGCCATTGACGACTAGACTCAAGAGTTTTTAATCTTATCGGACCCAATACAACAAAATCTAGTGTAGTAACATTAAATATAAACAAGATTTCCATGGAAGCTCCAAGCAAAAAAAACAGACTTCCATGCTGAACCATATCTTTTCCTCGAGTCTCCACATAAACAAACTTCTTTTCCGTGCCATATGTATCAAGCAAACCGGAAATAACAATTGGATATTTACATCCTAGTTCCTTTAACAGATCCTACCATTGACCCTATACTTCTTATATTATCATCTGGATTGTATCCTCCTACCCTTACACTTACACTGAATTCACTTGTCAGTTCTTTTTCCATAGAGAAATCCAAATCAAACTGATAAATCTCAGCTTAATCTGACTAGTAAGCCACAGTCTTTCAAACTCATTGCTTTGCTCAAATGATAATCAAAGAATCTCATCTACATGCCCAAGTCCCCAACAGACTCTTTAAACTGCACTCTCAAGTATCAACTTCCATATACAAATAATCCTTCTTGGTAACAACCACGCAAGTTTACTCACTCAAAACATGAAATGAATTTAAAAAACAAAAATTCAATAACCTCTATTCCCCTTTACGAAAACAAATATTCAATAACTACTAATTCCGTTAACTTCAGAGTAGCAAGAATTACCAAAACCAACATTTTAAAAGGAGAAAACAGCCGGGGAGAGAAGCTAACTGTGCATCACGGGCCAACACAAATGCAATACACAAGAAATAATTTTATTTTTTTGGAAAAAAAAAGGTCAAGAAACGAAACAAACCTGTCTGCAGAGGAGACAAAAGAGAATATTTTGGTCAGAGTATCCTCCTCCAATCTCCCTGCTGATCACGAACACAAAAACAAGTTACAAAATGATTTTCGTATATAAGAAGACATCACAACAATTCTACGCGCTGAACACACTACACTCGACGCTACATCGCAAATCAACCAATAAATCCATCCATCCATTACAAAGGAAAAACAAAAACAATCTCACGCAAACGCATCCACAAAACACAGGAATCAGTGAACCTAAGGCACGAATCACCAACCCTAGAAGCAAACAGGAAAGCCAAGGAGGGAGAAACCGGGCGCAGGCGGAGACGATACTGGCGGACGGCGGAAGAGTCGGGAGGGCGAGGCGATTACATAAAAGATCCGGGGAGAGGCGGTTATTGAGTGCACTCGGTGCACATGCTCCGTGGACACGTGTCAACCAGCCAATAGCCGATGGGATCGATTAGGACCAATCAAAAGCGATGTGGCGGTGGATTTTTGTTGATTGGGGCGCAGCTGATTATAACGGGGTCGGGTAGGAGTTGCGTGACGTGATGGATTATTATTATTTTATTTATTTAGTTTTTAACAATTTTATTGCATTTCAGGAAGGGGCTGTCATTGGACACGTGGCATTAGTTGGATGATTCTTCTGTTTCCACTTTCGTTAACCGACTTGGGCTCTACAGTTTTTTTGGGAGTTTTGATTTTATTTTATTTTATTTTAATTTAAATTGTTTTATATCCTCATTTATGTTAAAATGTTATGTTATAATAAATACTAAAATTTACATAAAATATAATTATTAAATAATTTAAAATATATTAATAAAAATTATTATAATTAAAATTAAAATAATTAAAGAATTTAATTAAATTGTATAATTATATATTTTTTTAAAAAAAACTATATAGAATGGATCAAAATAAAAAAAATAAGCATCTTATATGCAACGGAATAAGTATTATTTGATTGGAGAAAATATATTTTAATCATATTTTAAATTTAATAATTTATAATATTTTAAATTTTATCTTATTTTAAATTTATAATTATTTATATCATACAATATTTATTTTAGTAATATATTTTAAAATTATTTTTGCATAAATTCAGTTGAAATTAAAAATAATAATAATAATAACATAATTTTAATAGATAGATAAAATACATTATTACATAATAAAAGACTACGGTGAAATCTAACGAAAAAAATTATAATCATATTTTATTATATACTTGGCATCTACCATCATCCATCTACCATTATTCACTAATTATCAGTCAAACACACGCACCAAATAGAGTCGGCATCAGTCCATCTGAGATGCAGACACCCAGACTGTTCGAATACAAAAATTTACATTATATACTTTGGAATAAAATATACAATATAACTGAAATAATTTAATGTTAAAATAATATTTTAATTTATTATGAACTAACAATTAAAATATATATAAAAGTTATACATATATTTGGATGTGTTTAAAACTTGATTGATTATGAAAATAAAATTATTATTCTTTCTGTTTTTTACAACTTAAAGAATAAAATCAATCTCCCATAACTTAATTACAATATTGTAACTCTTTATGATAAAAAAATAATAAAAATAACATATAATTTAATATAAATTATGATCAATTACTAATAAGAATTTAAATTATACTTAAATGTATAATAAAATAACTAAAACACCTGAAAACAAATCACTATGTGAAGAAATTAAATACAAAATGAAAAAGAATAACCATAATTAAATATAAAATGAAAAAGAATAACCATAAATAAATCGGTCCAAAAAATAACCTCATAAAAAGAAAATATTATGCAATAAAAATAAATCAATAAACCTAAATAAAATTTAGAAATAAAAGCTAGCGAATCATCCAACAAACAATTTAGAAAACAACTTTATACAAAAATTCAAAAAAAATATAATTAATAAAAAATTTGTCTTCTATCATATAAAAAACATGGCTAAAAAATTATACAAAAATTAAAAAAATATAATTAATAAAAATAAATATGAATCAAATAATAGCAAAATATAAGAACTTGAGAAAGAAGTGAAAAGTAAATAAATAAATAAAAAGAACAACACCTTGTAAAATTTATTGAAAAATTTAAATTAGAAAAATTTTGTCTAATCAAATAACAGCAAAATACAAGAATTTTGAGAAAAAAAAGTAAAAATTAAATTAAAAAAAACACCGTGTAAAATTTATTGAAAAACTTAAATTTATTAAAAACTTACTTCAAGAAAACGGAGAGCAATGACAAATTTATTAAAAACTCAAATTCATTAAAAAATTTACTTTAAAAACTTACTCCAAGAAGACGGACTTCTGCTCCTGTTCCTGTTCTGGTGGCAATCTTTTCCGTAGAAAATTTTTGTAACAGGGTTAAAAAATTATTCAAAAATTTATTGGATAATTCATCGATGAAAATTTATTCAAAAATTCAAATTCATTCAAAAATTTACTTCAAGAAGAAGATGGACTTCTGCTCCTGCTCCTATTCCGGTGGCAATCTTTTCCGTAGAAAAATTTTGTCTACCATTAAAAAAAAGGGCTAAAAAATTATAAAAAAATTCAAAAAAATATAATTAATATAAATGAATATAATGAAATAACGGTAAAACAAAAGAACCTGAGAAAGAAGTAAAAGTTTCCGACTTCTGCCATAAATTAAATTTTAGAAAAAAACTTGCCTGAAGAATCTTCTTTTCGATAATCTTTTCTAAAAATAAAAATAAAGTAGAGCTAAAAATATATACAAAAATTCAAAAATTATAATTAATAAAAATGAATATAAGAACTTGAGGAAGAACTGAAAGAAGCCATAATTTAAATTTTAGAAAAAGAATAACATTCCGTAAAAACTTGCCTGAAGATCTTCTTCTCCCGGTGTTAATTTTTTTTCTAATACAAAGAGATAAAATTTCAGATATAACTTCACTATAAAAACTTATAAAAACTACTCCTTGGAAAACTCACCCACTTAAAAATAAACTTCCAAACTGTATATCATGTAAAAAACTGTAAAAGAAAAAATCAAATTAAAAAAACAAAAAAATTCTCAAAATTTTGAGATTGCAGCATTTGAGAAATATTGTAAAAAGTGAATCTGCATTGAGCTGTTGTATATATATATATATATATATGATATGATGATATGATTACATTAAATAAAAAAAAATTATAAATATAATTCGGATCAAAGAGGTCTTACGAACGAAGCGTGGAATAATGAAAATAATTGAAAAAAATTGAGGTGTGTCGAGGCATTAGGATCCAAGACTCACCCCGCCCCGCATCAATCCGGCCCCAGGACTCGTCCCGCCCCAAATCCTTCGGGTTCAGGGCCAACCCGACAAACCCGTTTTTTTTTTTTTTAAAAAAGAATATAATATTTAAAAAAAAAAAAATTTAATACAAAAAAAAAAATATGCGTCAAAGTATAAAAAAAAATTATAGTTCTAAAAATAAGAACAATAAAATGTTGAGGATAGTCCGTAGTGATGACGGTTAAAAGTAGTTCTGATTATAAAGAGACTTGTAGGAGAAACAACTACGAACATAAATTTGATATAGAATTAACATTTATTTTATATTTAAATTTTTTTAAATAAATAAATAATATAATTTATATTGTATAAAAATATAAATAAATTATAATAATTATTAAAATATCCGGGTTCGGGTCCGGGATGTGGCGGGTTTATAGTAAAATTCGTAACCCACCCCGAGCTCGGCCGAGTATAAAACTCAAAATCTACAATCCGCCCTGAACCAAATTTATTTTGATCCGAACCCGCCCTATTAAGATCGGGTCCGAGGCAGATCCGGGGCTAACCCCGCATCATTTGACATCCTTAGTTCAGACTATCGTGTTAGGTGAATTTAAAATGAATATAATTAGTAAATAATTAAAAATGTATTATTGAAATAATTATCCGTATAATAAAAATAATTATATATTAAAATTAATATAATTTAATTAAAATTTAAAAATTATAAATTATTTTTTTTTTAAATAAAATTAAAATAAAAAATAGACATAATAAATAAGAACATGATGAATAATATACTAATTAAAGACTCCCATCTTCCTGAAACTAAGTATTCATTTGTTTTTTGCACGTAATTTTAAAAATATTAATATTATATTGGATATAGTATGAATAAATTAGAAATGACTAAAATAATTTTATTAGTATATGTGATATAAAGGTTATGGTATTTGTGTAATATATTGTAAGTTGTAAGGATATTTATAATGTTATGTAGAAAGTACAGTTACTAAAAAAAGAAATGGATACTGTTATGAGACGGACTAAAATGAAAAAAATAAATACTTTGTTATGGGACTGAGGTACGAGGGATTATTATTTATTTAAATATGGAAGTTTTCAATTATAGTAAAACAAAGGAAATATAAAATTTTATTTTTTAATATCATAAATATATTCATATTAAAATATAATTTGAAAAGTATGTGAATAATAATTTTATTCTTTTATTTACTAAATATTTTTCTAAAACAAATAATATATTAATATGAGCAAAAATCGTTTTTTGTCTTGTTCAATATCATAATTATCAATTTTGGTCGCACTAAAAAAAATTATCAATTTTAGTCTCAATTAAATGAAAATTTATCAATTTTAGTCCAAATATGGTTGATTGAGACTGACCGTGTTTGATAACTCAGAAGGTGACTGACCGTTCCAGACAACCAACACGGTCGTGTTGGTCTCAATACGGCGGTGTTGATTATTCTGCACTTCTGAACATGGCTGTGTTCCTGTATCTGTTCTGCACACAGTCATATTCAATGTTCTCAACACAACCATATTTTAGGCCAATATAATCATATTGTAAATCATATTTATTATTATTTTCAATTTTTGATTAAAATTATTTGTTATATATATTTATAATTCAATAAAAATATTTTTTACAATTATTTTATAATATAAAAAATAATCAACTTTTAATATTATAAAAATATATAAAAATAATAATATTGGCTGTCTGATACGTCCAGTCACTGAGTCATCCAACACGTCGGCCATGTTTAGTCGCAGTCAACCATCTTGAAATTAAAATTGCTAAATTTTTATTCAAGTGAATTGATAATTTATTTTAAATAAGACCAAAATTAATAACTATGATATTAATAAATTTTTTTTTTTTTTTTACTTTATTCATATTTATTATTTTTATATTAATTAAACAATTTCATTTAACAAATTAATACACCCTCCGTTATCAACTTAAACTCATCCGATAACCAAAACGCATTTTAACAAAACTCAAAGAAACACAAATAATAAAAACCAAACACACCATCTCTCGCTAGCCCACCCTTTAATCAGGTTACAGCAGAATCGGATGACGTAGGGTTTCCAAAATTTATCACGGTTCTTTCCGTGTCTCTACGGTCCTCACAAGAAAAACTTCCCGAATTCCAGTAATCAATCCCGGAGCCAATTTTTTTTTTTTTTTCCATAAAACGTACATCATTTTATCGCTAGCCCTTGTTGTTTGTTAGATTTTATTTTGAATCTGTGTTTTCATTCGTGATATTAATGTAGTGTTGTTTGATTTTTTGGCGAAATTATTGTTCGCCTATTTTATTTTGGTTTTCTCTTGTTTCGATTTGGGCGTTCCAAGATTGTGATTCAGCATTGAAATAATTTGCTGGAGGAGCTGTAACTAGGGTTTTAGTGATAGTTTTGTGGGGTTTTCTTGGGCGGCAATGGAGGGAGGTGATCGGACCTTTAGGGTTAATTTTGGAAGCGAAGGAGTCGCGCGGCTTCGCGAACGAATCAATGAGAAGCTCAAGGAATACATGGGCGATTACACGGACGAGACTCTCGTGGTATGCACAGAAATTTTGGCTAGTGATTAGTTTATCGTTCTTGAAATAGATTATTGGATGAATAACAATTGTTTCTTTGAATTTGAGCGATCAGAAGAATGCGAAAAATGAATCTTTTTTTTTTTATTTTTTATTTTTTATTTTTTAAATTTGTGATACAATGTTTGGATTCCGAGCATTTCTTTGATTAGGATCTCTCTGTTGCATATGTTTGTAGTTAGAATATGCGGTGGCCTTAATTATTCCCTCCTCAGATGAGTAGTGCATTGTATTTTGCAAATTTCTGTCGATGTAGTTAAGATGCTGTTTAGGATAATGGATGTAGTGGGGATTGCCAATGGTAGCAAAGTTATTTTTTAATATGTTAAGCTAAATTGAACAGAGATTATGTTTTGAAGGTAACCAGATTTCAGATTTTATAAAGCAAAGATACTTGCTGAGGTTGTCACTGTCTTTTAGCTATGGTTTCTTATTATGCCTAGTTGTGTACACTTACTTCCCTTGCTCTTATGTGTTCCAATGGTGAGATGCAGTTTTAAACTACTCTCCCATCTAATTTTGAATTAGCCGCCGGACTATTCCCTGTATAGCAAGAATTCTATTTCCTTTTTCTGTTGCTATGAGTGCATGTACTTACTAATGGGCAAAATTTGAGGCTTGACACTGTTGTGGAGTTTTTAGCAATCCTTTGAAAAGAACTTTGGACAAACATGGTTTTTTTCTTCAGAATCTTTATTTTAATCTATAATTACCTTACAGTTGGCATTTAGTTTGTATGTCCTCTCCCACGAGACATGAATGATTAGGTTGTTGCTGTGCATTTTGGGTTTTGGGTATTGTTCAAAGCTTATTGAGGTTTCTTTTTTGTATTCTACATGGCTTCTCAGTTTCATGGTCACAAGACCTCACAAAAAATTTTGTTCTTTTTAGGCCGGTTATGGCTTATGACTGAGCCTGGACTAAGGTTGCATCTGTGAGTTTAATGTAGTTCTTTTAGCAATCACTACATTTATGAACCAGCAACTGAAAATGTGTGCATATTCTCTCGTACAACAATCATCATTATCTACTTCTTTTCCATTTCTTTGTTTTTGAGGATTGATGTTGGTTGGCTTGGCCATTTCACTCCCGTGTTTTGGTTCTCTTTCAGTAACACTTCTCTCGATTATTCTTATGAATGAACTCTTTGGTTCGAAGGCGAAATCTGATTTATCACATTTTTCACTGATTGTTAGTTTCACTTATTAGTTATATTTGTGTATTTTCTTAGATTATAACTTATATTTCTGTTGTGCCTCCAGGAATATGTGATAGTTTTGCTAAAAAATGGAAGGTGCAAGGATGAAGCCAAGTCTGAGTTAGATGTCTTTCTTGGAGATGACAGTGAATCTTTTGTATCATGGTAAGGTTATGCCATAGTTTAGTCCTTACTGTGATGGCTCAGAATTACTCCTAGTTGATCATTCCTGGTGATTAATGCTATTCTTTGACATAGGCTCTGGGATCATCTAGAATCTTCCCTAAATTTGTATGTGCAACAACCAGAACTTCATCTTGAAGGAGCATTGAAAACATCTGCAGCAGAGGAGCAAAATGGACGAACTGAATCACACAAGATTGAATCTGTTGTTGAAATAGGAAGCAAAAGTTCTGATAAGCAGAAGAAACAGGAAAAGAAAGGTTCAGTGAAGGTTGGAAGTGACAGTGAAAATCCCATTCCTCAAAATACTGTGGCTGGCAATGCTGATGTCAAGGATGAAACTCATCATAGACTTGGTCGTGCAAAACGGTTGTCTTCTCAAGTGTCAATTGAGAAGAAAAGGAGGCGACATGATGAGCATCGGCCAGTGAAGGTAATTTCTCCTTTTTGTCAATTTGCTTAATATCTAATTTCCACACATTATGCACACTCTCTGATTTATAAATATTTGGCATTTGGGGTCATATTTGCTAGGTGTAATGAAGTGTATTACGTTGTTGGGCTTGGTTTCTCAAATACTCTATGTTCTAAATTTATTTTTTTTGTTTTATTTTTGTGATATAATTTATTTATTAATTTTTTTTATAAGCTAGGACTGCATCATGTAGCCTAACAGAGTTGCAATAGTGTGGATTGCTTTTTGCAATCTTTCATAAACTTGTAGATATGCAAAACTTGTTGGACAAATACTCCAATCCATGTAAAAAACATAAGGATATAAACAAGCACAGGTACATTTGAATATTGGGCCACAAATAAACAGTGGAAGTTATAGAAATAGTTCCAGCACTAAGTTCTGACTATTTATGTTATTAGTATTTTTCCTTTTTTTGTTTTACTAATGACTTTGCTCATTGATCTCCGACAGAGTGAAATTTCTCAAACAACTGTTAGTGCACCACGTAGGCTGCTTCAATTTGCTGTACGAGATGCTGTAGCTACTTCGTTGTCTTCCAGTACAGCATCAGAACCTTCAAGAAAGCGTTTGAGATCTGTTGTTTCTACTTCAACTGGTGATTCTTTTCATGGAGAACGCCCTCAGAGAATTCGGACAGAACCTGGGTCACGCAGTGCAATGTCTGTTGCCATTAAAGCTGTGGCTGATGCTGTTAAAGATGTGAATAAAGTTAGGCCCTCCCGCAGTGTGTTTGACAGACTTGGTCGTGATAATAATTTAAGAAATACAAATCAAATAAAGGAACAAAGTGGTGTTATAGAAGATGAAGGTGATGGATACTTTGCTGGTGAAGAAGAGGACATTCACTTTGCTTATCAGCGACGTAATGGTAACAGTTTGCAGCAAGACGTTAATATGACAGATTTCAATGATGACACCACTATGCCTTCTGATTTGGGATATGGTGACGGCTATAATGTTGATGTAATTGGTCACAAGAACGCTCATGCATACGAGGTCCCCTCCTCTGCTGGAGACTGGGTTGAGTCTGAAATGCCTCAGTATCGTTTGGGTAAACATGCATCCGTTCCTAGTACGTCTCGTAAACTTGTTTCATCAATCAATGTAGATGCCCCAAAATCTCAGTATAAGGAAGTGAGGAAGGTATCAGAGTCGGATGGCTACAACATGATACCAGGTGCTGGCACAATGCCTCGCAAACCACAAGCCTTATTGACGAAGGAGAAAACTGATCTTAGACACGCTTTACTTAAAAATGTAAGTTTTAATGTGAATTTGTCATATGCTGTCTTTTGGTGATTGAAAATTGGTTGTTTGTGTTAAACCTTTTACTTATTTTTAAATAGTGCACAGGCACTTGTTTCGGTTTTCATCTCTGATCTACTCACCTTTTTTTCTTTTTTCTTTTTTCCTGATTTGCCTTGTATTAGTTAAAGCCAGATGTTGGCCTCCAATATGAATCCCAAAAGACTGAGTCACCTGCTGGTAAGAATTTTGTTTTTTTTCAAACAACAATTTTCTGGTATTATTTATTCACTATATTGTGCCTCATTTATTCAAACAACTGATTATATTATCTGCCTTTTCTAACAACAATTTTCTGGTATTATTTATTTTCTCGTGTTTTGGTTGACCTTTGCACTTCATTATTCTTTTATTACTTTATTGTTTTGTGTAGCATACTTCCTCACCATTTCCTGAATCTAACAGGTTTATACTCAACTGGCCAACCTACAGAAGATGCTGAAACAAGGACCATCTTTGTTAGTAATGTAAGATTGGCATATTAGGATATCTTTTTCGTAATCCCTATCCCTTTCCCTTCCCTTACTTTGTTTCTGAAACACTTCCTCTCGTGTTAGGTTCATTTCGCTGCCACAAAGGATAGCCTTTTACGACACTTCAACAAGTTTGGAGAAGTTCTTAAAGTGATTATTATGACTGACCCTTCCACAGGGCAACCAAAGGGGTACGATTTTTCTGATGTTCCTTTTCTTTTCTCATCAAATTTTAAAATAGTGGAATTCTAATATCGAATGCCTATTCAGGTCTGCTTATATCGAATTCATGAGAAAAGAAGCTTCTGAGCAGGCTTTATCCTTGGATGGCACCTCTTTTATGTCTCGACTTCTCAAGGTACATGGCTGAACAATGTTAATATGACCCATTCATTCATTCACATATCGAAATGGACTGCACATATATATCTTTTTTAAGATCAGCAATTGACAATTTAATTATCTATGATCAGTAAATGCTATAAATCTATCCACAGATGTATAAACAGTGTTACTGTGTCTATTATATGTGTGCAGGTAGTAAGAAAAAGTTCTGCTCAACCCGAAACTACATCTGCTGTGATGTGGCCTCGGGTTGCCAGAGCATCTCCTTATGCTGCTGCACCCAGACTTGGGAGAGTTCCATTTGGCCGAGGTTTTCCCTCTCCCTACCGGAGTCGTATGCCAACAAAGCCCGGTCCAAGAAGTTTCCAGTGGAAGCGCGACACCCAGCCTGTCGCCACTGATGCTCCAAGTCAGACGTCCAACAGTATTGCTCCACCACCCCCAACACGTAGCCTCACTTACATCCGAACAGAGGCTAAAACTGAAGAGGTCAAGATCAATGAAACCTCGGGTACTGCTTAGGCTCTTGGAACCATGCCCGACAATTTTGAATTGGAGCCTCATGAGTTGCTGCTACACAAGGTTTGAATATTTTTGCAATATTATTTTGGTATTAGTTCGATGCGTGGTGAAAGCCTGAAGTATCCTCTGCTTTTTTTCTGTGAATACAAGGCGGACTCAACTGTAGCCGTTTGCTGTTTTAAGATTTTTGTTATGCTCGTAAGCGATGATCTCGGATTTCAGGGGAAAGAGTGAGGGGAAGAGAGAAAGAAAAGGAAAAAGAAAAAGAAAGAAAGAACGAATGAAAAACTAGATACTCTAAATTTTGTTATCGAAATGCTTGCATATCTCTATTTGTCTACTGATTATTATTGGTGTAGTAGAGCCTTTGCCTTGCCTTCAATGGGATGTGAATTTTTTTACTTGTATTCAGGAAGAAGGCTTCGCCACGCCCTTTTGGTTAATTATTACTATAAATTAGACTACCGACTACCGTTCAATTCATGTAATGAGCTTTTGATACCACAAGGCTGAACTGGTTATTTGTTGGTTAGAGCATGTACTATAGTCTATACAATTGTCTTTTTTTTTTTTTTTTTTTAATTTTTATTTTATTTTAATAATAAATAGAGTTATTGAAGTAAAAATTGGGCCATGTTTGTTTCGAGCACGGATCTAGTACCTATCAGATGGAAGTTTATTCCGGGAGCCACTCTTCGGTTCTAAGGGTTTTATAGTATAAGGACAATTTAGACGTGTTTCAAATCAAAAGTTTTTTTTTAACATATTATTTTTTTATTTTAGAAAAAATAATTGTAGATTAATTTTGGTAAACGAATCCAATTTGATACATACAATTTTGATTTTGGCTTATTTGTTTAATGTTTAGATTTTTGTAAAAGATATTATATGTTGAAAAATCGATTAAAAATAAATGGTAAACGAATCCAATTTGATTGCTACAACATAAATGAAAGCTATGCGGAAATGAATGGACTAGTATTAAATAAAAAAAAAAGTGGGATGAATGATGTAAAATTTAAAAATAAATTTGTATCGTCTTGTGTTTGTTCGGGGATTGGATTGGATTTATATTATTCATCAGAATTTTTTTTCCAAAAACATCAAATCAAACACTTATTTTTCATTTTTTATATTATACTAAAAATCAATTTTACATTCAAAATATCATATCAACACCTATTTATATCACATCATACAACTATTCAAATTCAAAATTTTTATTATTCAAATCCCAACTCAAAATCCAAACCCCCAAACAAACACACCCTAATTTTAATTTTAAATTTCATTAATACTTATTACTATTATTTTTAATATATATATTTCTTAAAAAAATGATGTAAAAACAATATTTAAATTAAAATTATCTGAAAAAACAAACGAAACCTATCTATCAACGTAAACACAGCGTATAAATGGTACGGTCTTACTTTCCTTTTTAATCCACACGGAGTGCGTGCGTTGTGTTTCTCTTCCTCTTCTCTTCGAATACGAACTCCGTTGCAAACCGCCATTGTTGCTCGCTTTCCTTCCCTGCTGTTCTTCTTAAACCCGAACTTCCAATCCAACTACACTTTAATTTCCAGTTCAGCAGCAGCATCACCGTCTTATTTGTGGCTTCAGATCGTACAAGGAATTTACTGTTGGAATTCCATCTGATTCCGAGATGCGGCCATGCATATCAAAAATCATCGGACAGCGTTCGAGTTTCAGAAATTTCGTCTCCCTAGTACGTATTCTATCCTAGAGTTCATTTGATTTACGTATGCTTGTAATGGTGCATCATCGAGCGCGTATCCGTAGTTGCGAGGGCCGTGGTAGCTTCTTTGGATAGTTAAAGTGCTTGCACGGAGCAGAGCTTGAGTCTACTTTGCCGGACATATTGATTATTTACCCCCTTGATCGAACGAGTTAGTAAAGATGTAGCCTGAAACTCATCTGCACTAGGTCACCTGCAGCATCTACGCATCCGATTACTTATCCAAAATTTTCTTGCTAGGTGATAGTGAGTCCGATGTCTTGCGTACGGCTTAGGTTACAGAAATTTTACCTTACCACGAATTAACGAGCGTGCCCGTATTTTGCATGGTTAGTACAAACCATAGAAAACATCAAGCTGCCTACCGACCACAGCCCCTTAACAAGAAACTTGGCCATTGATTTTGTGGCCTCCACAGATTTTGGGCAATCAGTTGAAATTGATTCTTCTTGATTTATGTTGGACTCAGTTTCCCCAGATAATTTCTCTGTAGAAGCAAATGCATGCCTAGATGACCATCACTTGAAAATCTCTATTGCCAAATGTTTTTGTGAGGCGCACCCAATTTTTTCTTATCAAGCTTGCTGTTATTACATTTTTTCTTTTGGTGCGCATGTAAGTAAAGTAGCATAAAAAATAAAAAAATGAAAAAAGAAAGAAAAGAAAGAAAGAAAGAAAGAAAAAGTTTGTTCAGAAAACTAAATGAATATGAAACTTAAGCTGGAATCCAAGCAGCATTTTCATTTGATGCAGTCGCTTTACCTTATACTAAGTGAATTGATACTGTGAGAATCTGAGGCATCATCCTTAAAATTTACAATAGTTTATATTGTTCATCTGATTGAAATTTCATTTATGGCTGTTCGTTTTTAGCTTTCTGTACTCTCATCATGAAAATTGTTGGGTTTTGTATGTTGAAGCTTTCTAACTTTGTAAAGGAAGTCTATTCATTTAGTTTTGAAATAAGAACAGATTACTTTTACATGAAACCTATGTGATCTTGGTGAGAGCTTGTTCTGTTGTCCATATACTCAATGTAAAGGGTTAACTAGTTAAAGAATTTCCTTCAGTGTATATGATTTACACTTAAGAAGAGGCTGTTTCATTTGTATATCTATATGCTGAAATCATGGCTCCTGTTTCTTGGTGTGTTGAGTTTATAGTTACCCTTTCATTTACAGGCCAACAGTGCAATTACAGATCATTTTCCTTGTAAAGGCAGTGAAGACCGAGATTTCATTGGGGGCAAGATTCCTGGTCCCTTGTCGAAGTCATATGTGACTTCAGTTGCCACACATGCAATTGATTCCCCAAAAGATAATTCAGTTTCTGATATTCTGGTCGATTCGTTTGGAAGAAAACATACTTACTTAAGAATCTCTTTGACTGAGCGCTGCAATTTACGATGCCATTACTGTATGCCTGCTGAAGGTGTAGAGCTTACTCCGAGTCCCCAACTTCTCTCACAAGATGAGATTGTTCGCTTGGCTAATCTGTTTGTCAGCTCTGGGGTTAATAAAATTCGTTTGACTGGTGGGGAGCCCATGGTCAGAAAGGATATTGAAGAGATTTGCTCACGCTTGACAAATTTAAGTGGATTAAAGACACTTGCTATGACCACCAATGGAATTACTCTGGCAAATAAGCTTCAGAGATTGAAAGAATGTGGGCTTGATTTGCTCAACATAAGTTTGGACACACTTGTTGCACCCAAGTTTGAATTTATGACTAGGCGGAGAGGGCATGAACGAGTAATGAAATCCATTGATGCAGCTGTGGAGATGGGATATAATCCTGTCAAAGTATGACTCAACTCTTCACTCTTTTTGCCTTAGCTTTTAATATATATGTATCTTAGTTAGTTTTGAATATATACTCCATAAAAAAAGGTCTTGTTTTATATGTTCTTTGTGTCAGATAAATTGTGTTGTGATGCGAGGATTTAATGATGATGAAATATGTGATTTTGTTGATCTGACTCGGGAGAAGCCAATCAATGTGCGATTTATCGAGTTCATGCCATTCGATGGAAATGTCTGGAATGTGAAAAAACTCGTGCCTTATGCCGAAATGTTGGATATTGTGGTAAGGTAGAACTCGGCAGTTCCAAATAGTCATATCTTCTGTGTATCATATTACACCTGAATGCCTATTTATTTTGAACAGGCGAAAGACTTTACAGGACTTGAAAGAATTCAGGACCACCCTACAGAGACAGCTAAGAATTTCAGGATAGATGGACATCAGGGTACTGTTTCATTCATCACATCAATGACTAAGAATTTTTGCGCTGGCTGTAATAGATTGAGGCTTCTGGCTGATGGGAACTTTAAAGTTTGTCTCTTCGGCCCCTCTGAGGTGAAGCTTCTAATTTTTATTTTTATTTCTTGATCTGTCTTTTCCAATATTTTGTGGGATGAACATTTTATGTATAGATGGATACACATGATGAAAATATGACACATTTTCAGGTTAGCTTGCGGGATCCTCTGCGTAATGGTGCTGATGATAACGAACTCAAGGAGATCATTGGAGCCGCTGTATGTGTACACTGAAACAGAATCCTGAGTGCTTGAAAATTGTAGTTGATATTTTGTTGATAATCATCTGTTGCTACGTCAGGTCAAAAGGAAGAAACAAGCTCATGCTGGGATGTTTGACATTGCAAAGACGCCAAACCGGCCGATGATTCATATTGGCGGCTAGCAACTGACCGGGTGTCCCATCACTCCTTGTATATCAATATACTGCAGGTCCTTTGAGCTTCCACCCCTACTGCATTTTTACCATACAAATTTGGTATTGATTTCAGCATCAGCTGTCCCAATATCTCAATTATCTTATTATTTTATTTACTTTTTCTCTTGGAGCATAGCCATTCCAATCTGTTCATTTGGTTAATACTTATCTTGTCACACCCACAGGCACCAGACCAGAGAAGTAACTGAGGGGTGTTGTGTTTGTATTAATTATATCAGGGTGGTGCGTCTAACAACCTTTTGGCTCTACTAAACTCCACTATCATGTCATGTCATGGTTGTCTTTTGGACAATAAATTAACTCCATTGAGATCATCGATACTGAGTTCTGTTATGTAGCAATAAAATTAATTGGAGTTTATATCTGGTACTTCATTTTACTGGGTTTATCATTTGCCATTCCGATTCACAAATCTATGAAATGATTACTGTTATAACTAGCTAAAGAATGTTGCCATGCTTTTAGAAAGTGTAAAATTTCTTTCTGCATGTGATTCTTGGGTAGCTCCTTCTTGGAATTACATAAATTAGAAGCTTGTTAGCTGTATTTCTTCTTGAAGGTGTATTTCAGGTCATCCTCATTAGAGGTTAGAGAGCTACATTTGTAGGTTTACATCTCCTTGCAGCAATAAAGAATGCCTGGAAAGAGATCAAATGAGGCTGTGGGTATTTATTTGTTTATTTCCCTATGGTTGCTTATATTTCAGATAGCAATGACATTGTCTCCCTTGCCAGTGAGTACAATGTCAAGTAGCTGTCTTTATAAGATTCCATTACCCCTGAACTTATTAACCAGCAGCTTCCCTTTTTTCTAGCCATTTTCGACAAATGGATCCCCTTTCCATTCCCATCACCAAAGAGTAGGAGAATTAGGATGTATTGAGTATTCTAGACTTCTAATCCCTTCAGTTTTTTCTTACTTGAACTTTGAATATTACTTATGATTTGTTTTATAGCTTTGATCCATACATCTTCCAATTTCCCAATGTTTTTATCCCTTGTGTTTTTAGTGTGTGTCAGAAAATTTTAATCTTTTTCATCCAGTTGCCTCAGCATATTCCGCACGATGCTATATGTTCCTGAGTCTCATATCCAAATGGATAACCGCTAGCTGGGCTGCTACTGGAGAATGCCGGGGCAATTGGATGCATTTGTAACAAAAAATGAGTACATTTCAGTTGATGTATGGCGAAAATTTCTTGTGATATCTGGAGTTTCCTTGTCTTTGCTCTCATGTTTAAAAAATAAGAAAATTGTACAGGATTAGGAGCACGTAGTTGAGGATGACAGTCGTCACCTGTGGACAACATTGATGAACAATGACTTCCCTTTCTTTGTGGGAAGCCATATTTCGATGTGGTTTTCGCGAAATCACATGCCAGAACATCCTTACATCATGGTAAATAATGGCCCCTGGAATTCTCAAGAATCACCCATCATTGTTTCCTCGTTTCTTGTATTGAACTACTACAGAGACTGATTTGTATAACCACCTCTAATGCAGAAACTCCTGGGTGCGCAATCTTTCCTCGCACCAGAGTGCCAGCAGTTCTCAGATCCCAGGGCAAGAATCGGGATCCAGGCTATATTAGAAACAGCTCTTGCCCGACGCTACATTGCCAGGTGGTGGGAGTTTGTGAACAATAACCATTTGGCCATCGGAGATGCATTTTTATGCGGGTGAGTTATTGGAATACTGTCCTTCTCTGATCAAATTCAAAAACCAAAGTTTACATCCTCAGGGGCAATTTGCCTCCTGGAGTTGAAATGGATAAGGCCTCCACCTCTCATGACACCTCCGAGGATCTTGCTTGACATACTAGATGTGTGTTCTGATCCACAATCCCAGGAGACTTGCCACCAGCTCTTTGGACCAGACTTCTTGCCCTTTCGGCGCAACCATGGTATCATTTCATCTCTTCTTGCTACTGAAGTTTTTCTATTAGGTGCAATCATATTTCACATTTTTGAGAAAGAAACAAGTGATTTCAACTATGTTCTTACATATATCTGGCTTGTTTTCTTTCAGCTTAAAGCTGGGATTAATGGAAGATTCTATAGAAAAGACAAGAAATGTAATTGAAAAACATTGTTGTTAATATTTTGAGCAATCGCAGGAGCAGTCAACGAGGTTGTGAATGGCCAGAAAAGGAGGCCTTATTCTCCACTTCCATAGATTCTTCTGATGATTGCTTTTGATTAGCAGCAGCCGCAGCTTTGGACATGGCAGCTTTCATTCCCTTACAGGATTTCATATGTGAGTGCATCTTGTCTGGTCTGAAAGTCTTCCCACATTGTCTGTAACAAAAAATGAACTAACTTTGCTTCACTATTCTTGCAGCCAATTCTCAAATTTTAAACAAGAAACACTGAGGATAACAAACAACTCACGAGCAGGTCGGCCCGGCAACTGCCGGTTTGTAAGCAGCAGTCCTTGATGATGAATCGTTCCTCGCCCCATCGAAGCTTTTCCTGCAATGACATGTCGCGAGTCAGACATCACCGTCAGTATTTGATCGGAGTAAATGTATGTAAGAATTACCTGCCATTCCATTGCTGTTGAGTCCAACAAGGAGTTCCAAACACCCTCTGACTCTGAGAGCCACAAAAACTGCTGTCCCTTTTGCAGATCTCGGCTGAGTTAGCCTCGTCCCGATCGCTCGGCTTCTTCGGCTTATTGATCGGCACCACAGCTGAATCGTGCGTGTGCACTCCGCCACAAGTGATCAGGCTCCGGAATATACTTGACGATGATGATGATGATGTGCCTTTCTTGGACTTGGTTGAGCTAGGTGATGATGCCGAACCCTTGGTTTCATCGGATTTTTTGGCAGTATTCTTGGCGGGGAATGAAGGCAGAGGAAAAGAGGGTGGCCGCTGCCGTTGTTGTTCTTGCTTGGCGGGCGAGGCTGACGCGGTTTCGAGTTTGATGGAGTCGTGATCCTCTGTCAGTGTGGATGTTTCGGAGCCAAAAGTTTGGGATGATTCTTCGATTTGGGACGATGATTTTGGTGAGACAGAGTCGGATGAATTGTGGCTTTTGTGTGTGGCTTTCTTGTCTTCTTGGAGACATGGTGACGATGATGGCTGCTCAATTTTCTCATTGTAAGAAGAATCTGCCTCTGCCAGAACCACACACACACATATATATATATATATATATTAACAAAAGAGATCCAATCTCAAAGAAAAATTCTTACATCAAACGTGCTATATGTATATATATATATATATTTACCAGGTGGATCAATGGTGGAGGAAATCTCAGATCCTTTAAGGACGTACTCACTGTCTGAGATTGGTGTGATAAGATCATCATCCAGTAAGTCTTGCCATACATACCCACTCTTGTATTTCCTGCACACACACACACACACACATATATATATATACACACACATCAGAATTCAGATCAAATTCAAATTCAAATTCAACTAACACTATAATAAAACGCATGCCTTTTGTAAGACCATGAAAATGAATCAGGCATGTCTTTGCCCCTCACTTCTCCCAGCCATCTCTTCACATCTGAATTAATTCATTCATTCCACAAACAAAACAACTATTGTTAGTGAAAATTGAAGAATGAATGAATTAAGATTTAAGATGATAGAAAATGGAATATATCCATTGAAGAGCACCTCGTAATCGGATGCCATTTCTTGAAAGATGATGGAGACGAATTAGATGAGGATGTTCTATGCTCCCTTTTCTACTCAAAAAATAAACTATATCCACTCTCCTCATTTCCTCCATTCTTCTTCTTCTTCTTCTTCTTCTTCTTCTTTCTTTCCCAAAATTAAAACTACGTACCCACCTGATGGTATGTATGTATCTATATATATATATGTGTGTGGGTGTGTGTGGTGATGAACCTCACTTTCTTGGCAAAAGAAAACCACACAGAACATAAAAGTAGCTTTTATTTGATTTCTCTTGCAGAAAACGACAAAAACAAAGGATCAAACGAATGAAGATGGAAACCCAAGACAGAAATGAGCATGGTTTGTACGTAGGCCTGCCTGCCTGCCCTAACAAATATAACAAATTCTTCGTGTTAAACTAAGCTGTCTGATAAAAACAAGAAATCAAATCAGTGATCACCATGCATTGGTGGATGTGCAGGCTTTATATATATAATATATATATATATATATGTATTTATGCAACACATTTAAAATCAATAATTTTAATATCCAAATCAGACACAAACCATGAGGGCCTATGCTTCAATACTTATTTATATAATTGGCTTCTGCAAAGCATACATTTGCAGACTGAAGAATGCTTGCTCACACACCCACACCCACAAACACACACATAAATATATATATATATATATATGTATTATAATGTATGGTGGCTACATGTTTAGAATAGATCAACTGTAACTATATTGTACTATAAAAAAGGGCAAACTTGGTCCACCAATGACTCTTTTTGCTTTTTTTAACTGATTCTGGAGTGCAGAAGTTGGCAGTTTTTTTGACCAGTTTTTAATAAACCTATGTAATTAAAAATTCATGTAAATCTTTATCCCATGGGTTAGAATTTAGAATATATGTCCTGTGGCAGACAGGTTCAATCTTCCAGAAAATATTATATTACACACATATTTTACTTCAATGAAATTGCTCCTTTTCATAATAATAATAAATAGATAATAATAGCCTTAGCCAAATTTAAGAATTCCCACCAAAATAAACACAACAATACAATCATAAAACCAAATCAAATCAAACTTTATACATTCCCACTGATCATCCATTCCAGTTACAGAGATTCTTACAGTTAAGAAGATCAAGACCATGGTGATCAAGATCTCTCATCACCATACCAAAAGTCCTTACCCTTTGGCCCGACAGGGCCTTCTTCTCCAAGCACTTCTTTCGGCAGAGACTTCACAAATCTCTCCAACACACCTTTGAGTCTCCCCGGCAATAATTTCTCCAATTTCCTGATTTCTTCCTCCCTGTTGTAGCTGATCTTCGGCCCCCATTTTCTTGCATAATTCAGCCACGCCGGCTCCTCGTACGCCGCCGCCAAGTACTCAGCGCTAACGACGACAAACCTCGCCCCGATGTCCATCGAATCCTTCCCTTTACCACTGTCATTCCTGATCCCTACATTCTTGCTCCCCTGCATCACCACCCCGGGTTTCCGATACATCGGATGTCCGTGCAATGCCGAATACGCCACCGGCTTATTCGTCGCTGCGAAAAACTCGATCTCCGACGCGTCAACCCATTCGCCTTTGCTGTGCTGCGAAAGATACATGCTTTTCATCTCCCCATTGAAGTTGCTGATCCTTAAAGTCACGTGCTCCCAGTCGCCGACGTGCTCGCCGATCCGCCCCAACGGCACGTCGATAAACTCGACTTTCGCCTTTCCGGGGCCGTTGAAAGGATAGAATATCCACACTGCAATGTCCGTAAATGTCCCTCCAAACATTGCCTTAACATGGACATAAGCCTCTGCTGTTGCTAACTCCCCTCTCTTCACTCTGTCTCTTGCAGCCTCGTCTCTCGGGAGATCGATCCAGTACTCATCGTCGTTCGAGCCTCCTTGCGGCAGCTTCGAACCTGTCGGAAGTATTTCGACGGGGCTCGACTCCTCGCCTTTCTTGTAGAGCAATGCGCCGTTTTCGAAAAACCACGACACCGATGACGGGAAGTATTGCTCGTCGCGGTGGAAGTAGACGACGGGTGAGTATGCCTGGATTAGTGCATTGATCTGGTCAGGATCAGGCATGGAGCTATGGCTGCCATTGATGTTCTTCAGACAAGGTATGTCGAAACCCAAACCATCTCCATTGTTTCGAACAACGAATGTCCCTGTCGGAACTCCCATTGCCCGAATTCCCCTGTCTTTCGGCCTCAAGCTGTATACATTGATCCCATCAGTGTTCACATCCTTACCAGGCCCCCAAATCCAGGCCTGATTTTCGGTCGAATCCGTGTATTCGATGCGCGCACACCGTACCGTTTCTAAGTCCGGCTTGTCGGGTGTCGACGTGACAACGAGCCCCATGGCTTTGTATCCGTCGGGCGGAGTGGGCAGCCAGATGTAGCCTGTGCCATCCTGTTTGATCCTCGACGACTCGCTTGTCCAGACGAGAGTGTAGTCGGTCGGTGGCTTTAGCGCGTCGCAGTCATCGGTTACGTCTCTTGCTGCAAGAATCCACCCTGATAGAGGCTTGTTGTTTGGCTGGCAGTAGCTGCCGAGCATGGAGAATCCGTCAGGGATCGAGGTTGGCTCGAAGAATGTCGCTCCCATGTCCTCCGGCCCGCCTTGTCGCGTCGACCAAATCTTCGCGAATGTCGACACTTGACATACTTCCAACCCTCCAAGATCAATTATACCGGTTGCAAAACCTCCCCCTTATTCACACAAGGAATAACAACTATAAATGATAACCATCTTAGATTTTTAGATGAAATGATCGCATTGTTAACCATAAGTCTTTCTTCAATATATATATATCAATGAAACATTAGAATTTTTTTAGATGAAGTGATCATTTCATGTATGCTTAATCATAAGAATTCGACAATATATATATATATGTATATAAGTATGAATCAGCGGCTAATCATGTCAAAATAATATGATGCTGATTTGACCAGATCAATATATAATCAGTATATATTTATACATATTTTAAATATTTATAATATAATTCATGCTATCTTAACATCATGTTTACTTGACCTGATCGGATCAGCACAAGATCTACAATATATATATATATATATATGCATACATATATACTAATAATCCATCTAAACTTCTAGATCAGATCATTACATTCTAAACCATAAGTCTTCCTCTAACATATATATATACTAATAAAATATCTAAATTTCTAGACAATTATAAACATAGCCTTCATCAATATACATATACGTGGATGCGTAGTTGTGTTCATTTTGATTAATTTTTTCAGTTTTTTTACTGCTATTTTTTTTTTTTTTTAAAAAAATACATTATTTCATTTCATAAAACATATACATATACAAACACAAACACAATGTTTATGTGTAATTAGAGAATCATAAAGAGAGGCCAACCTTCAGGCCATGTCGGCAATGGCGATGGAAGCTCGAACGAGGTTTCGATAGGAAGAGGTTTCGGCTTCCTCCCGAAAAAGATAGAGATCCTTTCGAGGACACCGATCCGATTCCCCATTGACGACGACGACGACGACGAAGAAGAAGAAGTCATGGAAACCAAACTATATATAGTTGAATTGAAGTATATGTATGTATAATTAAGAAAGCGGGGTTCACAAGAAAAGCAGCAATGATACTCTAAACAAAGGAAAGATTGCAAAAATTCCAAACACTCACTCAAGAAAAAGGGGAAGAGCAAAATCAAAGGTTGTTGCTTTCATTTGTACTTCCTTGCAAGTAATAATATCAAATCTAACGTTGTAATGCTTTTAAGATACACAATTAGGAGGAATTGAAATATACACAATCTTATCTGCTTCGTAACAAGATTATATAAGCAGGATTTGACTAACAATATTCATTAAAGACAATGGAGATCTGTGTTTATTATCCTCACCTAAATAAATAAATACTACTACTATATGATCAATTGGACAGCTGCCATATCTACAAATATTTTATAAATTTATATAAATGCAGGATGTTGATGGGCTGCTAATTTATATGCACACATGATAATTGATGCAAAAATTCATTCATGCGTTGGTACGGATTTTGAAGAGCTGCCAGCCACAGAAAAAAATAAAATAAAATAAAATAATCAATGATGATTTTTTGGATCAATAATGCATGCGTTGTGCTGTTATGTGAACATTTTGACATAAAAATAAATACTAGTAAAATCAAGTGTGCAATATATGAGGATTATAATTGAGACAAGGAAGTGTATTTACTTTTTTTACTATAAACTTCTCGTAATTTTTTATATAATTTTCTTTTACAAAATATTAAGTTAAATTAATAATGAAATAAAAAAAGTTCTTCTAGACATGACCCAAAGTAGTTGATAATATTATGCCTAATCCTAACAACTTCCAATACTAAACTCAGGTTATTAGTCTATCAACGCCTTAGTCAATATCTCATTTGCTAATAATGATTCTAATAATGGCCGGTGGACACTCTTCAATAAAAATAATATTTAACATTAATATTTCAAACCCACCTCCGACCCCTCAGGTCATTTGCCACACATGGTTCGACTCTTTCGTCGGGTCTGATTTGCCGAGTATTAGGTTCGGTCAGGAGTTTATCCAGTGCGCACTTTCGGGTAGCAGCTGCGGGTTCCCACGTCATCAAAATATATATATATATCTATATATATTTAACATTAATATGTAAAAAGGATGATATAATCTTCAAACGATAGATTATACAGTAGGGTTTGCACGGTTAAGTTCTGTATGACTGTAGGGGTAATTCGGTCATTATGGTTCAAATATATATCCTTTATTTATTTGTATAGTTTTAAATTTATTTATTTTTCAAAATAATTATTAAATATGACATTTTTTTTTTTGGTTAGAAATCATCGTATTAAAACATATTTTTAATAAGAACACACATATGGTTTCATTTTCATATCACACATCCATATCATCTGCCATTCATTTATCTGTCACTCATACTTTCTGTCATATTTCAGTCAAGTATACTTACAAAAAAAAAGATTATTTTTATAAAAAAAATATATTGATTTTAAAATACAAATGAACAAACCTATATTTTTTTATTTTTTTTTTCTATCAAAAACTAAGTATATTACATAATAAAAATTTTAACTCTCAATTTAACTTTTGATGTAATGATAATTAAATACTTATGTAAATTTGTTTACAATTTTTTTTTTAAATATTCAAATATCATTTTTTTTCTTCTTCTTAAAATATCATATTTGACAACAATTTTTTTTTTTTAATAATCAAATTTCATTATAAAATTTGTTTGGCTTGCATAAAAACTATTTAATTTACAGTATGATTTTTATTAAAATATATTAACTTATACATAAAAATATTCGAACTATATTTGTTTGACAACATTAAAATTTTATTAGCTACATGAAAAATGTGTTAAAGTAAGAGTGTCTTCAGTTTTGATTTAAAGTCAAAATCAATACTATTTCTTCTAAGTAGGCATTATTTCAATTAAAAATATCAAATATAAATACTACGTAAAATAAAAATCCAAATCAAAATAAAAACAAAACAAAACAAAATAAAAAAGAAAAAGAAAAACAACACTATTACATATAATTATTAGTAAAAAAATTCCAAGCCCAACTTGGAGAAATATTATGTAATTAATAATCCATAATCAAATTGGATTTGGGTTTCCAACCCAAACGGACATATAAAATCCAGGAGTAAGTAATGAGGGGATACATTCAATGGCCCAAATCAATTTTATTGGTGTCCACCATTCATGGTTCGACAAGTACGACGGGCTCTGGTTCGGCAGAGGATTTACTCAGTGCACACTTTCGAGTAGCGGCGACGGATTCCACGTAGTTATAAAAATTTTAAAAAAAACAAACAGATCTGTCCCTTATGTGTTTTCAATTCTTTTATTAACATTATTTATTTATTTTATATAATGATATTTGTGTAATATATTGTAAATTAGAAGGATATTTGTAATATTGGGTAAATAGTACAATTACTTAAAAAAAAAAAAAAGGAAATAGATACTTTGTTATGGGACGGACCAAAATTATTAAAATAGATAGATTGTTAAGGGACGGATGAAGTATTATTTTATATAGTTTTTTATATTTATAAATTACACCGTAACTTTAATTTATTTTTATAATATAACCCATATATATAATTACACATTATATATCATTTTTCGAAAGATAAAATTATATATCATTTTTAAAAAAATAAAATTATACATTATTCTTAAAGAAATAAAATTATCACTTTCTAAAAAAATAAAATTATAAAGTAACACTGTACACTGCAAAATATAAAGTAACATTGTACACTTTGGGGATGGGTTGGAGTCCCTCCCCCAATTTTGGCACAACCCATTGCATTAGTGGGTTGGAGTTGCTCTAATAGAATATCAATTAAATAATATATTTATGTTAAAAGTATTTGAATTATATTTATCTATAAATTTTTGCTTTAGTCTATAATTTTAGTATCGATAATTCCAAAGCTTATTTGTTTAGTGTTTTATTTTAGTATAATATGTTAATTTTATAAAATAAAATAAAATATAATATATTTTGTATTATAAATATATTACAATGGGAAAGGATTGAATGCTGATATTTTACGATCAGCACCCATGCTGATTAGTGTAATATAATTATGTATAATTATATTAATTATATAATTTATAAAATAAGTTAACATACTTAATTTTTTATACTAATAAGCATCAACACCCGATCTTCCCTCTATTAAAATATATATAAATATGCGTTGGTCATTCGTATAACATATGTTGATCCGATCAAATCATTATCATATTCATTTGATCGAATCAAAGTTGATCGATGCGCATCATGTAATATAAATTTGGGATTAAAAAACATAGACAACTTTCACTTAATGTCTGTATCGTCATTGTTTTATTGATTCCCGAAGTAAAGTAATCTATAATTATACTATAATTTATGGAAGTACAGTTTAAATTTGATAGTATTGCAGAAAGACCCAATTCGGAGATCTTTATGCCTAAATAAAATAAGGAAAACATTCACCAATCACCACAGCCGTCCTCCAAATGGACCCCAAAACTGCACTTTTGTAGTTTAAATCGAAGGACGGTATAAATTAAGACTGCCCGCCGGCGCATAAGTGCACTTCAGCATAATACTACAATTATACTTATATACATTTTTTAATGAATATATCTTTTAATTACTTGTAATTATATAACTAAGTTTGAACATACGTAACTATTGTATGTATGGACAAGTCTCAAGAAGACAAATTAGTAACAACAAAAAGAACCTCCACTTAAAAATTTCACACTTTTATGTATAAATTGACATAACAGTCTCAAACAGTTCAATTATTCCATTCATTAGTTATTAGTGCAAAGGAGGATCTTTTATTTTTATTAGAGCCCGGAATGGGGTATTTTTGTAATTTCATTGCTGCAATTCTTCTACTCGCCGTTCCTCAAATCTCAGCCGTCGGATTTCCGATCAACGTCTGGCCGAAGCCCGCCACGTTCCAATGGCGGTCCCCTCAGGCGATCCTCCTCTCCCCAAATTTCTCCATCTCCGCCCCGCCCCACCGCTACCTTACCCCCGCCGTCGGCCGCTACCTCCGCCTGGTTCTGACGGAGCACCACCGTCCGCTCGTCAATCCGCCGCTCAATGTCACGTCGGCGTCGCCGCTTTCTGCTCTTACTATTGACGTCTCCGACACCGGCGCTCCGTTAACTCACGGCGCCGACGAGTCTTACTCGCTTTCCGTCCCGTGCGACGGCGGCGCCGCCACTATCCGCGCGGAGACCGCCTGGGGCGCGATGCGAGGGCTGGAGACGTTCTCGCAGCTGGTGTACTCGCCGTCGCCGCCGTCGTCGAAGGTCGCCTGTGGGATGCACATTTCCGACGCGCCGCTGTTCGTCCACCGGGGGATCATGCTCGACACTTCGAGAAACTTCTACGGCGTCGAGCATTTGCTGCGGCTGATCGGCGCGATGAGCATGAACAAACTCAACGTCTTCCACTGGCACATCACCGATTCGCACTCGTTCCCCCTCGCCGTGCCGTCGGAGCCTGATTTGCCGTCGAAGGGTGCATACGGCGATGAGATGACATACACGGCGGCGGATGTGAAAAAAATCGTCGACTATGGAATGGAGCACGGCGTTAGGGTTTTACCAGAAATCGACATGCCTGGTAAATTCAATTTCTTCAAAACCCTAGAATTTGGGGATTTTGAATTTCAATAATCAAATCATATAATCTGAATCTCGATTTTCGCAGCGCACACCGGATCATGGGCTGGAGCTTACCCAGATATCGTCACTTGCGCGAACATGTTCTGGTGGCCGGCGGGAGAATCTGCGCCGTATGCGGCGGAGCCAGGAACAGGACAATTGAATCCGATGAATCCTAAAACCTTCGAAATTGTCAAAAACGTTGTCCGAGATGCAGTTTCGATGTTTCCAGAGAAATTATACCACGGTGGGGCTGATGAAGTAAATCCAAAGTGCTGGGAAACTGATCCTGCAATTCAAGCTTTTCTCTCCAACAATGGAACTCTCAGCCAGGTTCTTGAAAAGTTCATCGGATCGACATTGCCATACATCTTGTCCCTGAATCGAACCGTTGTGTATTGGGAGGATGTCCTGCTGGACGCCAATGTTAACGTTACAGCATCTGTGCTTCCACCTGAACATGTCATTCTGCAGACATGGAACAATGGTCCAAACAACACCAAGAAGATAGTCGAATCCGGCTACCGTGCGATTGTCTCGTCATCTGATTTCTATTACCTGGATTGTGGGCATGGAGATTTTACAGGGAACAACAGTTTGTACATTCGTCCGCCGGGCACTGATCAGGGCAACGGCGGTTCCTGGTGCGGGCCGTTCAAATCATGGCAGCTGATATACAATTACGACATAACGTACGGTCTGAACAAGACAGAATCGAAGCTGGTGTTGGGAGGGGAGGTAGCCTTGTGGTCGGAGCAAGCTGATCCAGCAGTCATGGACTTGAGAATCTGGCCAAGAACATCGGCCATGGCTGAAACATTATGGTCAGGGAACCTCGACGAAACCGGGAAGAACAGAGTCGCAGAGGCAACGGACAGACTGAACGAGTGGCGATACAGAATGGTGACCCGAGGAATCGGAGCCGAGCCAATTCAGCCTCTCTGGTGCATCAAGAATCCAGGCATGTGTAATAACCCCATTTAGATTCATGTTTTTTCTTACATTCTCTGTTCTCATTTTAAAGATTGGAATTGATGTTGCCTTTGAAGCACACAACTAGAACTTTTTTATACATGGTAACACAAACAATTTTGCACAATTAGAGTGCCTGCCTGGAAAGAAATTTGTTCTTCAAGCAGATGAAATCTGATAAACATGTCCTAAAGAGAGGATGTTTCCCAAGAAGGAAAACATACATGTCCGAATGAATTACCAATTCATTTTCCCACACATATACACCTTATCTTCTTGGCCAAATCTTCAATATATAGACAAATAGTATTATTAACTATTAAGGGCAATTAGGGTTCCTCCCAGGGCCTCCATAGTAGAAATAATTGCCCCAATCCCCACTCTTGCCAAGCTGCACATCGTAGCAGTTGGACTGCTCGGTGAATATGTCGATGTCTTTGGGAGCCCTGAGGTTGTTCGAAGAGTCGACAACCTGGATGTTCCTCATATAGCTGGCCTTGCCAAATCCCTCTTCTGGGAAATGGCCGCTCCCCATTTCTGTCGTCGTGTGCTGCCCATCACTTTGTGAGTTCACCACTTCGCCGCCCCATTCAATCATCGACGCGCTGTCGGATAAGTAAGAAAACATGAAGGCTGGCCAATAACCCAGAACATAATCCTTCCCAAATTGCATCCACCAATTTCCTTCTTTGGGATCCTGTTCTTACATTATAAAATGAATCAAACATTATCCACAAAGAACATTGTAAGAATTATATGACAGGTAGGAGGAATGTGACACAGAAAAAGCATATGTAAGTGTCAAAGATTCCTTGTGGAGATGCATCCAAGATTTGAGAACACCTTTTGTCAGTCACATGATGTAAATTATTAATTTTTATTTTTGTTTTTATTTTTATTATTCACTAACAGCTATCAATCAGATAGAACAATTATTTCTTCTCCCTTTCAAGATTGTAGTTTAGCAGAAAATATCAAACCTTCCAGACAAGAATGCTGATGTCAAATTGGGGGTCTCTGTAGCCAGAAATGGGATAAATGCTGGCCCCCAAAGCTATTTCATTGTTGATTTGAATAAAGCCTGAGCAAAGCAAGTTGTAGCATCCCGTGGCTTGATATGCATCACTCTGCCAATTTCAAAATTAGTTAAAAATAAATAAATAAAACCATTTTAGAATCTTGTAGATCATTGCTAGCTAGCTGTCCTGTCCATGATCAGAAAACGGACAAAAAATGGTGGCTTACAGTCCAGTAGGTGAAGAGTCTGGTGTTGTTATCTCCATATAAATCTGGGCTCACCTGTTTCAAGAATTTAATTTAACCCCCCAAAAAAGAATTTACCAAATTATGAAAGAACAGTGTATAGATGTTGGTTAAACAGAAATTACCGACTGAACTCACCTGCCAACCAGCCTCAATGCTGTTGAGATCTGAAGCAAAAGAACCTCCAAGAATCCATAGCTGAGAGAGGCTGAATTCATTGGGCTGCTGGATTTTTGGATCCCATACATTTATGGTTGCTTTTGCTCCATAGTATTCATCTCCTTCAACATAGGCTATGGCATGCTAAACAAACTCCAAAGTTTACACCAACACACAAAATTGAGAACAAATATCTATCATCTCTTTTGTCAATGGATTCAATTTTATTTTATAAAATAAATAATTTGGAATACCTGGTGGCCACTTTGGGTGATGAGATCAGGCTCAGGGGAGGCTGAGGTTGGCCTGGGTATGGTTTTGTGGATCTTCTTGCCAAATGTCTGAATTGAGCTTGCTCTAAGAACATCATCTGTTCTTGTTCTTCTTGTGGGGATTGTCCCTTTTGGACACCTCCCATTCGTCTGCCATAGCTGGGCTATTGGCTTTGGTCCGATTGTTTCTTGCTTGCTGTCACTGAATAGCCCTTCTGGATGATAGCTTGGCCTCATCTGCAACTTGTTATTGAAAACTAAATTAAATTAAATTTAATTGAAAACCCCCCTTTCACTTTGGCTGACATAAGCATTGTTTGGTTGGTTTCTTAGATTGTGACCTGAATTGTGTGGTTCTTGAGGAGAGGATGATCGAAGGCTGCTTGGTGGGATATATGAACACAGTCTATGATATCTCCATCTGGGCTCTGTGTTCACCCACAAATTAGAAAACACATATATGTATATATATATATTTTTATGTTTATTACATGTGTACCTTGATGGACTTGATAGGAGGCTTGTTCAGGCGGGTTAAGTGTCTCCTCACTTCAAGATTCCGGTGGGCGGCGCTGCCGCCCGCCCTGGCGGCAGTCCCAAGGGAAGGAATCAAGAACAGAGACAGGAGAAAGAAACCCAATTTAACCTTCATATCCATTAGCTTCAGAAGTGTTTGGAAGATTTTCTGAGTGTGGATTCAACGTGAACAAGAAAAACCCATTTGGGGGATTTTTTTTTTTCTGAAAATTTGAATGGCGTGAGCACACAGTTCTTGCTTATCCTAAGAAGTAAGAAGCCCGTTTGGTCTTTGTCACGGCAATAAATAGCAGAGCACTTTTGTAGCCTCAGGAAAAGGGAACTTTTTCGAAAATGAAATCTCTAGAGGTGTTCTTGAAAATTTAAAAAATATATATTTGAAAATAAAAATAAAAAAATCGTAAAATCCAGCTGAGTGTGTCGTTTTGTATTCTGGGCTGACTTATTTGAGCAGTGGAGCAACTGAAAGAGCAAAGGGCACAGAAGAAGAGGAGGGAGAAGGAGATAAGAAAGAAAGAAAGAAAGTAGAAAATGGGGAAGGAATGTGGGGGGATCATCATTGATAATGGCGACAAGCCCGGCCCGGCCCGGCGCTTTCAACTTCCAGATTTTAGCAACAGATTTTGAGAGGGATCTGTCGTTTCTGCAGCGAGTGGGTTTCGTAGTTAGACATGTGACTTTGTGGTAGGGAGAAAGGACCATCGGGATCGCCATCGCCATCGCCACCATATGAGGTTGTCAGAGTCTTGCGACGTGGACCGGACATATTCTTGGACACTCCCGGGATCTCGAGATCCTGACGAGTCATTAATAGCATGCATGCTTTGGGAGTTTAACTCCTGGGACTCTGCAGGATTCTCTTTCTTCTTCGTTTTACCTGGGATAATCATTCTTAATCACAGGATTTGCCATTGAGACCTAATCATTGACTGTTAGAGAAAAAACTTTCGATTGGGTTTTGATTTTCAAAGAATCAAATTATTTTAATTCCTGAATTTTGTTTTATTAAAAAATTATATATGAACAAAGTGATTAATTAGGATACATGGGGGCAGCATTAAATGTAGTTTGTATTTTTTTTATGAGTTAGAAGACAAGAAAAAATTAATGTTTGTTGTTTGGATTACAAGTTGACAAATTTGGTGTGGAGTGTGTTCTTGCACTTATTGCCCTTCACCAAGGTGTTTGTCGTATTCCTTTTCAAATTAGGAAAAGGTTAAAAATGTAAATTGCTAGAGTGCCGATTAATAGTAATCATAATTTAATTATTTTATTCAATAGATAAAAAAGTAGATATACATTATATAGTTTACTACCTCCGTCCTACATTGGATGCCTTGGTTATGGTAGACACTAGAATTTATGATAAATATAATTAGTAGACAATTAAAAATATATTAATAAAAATAATTAACTTATAATATAAATTAAGATCACTAATTAGTTTAATTAAAATTTAAAATGTAATTAAATATTTAATTATTTTTCAAAAAGAAAAGTGACATGAGATGTGAGACGGACAAAAACAGCAACATGGTAGGTGGGACGGAGGGAGTATTTTCTAAGTTAATTGTTGCTATTATTATATCTCGAGTGTTACGCTTAATAATAGAAAATAATATAATTATTTTTTAAATAGAATAAACAAGAGAGCAATCCAGCGTTTGTAGTCCAACGGTTAGGATAATTGCCTTCCAAGCAATAGACCCGGGTTCGACTCCCGGCAAACGCATTTTTGATACTTAAAATTTTGTCACATATAGTTTAGTGACTTTAAATAATAGTTTATATAATTTTGATGCATTTTCTGTATTTAAAAATATTAAACAATACATGTCATTTTTTTTTTTAACTATATAAATATGAAGTATTTTTTATCCAATGTGTTAACTTTTTTTGTGGGTCCATTTAAAGTGAAAAGTTTGATATTGATTGAGGAATGATACGGAGTTAATTGAAAAAAAGTAAAAGTGAACAAAGTTTACATAACTAATCATTTTCTGTGTGACATTATTTGTCAACTTATCATTTTTCTAATATTATTTTTTAATTGTAACAGTTACTTGATATAATTAAAAAATAATATATATATTTTTGCATGAACACTAATTTCATCAATGATTTTTACCTCATGTACTTAGATTGCCCCTTTTTTTTTAGTATTTTGATAAACTTTTCAATGTAAAATATACCACCTTCCAGGACAGATGATTTATATATATATATATATATTTTAATAAATTTATCAATTTTAAATATATTTAGTTTAATTAAATTTGTATTATTTTTCCTACAAGATTACTTAAAATTTCTTTACTTATAAAAAATATTTTCGTATACATTTAAAACTTCATATTCTTTATAAAACTAATTTATATTAATCATAAATAAATAAATGATTTTTTATTTATATGTATTATATAAAATTTTAATTTTTTACGAAATAATATCTATATTGTATATTCCGTCAATCATAACTCAAAATACTCTTTTTTATTTTTTTCATATGTCACTAAAAAGTATCAACTTTATTTTTTTTTAGAAAAACTAATCTACACAAATACAAAAATATTTTTTAATTTTTACTTAGATTAAAAACATGCCATTATACATAAGGGTGAAAATATCAAAATTTCTTGAACAATTCTACTAACCAATAAAATACTATTATTTTTTAATTTACTACAAAACCCCAAAAGATTTCTTTCAATTAGGACGGATGTAGTTTAATGTTTTATCAATTATGCCAAAATTAATAATAATATAAATTTAATGAATAAAAATAAAAAAACTATAAATTTGGTTGACGGAAGAAATAATAAAAGGATATGCTCATATATAGAAAACAAACAAACACAACCTAAATGTAAATGTGGAGCAAAGCAACCCAAAATGGGCAACGGTACTGTATTCTGTTGGGCCATTAGAGGGCTTTAGATTAGATAGAGCTTTTGAGGTCTAATATGAGCCACGTGGGCTCTCTATATTGCTTACAGAAGCTCACTCAAATAGTTTGGGCCTGTTGAATGGCTTTCTTTTTCAAAATTGGCGTATTTGTTTCTATATATATGTATATATATTAGTATTTTATTTTATTTTATTATGTGGTATTTACTCGTAACACTTTATAAAAACACATTACATATAGTTTGGAATTTGGTGTAAATTTTAATTTAGATGTTTCAAAATTTTGATTTATTTATATTAGGTGTGACAATTCGGGCCGACTTGGCATGACCCAAGCGAAGAACTTTACGGTAAAGTAATTAAAATATTAATATATATATATATATAAATCTATTAAAATTTAAATATTAATTTAAAAACTGGATCGGGCTGGCACGACCCAACTTTAATAAGTCGGACACGGCCCGGTTCATTAGTGTGCCGGGCAGACACGATCTGAAAATTTTAAGGCCTATTTTTTTAAGTTCAAATACAATTTTTTTATGTCGGATCAAATTTTTGGAATGTATTTATTTTTGACTTCTCTAATTTATATGTATACATCTCTTTCTCTTTTTATCATTTTAAACATAATTTAAAATTTTGTTTTAAATAAAAAGTAAATGTAAAATAATTAAAGAAACATTCAAAATAATATCAAGCATCAAAAGTAAAACTATCAAAATAAACGAAACAGACATAATACCGAAAAAAAATATGATACAACCTTTTACCTAAAAAATAAATATTTAAGTTATAATCAATACAGTTTAACGAGTGTATCTTTAATATATGTTTTTAAACACAACAAATTGATTATTCTAAAAAAAATAAATAAAGGCAAAATATTTTTTCTCCACTCATATAATATTGATATTCTAAATAAATGCGTCTGAGGGTTTGAACCTACCCCTACACTACCAGGTCATCCTTTACTAGATGAGTATTCATTAACAATTGTGCAGACGGAAGAAGTCTTATAGTATAATTGTAATAAATACATTAATAAATAAAAAAACACTCTATTGGGCTGATATTGACTCTAAAATACTAAAGTTAGAGGAGCATCTAGTAATCATAGACGTAAACGATATATAGATACTATATCGACTTGTGTAGTGTTGTAGCTAATGCGTTTAAATATCTCATATGAGGAGTAAGTTGGCAAGAATAAAACGAAAAGAAATTGACAGGACCCGAACAAACGATGAAGCACGTAGTTTAATTTAATGCAAAACAAAGTGAACAACCTTACGTCCGCTTGGACATGCCGTGAATCCTCTTGAAAGAGTATTATGATTACAAAGTGACTTATTAAAAATTTTACATACAATAAAACTAATCATAAAATCCATTCTATTAAAAACTAATCATTTTTTATTTTAGTGAGACTAATTGCATGTAATTAATATTCAGATACTTTTCATTTTTACGGTAATTTGTAAATATATTACTTTACATTCTCAATGTCAAAATACTTTTGTCTAATTTTGAGTAAGAACATAAAAAAGACCAGAAATTTGACAAACAATCTCATACAGAAATGAAATAAATTGAATTTAAAGAATAGAAGATCCCAACTAGATCCAGCAATGATTTCCCCAAAACAAATGCAAAACTAGGCGGCCCCAAATTCCAGAAAAAAGTAGGGTTTGGGGAACTGTTGGGATCAAAAAAGATCTCTGAACAAGACTAAGAAAGAAAACACAATTTGTCGATGACTTGAGTGATGCCTGCCCCCACCCCCACCCCCACCCCCACCCCCAGATACAAAATTAAATAATAAAAAATCCTAGATTAATTTACACCCACAAAATAAATAATACTGTGAACATGTAGTAAAGAATATTCAATCCAAGTCTGAACATTGTGCAATACTAAAATGAAAAGAAAAAGGAAAGCTTGGTTGGAAAGCAAGACAAGTGTAGTGCAGTGTGTATTTTGTTAAATGTTACTTGGTAGTTAATTATTAATAATGAAATCAAAAGAATGGAATTAATGAATGAACAGATAGATGGAGAGATAGATAGCTTTATTTCCATGTGAATGGCCAACCCACCTGCAAATCTATCACATTTTCAACTCACTACCCCACCCCCTAAATGAAAGGAAAAGACTTTCAATCTATATATATATTATACAAAGAAAGAAGAGATCAAAGTTTGGGATTTGGGAAGAACAAAGCAAACATTGAAGAAATGGTAAAAAGGGTTTTCATATCATATCAAAATAGTCCACATAATATTGCGTTAATAAAAATTATGTATTGTTTTTATACTTTAAAAATTGAATCAAACTCTCTCAAAATTTCATAAACTCAGTATTTAATTAAATCGGAAATATTAATAATATTTGATCTAAATGTGCTCAAGTTGCGAATATATTTTAAAATCTCATTTTTTAAACATCTAAAATTATAAATATATCCATTTTTATTGTATTTAGCTCACAAAATAATAAAAGTAAATTCTTAAAATCTGATAAAAATAATTAATTCTAAATATATTTAATGTTTTCTTAAAAAATAAATATATTTATAATTTGATGAGTTTAGAGATTAAGATTTTAAAATTCATTCATGGTTTGGAAGGGTAAATCAAACACCTTTAAATAAAGAAAGATGATTGAGGAGTTAAACACATAATTCATTGAACGAAGTTGAAATTTGAAGCAATTTTATGAAGTACTTCCTCCGTCCACTTAGAAAATATACATATGTTGAATTACAAAGTAAACATTCATTAAATACTTCTTTTTTTTTCTTACAAATACCTCTACTTTACAGAACAATATTACTTTTACATTAAAAAAGCAAGGCAAAAATGTCGTCACGCTGGTTTTAACTACCCACTATAATTAAAATACTATTATTTTTTAAATACGGCGCTAAAAGTAATTGGATACTTTATGTGTGGACGGAGGGAGGGAGTACGAAATTTGGTGCAATTTAGTCTATTTTTAATTAGTTGACTAGGATATCTAGTATAGTTACGATAATTTAGCACTCTTGTATAAGAAATTTTAAAAATAAGAGAAAAAGGTTGTTAATTAAGTCGAGTCTCGAGCTAGGTAGGTAGGTGATACCTTTTTCTCTTTGGATGCACAGCACAAAAGACCATAATTAAGAACACAAATGGATGGGAGCTTTAATTTTAATACCAAGCCAACAAAACACACACGTCCACTCATTGCAAATGAAATGATGCTCCACCATTTCTCATGCTTTGCTGTTCTCTTCATCAATTCCATCCTCACCTGCAAATCAAATCACTTTTTTTTTTTTAATTAATTAATTAATATTATTATTATTATAATAGGCTGCAGTGCTCAGCATTTTCATTTTCGATTCCTCGTCGTCTCCGACCGCTTCATCGGACGGCAATCCAACTTTCATTTGCTTGCTGCTCCGACACAGAGGTAGATGGTGAGTACCTTTTTGTTTTTTCGATTTTGATCTCTTTTGATTTTCAGCAGTTGTAAGATAAAACTGATGATGATGATGATGATGATTCAGGGCACTCCAGTTAACATTATTGTCGGATCCCACGTATGGGCTGAGGATCCTCAAATTGCCTGGATCGATGGACAAGTCTTGCAGATCAAAGGAACAGATGCAACCATTCTTACTTCAACAGGGAACACTGTAACCTCTCTCTCAATCCAATTGAATCGAATTTCTAAACTTCTAACATATAATTTGCTGAGGTTTCTGGTGCCACAATGTTGTCTTCTATCAGACAAATTCGATTGACAATTCTCATGCATTTCAGATAGTTGCAGCTATTGCAAGCATTTATCCGAAAGACACCGAAGCGCCGCCGGCCGGTGTCGACGACATGACCAAGTTAGCCTATCTGCACGAGCCCGGTGTCTTGTACAACCTCGCCTCTCGGTTCGCTCTCAACGAAATATACGTAAGTATTCGACATTTTGTCTGAGACAAAAAAACAGAGTATGTAGGATACAATGTAATATATTTCTTTATGGCGCCGCTGCAGACTTACACCGGGAACATTTTGATCGCCGTGAACCCTTTCCGGCGGCTGCCGCATCTCTACGATATCCATATGATGCAGCAGTACAAAGGGGCTGCATTTGGGGAGCTAAGTCCTCATCTTTTTGCCATTGCAGATACATGTTACAGGTAAAAGTAAAACTGTCTGTACATTTAGGATCATTGGTTGTTATTACATCATCGGATTTCGACTGTCTGTCGCAGGGCGATCATCAATGAGCACGGCAGCCAGTCGATCCTGGTGAGCGGAGAGAGCGGCGCAGGAAAGACGGAGACGACGAAAATGTTGATGAGATATCTTGCATTCATGGGAGGAAGATCAGGCACAGAAGGAAGAACAGTTGAACAACAGGTTTTGGAAGTGAGTACAGATCAAAAACCTTAAATCTTACATCATTTCTTGATGTTAGAATTCACAGAACAAGGCTAAATCTTGCATTTCTGCAGTCCAATCCAGTTCTTGAAGCGTTTGGCAATGCTAAGACAGTGAAGAACAACAATTCGAGGTAAGATCGAATGTCGAATTTTCTTACGCTCGATCGAATTCTTTAGTAAGGGCTTAACTCGAGCTCGTTGCGCCAGTCGTTTCGGCAAATTTGTAGAGATTCACTTCGACAAACAGGGGAAGATCTCGGGAGCTGCAGTTCGAACTTATCTACTAGAAAGATCGCGCGTTTGCCAAGTCTCGGATCCGGAAAGGAACTACCACTGCTTCTACATGCTCTGCGCCGCGCCGCCGGAGGAAGTGAAAAAGCTCAAACTAGGAGATCCAAGAACATTTCACTACCTCAATCAAAGTAGCTGCTACGATGTCTCGAACGTAGATGATGCAAGAGAGTACCTCGAAACGAGAAACGCTATGGACATTGTCGGGATTAGCCAGGACGAGCAGGAGGCGATATTTCGAGTAGTAGCCGCTATACTTCATTTGGGCAACATCGAATTCGTCAAGGGGAGCGAAGTCGACTCTTCGAAGCTCAAAGACGACAAGGCGCGGTATCATCTTCAGACAGCAGCGGAGCTGCTTATGTAAGAACTCTCGTTGATCCAACAGTATCGTTTCGCTCGATTTCATCCTCATTTGCTGCTGCGGCGACTACAGGTGCAACGAGAAGGGGCTCGTCGACTCTCTCTGCCAGCGTGTGATTGTAACTCCCGACGGCAGCATAACGAAACCACTCGATCCCGGCGCAGCTGTCACGAGCAGGGATGCGTTGGCGAAGACAATCTACTCCCGACTATTCGATTGGTAAGAAATTTCGAATAAACAGACATTGTCTTTTTACTCATCAGCTACGCCTGCGACAGGATCGTCGACAAGATCAACAGCTCGATCGGTCAAGATCCTAATGCAAAAAGCATTATCGGCGTGCTCGACATATACGGGTTCGAGAGCTTCAAAATCAACAGGTCTGTCTTTATGTGTATTCGCTTTCGACATTTTCGTATTTATACTTCAAGAACAACGTAATTTTTTAGCTGCGAATCGCAGTTTCGAGCAGCTCTGCATCAACCTAACGAACGAGAAGCTGCAGCAGCATTTCAACCAGGTTAGATGAGTTTCGAAAGCTTCAAGTTTGTCGATAAGAACATAACCTGATTACATCGAACAAAAAACACCAACACAGCACGTATTCAAGATGGAACAAGAAGAGTACACTAAAGAGGAGATCAACTGGAGCTATGTTGAATTTGTCGACAATCAAGACGTCTTGGATCTTATCGAAAAGGTGCGCGCCGAAAGCTTTTACTCGATTCTGCAAGCCTAAAGCTATTACATTGCAATGACAGATTCCATATATTGACACAATGCAGAAACCAGGAGGAATAATCGCCCTTCTCGACGAAGCCTGGTAAGAACTATAGCAACAGAGAAGTCGAAAAAATCACATATAGCAGCTAAAGATGGCCTATAAACTTTGCAGTATGTTCCCGAAATCAACACACGAAACGTTTGCGCAAAAGATGTACCAAACTTACAAAGGCCACAAGCGCTTCAGCAAGCCAAAGCTCGCGCGAACTGACTTCACGATAAACCATTACGCCGGCGATGTAAGCTCGAGCATTTGTAGAGTTCTTACAGCCTCTGTTCATAGTACATTTTAATGTTCTTGCGAAAACAGGTTACATATCAAGCTGATTACTTCCTCGACAAGAACAAGGACTATGTTGTCGCAGAGCATCAAGCTCTCTTGACTGAATCGAATTGCTCGTTCGTCGCGAGTCTCTTCCCTCCGTTGCCGGAGGAAACATCAAAGCAGTCCAAGTTTTCTTCGATAGGCAACCGATTCAAGGTAAGGAGTCAATCGGAATTACGATATTCTAACTGAGGACATGAAAATCGTAAATTTCTGCGATATGAATGGCAGCAACAACTACAATCTTTGATGGAAACCTTGAGCACAACAGAGCCACATTATATTCGATGTGTCAAGCCCAACACGGTCCTAAAGCCGGGGATCTTCGAGAATTTCAACGTCTTGAACCAGCTAAGATGCGGCGTAAGTCATTCATCCATTGCAAACAAGTGATCGAATCATTTGTTGCCTTTATTTACAAACCACGGCGCAAATCATTGCAGGGTGTGTTAGAGGCTATAAGAATAAGCTGTGCTGGATACCCGACGAAAAGAACATTTGACGAGTTCATAGACAGGTTTGGAATGCTGGCGCCGGATGTAGTCGAAGGGTATGTAACATCACATTCTTGTCTCATTTTCGCCTCATCGATCACTCCATTTAAGGCCTACTGCTTTCTTCATTACAGATCAGACGAGAGAGTGGCTTGCAGCGCCATCTGCGACAAAATGGGCTTAAAAGGCTATCAGGTAACACGTCGACTTCTTTACCACAGCTTACCGGCGCCTTTAACGATACATTTGAAGGTGCATTTAGCTGATTAAACTGTTGTAGATGGGGAAGAGCAAAGTGTTTCTCAGAGCAGGTCAAATGGCTGAATTAGATGCTCGAAGAGCAGAAGTTTTAGCTCGCGCCGCGAAATCTATTCAGAGGCAAATCAGGACATATCTTGCCCGAAAAGAGTTTATAATCCTAAGGAAGTCTTCGATAAACATCCAGAAGCTTTGGAGAGGTAAAATTTTTGTTACAAGGAAGCTAAAAACTTGCTTCGGTATTTTGAGAAACATTTTATTCTGCTCGTCAACAGCTCGACTTGCAAGAAATGTTTACGAACACATGAGAAGAGAAGATGCTTCTATCAAAATACAGAAACACGCGCGCAGTCGTGCAGCAAGAAAAACTTACAACAAGTTACAGGCAGCAGCAATTGTGATTCAAACAGGACTGAGAGCAATGGCAGCGCGGAATGAGTTCAGACAACGAAGACAAGACAAAGGCGCAACGATAATTCAGGTAGTGAACTAAAACTGATCAAATCCAGTTTCTGCTAAAAGCTTTCCTGCAGCTGAAGAAACTAAGAAGGCTTCAATGGAAAATGTTCATCGTTAAACTTTTATCTTTTCCAGACACGTTGGCGAAGTTTCCATGCTTTATCGACCTATAAACAGCTGAAGAAATGTAGCATTTCAGTTCAATGCCTGTGGCGAGCGAGGATCGCGAGGAAGGAGCTTCGAAAACTGAGGATGGTCAGCATTTCTTCTTACATGAACTTTGTATAGCATAACTACTAATAAGCGCAGAATACATCTGATGTTTGAGGTGTAATTTTCTTACACAGGCTGCAAGGGAGACAGGAGCGCTTAAGGAAGCAAAGGATAAGCTAGAAAAACGAGTCGAGGAGCTAACATGGAGACTAGACATTGAAAAGCACCTGCGGGTATGCCTTCAAAAATGTTGTGATGGATAGGCCAAAAATCGAGTATTTCCAATACCTGCAGTCGAAATTTTTGCCTTTCTTACATCAGATAAAACTTGCTGTCATCTTCTTACAGATGGATATCGAAGAAGCAAAGGGACAAGAAATAGCGAAACTGCAAAACTCCTTACAGGATATGCAAACACAGCTCCATGAAGCGCATGCCACCATCATTCATGAAAGAGAGGCTGCAAAGTTAGCAATCGAACAAGCCCCGCCAGTCATTAAAGAAGTACCAGTTTTTGACGACACAAAGGTCGCACAATTAACCAATCAAAACAATGAACTCGAGGTAAAAATCTGAGTGACTTAAAAGATGATTCTTTACTCAGAATGGTTGATTCGAAGCAAACATTTGCAGGAGGCGCTAGTTGAGCTAAAGAAGAAAGTGGAGGACTTTGAGCAGACACATTCGGAAGTAGAGAAGGAATGCCGCGCCAGAGTTAAAGAAGCCGAAGAGGCGCAGATGAGAGCTTTAAGGCTGCAAGAAACCATTGAAAGGTGTCTTATTTTCGAAGAAATGCTTGTCTAGCAATGCCGGGATTCATCTGCTCTGTTATGATTAAATCTTGTTAACATCTTTTCAGATTAGAAGTGAACTTATCGAACCTTGAATCCGAGAATCAGATTCTTCGCCAGCAGGCTTTGGCTGAGTCGTCGAAAGAGGACTTCACCGAAGAAATGGAACTGTAACATTTCTTAACTTAATCTCTGAAACTCAGTTCATACTTTAGTTTATATGTCACAGATACTTTCAAGTTTTAATATCAGGTTGAAGGAGAAGATCAGAGGTTTGGAGTCAGAGAATAAGCTTCTTCGAGCTCAAAAAGTAGTCGTAGAGCGAATCGTGAACTCTGATAAAATGCAGAAACTGGACAACGGATATCAGAGCCACGACGAAATCCAGCAGACAGAGCAACATTCACCGTCGAAAACACAGCAACAGATAACTGAAGTAAATCAAGAATCACTTTCATTTATGAAACTAGCTTTTCGACTACTGGCAAAAACATTGATATCGAAAATGGCGTCTGCAGGACTTGGAGGGCTCTCCTCCTCTCCTTTCTAAACAAAGATCGTTGACGGATAGGCAGCAGGAAAATCACGACGCTTTAATCAAATGCCTTCTCGAAGACAGTCGATTCGACGATAAGAACAGGCCTGTTGCAGCTTGTGTTGTTTTCAAAGCACTCATTCATTGGAGATCATTCGAAGCCGATAAAACGGCTATATTCGATAGGATTATTCACGCAATCCAATCATCGATAGAGGTACAGTTTTCCAAGCTTATATTCAACTTGCGAAAACATGATTCCTTACAAAAACTTTGCATACAGAATCAGGACAACATCAGATATCTCGCCTACTGGTTGTCGACAACTTCGACTCTTCTATTTCTTATGCAAAGGACTGTGAAGGCCATGAATACACCAGCAGTGTCTTCGAAGCGCAGCCGAAGTTCGCCGATCACATTGTTCGGTAGAATGGCACAGGTTCGATCGTCGTCTATACTCACCGGACTATCGAGCGGATACAGCGGAATGGAGGGAAGTCCAACAATTAAATCGCGGATCGAAGCTAAGTACCCTGCTCTGCTGTTTAAGCAACATCTAACTGCTTGTGTCGAGAAAATCTACGGCATGATTCGCGACAGTTTGAAGAAAGAGATCAGCCCCTTTCTCAGTTTATGCATTCAAGTAATTATTCAACAAAAGATTATCGTACCAACATTTACTTAAACTCGCGATTTATATGTTAAAATTTCGTAAACAGGCGCCACGAGCTGCGAGGATCAGACCGGTGAAAGGATCGTCAAAAAACATTCACTCGCACATCATTTCGAAACAGCAGAGCTCCAGCATACATTGGCAAAACATAGTTCATAGTTTGGATCATACGATGGCGATACTGTCTGAAAATTACGTAAGCCGAGTACTTTCGTAGGCCTATGTCTTGAAGCTTCGACCATTCTTAATCTTTCTGTTTTTTAGGTTCCTTCGATCATCACACGGAAAATTTTCGGCCAAGTCTTCTCATTCATAAATGTGCAGCTCTTCAATAGGTAAGAGTTAACTTGTACGTGCAACTTTCGCGACATAATTCAGAAAAAAGCGTGACATAATTCACTCTGTTTCGATTTTCTCAGCTTACTTCTTCGCCGTGAATGCTGCTCGTTTAGCAATGGCGAATATGTGAAAGCTGGATTACAAGAACTTGAAAATTGGTGTATGAAAGCAAGAGATGAGGTAAAAATGGCTCTGTCGAAAATACTAGCATTCGACTATCGACAAGTTCATCTAAGCATGTTTGTTTTCTTTTTTACAATCGTATAATGCAGCGCGCCGGATCGTCATGGGATGAACTCCAACACATTCGACAAGCTGTGGCCTTTTTGGTATGCATTTTTCAGAATTAACTGGGCTTTGGATTTGCTCGAAAGTAAGTGTTCTTGATCAAAAAAATTGCAACTTTTCCAGGTCTTGCATCAGAAAACTCACAAATCGCTCGAAGAGATTTCGAATGAACTCTGCCCGGTAAAAGAAAGTTGATAAATAAATCTTTTCTCGAAACAATGAGATCATTTACATTTCTTTTGTCGATAGGTGTTGGGCATTGCTCAAATATATCGAATCGGGACCATGTTTTGGGACGACAAGTATGGAACACAAGGATTATCAACGGAGGTAACGACTAACAAACTTTTCATTCTTATGTATCATCGAAGTTATTACATTCTTAATTCGTATTGTGACCAGATCATTGCAAAAATGAAAGTGCTGACAGTAGAGGATTCGATTAGCTCACCGAACAACACGTTCTTGCTCGATGTCGATTCGAGGTAATCAACTCATAGCTCGATCAAGGCTTTCGAACATGGACAAAAATTCAAAAAAAATGATGCATGATGTCTGATTTGCAGCATACCTTTTTCGATGGATGAGATATCGAAATCTTTCCAAGATATCAATATATCCGACGTTGATCCGCCGCAGCTTCTTCGTCAGCGATCGGATTTCCATTTTTTGTTGCAGACAACCACAGAATGAGTACTTCTGCCGGCCTCCAGTTTTGATTCTTTTTCTTCTTTTTTTTTTTTGGTGGTGGTTCTCTTTGTTCGTTGCCATTTTTTTTGGTTATGATGTGAGAATCCATGATGATTTATTGTCAGTTTTACGATTGTTTGTAGACATAAAAATTTGATTGATACTCGTTCGATTGACTTACTTACATAAAGGTTATGCAACGCACAGTTTTTTCAAACATTATTGTTATTTGTTTCGATGCTTAATCAATTGCATAGGTTTAGTTGTTATTTATATAAATAATCATATTATAATTTTAAGAAGGAGAAGGCAATATTTAATGTAATATTTTATAAAAAAAATATATTTTATATACTAGTTAAAAAGTAAATATTAATATGTTTTGATATATATTTGATCGTATATTTGTGTATGTAATGAAATATATAATTTTCTTCCATCTAAATTATTATATAAAAATTTATCGAGTAAACAAAATCCTATCCGGTTATGGTTTTTCACGTCAATTAAAAAAAATAAAAAATAAAAATAATAAAAAATTATATTTTAGGGGAAGTATAAATTTATAGTATACTTAAATTGTACCATAGGCTGCAGATGTTGTACCCTCTGCATCGGCCCCAAATCCATCGTGTTCGTCGTCGTCTCGCCGATGCTTAAACCCTACGATCTACAAACCCCTAATCAACTCCTTTTCCCTCTGCACCACAGTGGATTCAAGAAAATTGGTGCGCTGATAGCAGGAATCAAAGATTGAATTTTTTCGTTTCAATCCGCCTCCAGTTTTTCCTGAAAATGTCATTCCATTCGGTTTTAATCCAGAAACTCCTCAGCACAAACGCTCACATCGGCCGCCGCGTGACGGGTCACCACTTCAAGATTTTCTCCGAGGGCACCCGCAACTCTGTTAGCGTCATTGATTCAGACAAGACCTTAATTTGCCTGCGGAGCGCTTGCAATTTCATCGGGAATCTCGCCCGCAGCAATGCCCGCTTCCTCTTCGTCAACACCAACTCTCTATTCGACGAGATAGTATCACAAATGACGCGAACGACTGGGATCAAGAACGACAACACGTGGCGCCTTGGAGGCTTCTTGACGAATAGTTCGAGTCCAAAGAAGTTCCGCGGGAGGAACAAGAAGTTGAATCTCAGCGCTGTTCAGCCTCCGGATTGCATAGTGATTCTCGACGCAGAGAGGACGACTTCAGTGATCCAGGAGGCATACAAATTGCAGATTCCCGTTGTTGGATTGGTAGATTCGAGCATGTCCTGGGACACTTACAAGAAGATAACCTATCCAGTACCGGCCAATGATTCAGTGGAGTTTGTGTATTTGTTTTGCAATTTGATCACCAAAACTATCTTGAAAGAGCGGAAGGAGGCTGAGATCGACATGGATGAGACAATGACTGCTCGGTATACATGTCAATTCTGCACTTTCTGTTCTATTGCAAAGCTAATCATTTCGATATCTTTGGCTCTTGAAGATTCTAGAAAGAATTTCTCCTTTCGTGCTTTATTACCACATTAATTGTTTTTGTGGTTCCTCAGTGGTGTTCTACCGGAAGACCAGACTGATGCGGCAGGAAAAAAAATTGTCTTCTCATATGAAAACATAGAAGCCATTCCTGAGGGTAAAATTGACATATTACATTAATTTTCGTTCTTGGCTGTTGGTGCTATAGGCTATGGACGTGTTGTAGCTACGAGGGACTTAACCAGTTTATGATTTTAGTTTTTGTACCTTTTGATTCTTTTGATGGATACATTCTAAATAGCTTTCACTAACTAAAAAAAAATGAAAACATTATGCACTTTCTGATCGAGTATTTATCATGACAAATCGAGGTGCTTGGTTTTTCTTGACCTTGTGTGATGCTTTTTGATTAGGAAGTATTTACTTATGTAAATTGCATTTGATCAACTCGGATGGTTGATAATACCTAAAGACAATTACTTGATGCACTTGCAAACTCTATGTTGCGGTCAAGCATTTTCTTACAAGTTTATTTGTTGGAATACTGGGAGAAAGATACTTTCATTTCTTTATAAGGTAGTTTATGTTGCATGACTTGGCTCACCATTTTTGTGAGTAGATGTATGGTAAGTGAAGATACTTTATTCAATCATTTATTGAATTATCTACTCTGAATCGTATTTTAGTCTTCGATGTCTTGACCTATTGAATAGTTTGATAGCTTGGTTTCATTGTTTTACATTTCCATTTGTTTTGTATAGCATAGTTTATTTTATTGCACAATTGAAGCAAAATGTTTCATTTTATACAGATGTCTCGCATACTAAGCAACTTTTGGACAAGCTTGTTGTGTTGAAGTTTAACAATGTCCTTGGGACTCAGGTTGGGTTTAATGGCCCGAAGTAAGTGTCTCTATTGTTCTCTCTCTCTCTCTCTCTCTCTCTCTCTCTCTCCCTCCCCCCCCCCCCCCCTCTCTATATTTGATTATGAAGTGTCATGGGGTGTTTTGTACCCATCGAATAACAGCATCATGTGGCAATTAGCACTCACCTACGCAGCTAGTTTTGTCTAATGCTCACACCCATGCTTTTTCATAGGCCTCATATTAATGTTCTGTCTCCTTGAGTTCTCATTTTTCATAACCGATGGGTCAACTGTCTTGCAAGAGTACACTGATGGCAAGATCTGATAAATCAATTTCTGTTTCAAATTGTTATTCTGGAAATATGTAAATATCACTGTATTCATCATATACATTATCTAAGGGTTGGTTTGTGACTTGTTGCTTCATATCTGTATGAGGAGTCATCAGGTTCATCATATGCAAATTGTTTTTATGATTTCTCTCTTCTCCCCAAATATTTCCGTTTATTACATTGTACATCTGTATGATGCAGGTGTGCTGTGGAAATTAGTGATGGCTTGACTTGCCTTGATTCAATAATCAATCAAATTGAGGTTATAATATATACTTGAATTATTTATACTGCGACATTGATTTTCATTAATTTAGTTGATTACTTTTTTGCATTTCTCCATGTAATCACCTTCTGTATATAGGTTCTCAATGCTAAATATGGATGCAATATTCCTCTAGTTTTAGTGAATGCAGTCAATACACATGAAGGTATACTGAAGGTAAGTTGTCCTTGCATATGAAGCTGGAAATGTGGTGAGATTTTGTTGTAAACTTAAAATTGGCTATTTGTTCGATGATAGGTCTTGGAGAAACACTCGGATAAGAATGTTCATTCAGTTATACAGGTATTATTGCTTGTTTCTTTGTGGATGTTCCTATTGGATTTATCCCAACATCTGTTTTTCTCACTTATTTTCCAGTTAAGACTATGTTTGTTGGGGTAATTACTTATCTCTCTCTCTCTCTCTGATACATACATATATATATATATATAAATTTGGACAGAGCCAACCTGACCCAGAAACTGCTGGCAATTTTGAGCTTCCCTCAGCTAAAGAGCAAGATAACCGAGATGAAATGTATGTTATTTCCTTCATCTTTCGAAAATAGAAAACAGAAAAAAAATGCTCTGTTTCTTGTTTGCGTTTGGTATCTCCTTTAGGTGCTGTATCCTGTTGGGAAAATAATTATACAGTGAATATAATTTATTCAATTAGTTATGCTTACTTTCAACCACACCCCACCATTTCGCATTTGGGTTGCCTATATTGACTCCCCTTGAGCTCACAACAGAAATCCACATTATAAGACAAGAAGTTATTAATACATACTGTTGTTGTGTGAAGGGATTCTTTCAATCTTGCTGAGGCCATCCTTCCGCTGGTGGATAGCGGAAAATTTGATATATTATTATCTCAGGTTAGAAATTCTCACCAACTCATCCCATGTGCCATATTTTATTTTGGCAAAATTTTAAGCAACTATTTATACTTGTATTTACTCTAAAATTTTCCATTTTCAACAGGGCAAAGAGTACATTCTAATGTTGAGTTCAGACAATGTTGCCCATGTAGTCGATCCGAGTATCCTTATTAAGTGTCACAATTTCCACATGACATGGATATCTTGCTTCCTATGTACATTAATTAAATCTTTTCTTAACTGCCATTCCAGAAATTTTAAATCATTTGATTCAGCACAATATTGAGTGTTGCTTGGAGGTAAACTTGACAAATCTTTTCATTTGCTTTGAGCTTTTGTTAGTAGCTGATTCTTGTCCATTCACCATGAGTGTGCAGGTGATGCCTAAACCCTCAGAAGTAGAAGAGAGTGAATCTTCTCAAAATCAAGAGGATACTCCGGTCAGTTATACTATACGTATTCGATGCATTTCATTAATCATCGGATTTGTTGAAAGGATTGATATTCTTGTATTGTAAAGGTGCTAGTTTTAGTTTCTCTTACAATATTGTGTGAACTTGGAAAGTTGAGGTATTTTGATAGGCTATGGTTCTGCTGTTTATTTATTGTAGTACTTGTACTTTGAGGGAAGCACTTCTCTTAAAATCTTCGGGATGAACTAGGTTTAATGCCAGGCAATGCTATGAAATATAAGGAATAGGAATTAAGATGATCTCTGGAACTTACAGACACAATTCCCTTATGATTCTTGTTTCTTTGACGTGTTTCTTCCCCAATTATCATGTAGCTTTTACTATCAGCATTTTGATGGTTGTCTGATTTGACTTTTTTCCTTGCTGAAATCTTGAAGATGCTGACCCCGAAGAAAAATTGGAGATTCATTGACACGATGTAAGTTATATATCATTGCATTAGGAAAGTCTTTTTATTCCTTTGAAAAAAGGAATCGCTTTTTCTCCCATTTTCATGACTCCAATCTTTGGCAGGTGGATGGACATGAATCTCATAGCAAAACTTTTGGTTAGACATACTGCCAAAGAACAATTGACTGCTTCAAAGGTACCAACTGTACTTATTATAAAATACTCATGTAACGAACATGAAACCAAGTGTTTCATATATCCTTAGGATTTGTTGCTTCTACATTTTTCTAGCAACGTCATTGTAGATTTAGAAAGTTACTTTTTATTATATATTCCTTTCTGCTGTATGCGCTTGCTACTGAGGAGGTTGTGTTCCTTTTGCTATATCTGGCAGCTGTTTGATCAGTATTTTGCTCTAAATGTTCCCAAGTCAAGATATCTTCCAGTTGCAAAAATATCAGACCTATTCTTGCTGAAGGTTAGTATTTGCTTGTATTTTGAGCATTCTTTTATATCCTTAAACGTGTTAATTTTGGCACCTGCCTGTAACTCGCAAATCTTGTGCTTATGCAGTCAGATATTTACACTTCGGCTGAGGGAACCCTTATCCGAAATCCAGCAAGAGAAAAACCAACTGACCCATCCATTGAATTAGGACCAGAATTTGTAAATTTTCCTTTTTAACTTGGTCATTTTGGTTAATTTTTTCCACCTTCCTTTTACATTTAAGAGTGTCATTTCTTCACCTCTTTTCTCAGGTCAACGACTTTCACAAGCGTTTCAAATCCATCCCCAATGTTCTTGCCCTTGACAGCTTGAAGGTCACTGGTGATGTCTGGTTTGGAGATGGTATTACTCTTAAGGTAACAAGGTTTCGCATCATTGGAGTTTCATGTTTTATTGAAATATTAAATTATATGTAGAATTAGAACTTACAACTCCCGGGATCTTGGCCATTCTTCTATAATGATCAAAAGACTGCTGCAACACTGATTCATTGTGGTTTTGCACGCTAATGGAGATCATTTAAGCTGCTTTGGTGATGTCTCTGTGCATTAATTTAATCCTTAACGGTGCATTATTTCTTGCTTGTTTTATAAAGGGAAAAGTCAGCATCCACGCTCAACCAGGGATGAGATTAACAGTTCCCGACGGCGCAGTGCTGGAAAACCGGGTAAGACCACCGACATAAAAGCAAGTTACACTTTCACGTTTCTGATTGATGCTCGTTGATCAAACATAACTTCCCCTAAACAGATTATCACTAGCCAATGGGAACTTGAAGCATGATCCTTCTAAGCTTCATCAACCGAAGATTTTGTGCAGTCGCAGAAGTTACTTATTCCAAATTTTGTTATTCAAGCATCATTCCCTTACCATATGTCCCGAAAGGAAAACAACCATATACAATCAATAAGCTAAGTCCTTTAAACATATATTCAGTCGACATTAACGTATTCTTTTCTCTCCCAATAGATTTACTGAATGTGCATCCACACGGAATTTCATATGTGAATGCATATTATCAATTTATTCTTCGCCAATGTACTGTTCTTTACTCTTCACTTATCAGTATTTTCTTGTTGACAAGTTGTTTGTGTGTTTGGGTTTAAATGGCAGCCATGAATGACTTAACTCATTAATTTCTAAGCATTATGTGCTGTCTGTCTAAATTTGTACATTAGTCATGTCTTTAAGCACCTGAATTCGAATCTCAGCCCCAACCAGGCCCTGGTACATCCCCAACCGGACTTCATTGCCAAGGTGATCTCTAACTCTTACAATACATACAAAACTGCTTTTAACTATTCGGTTGAGAAGTCCGGTTCAGGTGGCTTTGGCAACTTCCTTATTTTTCCGGAGCTTAATTCGCTCCGGAACCTGTGAACTCTCCGCATGGCATTGGCTGCAAATCTCGAGGCTAACATGGCTGAACCGAGCCTGGTCTTGGTCCCGGAAATTAGCCCGGTATGTTCATCATCATTGTTGTCGCTTCCATCTTCTCCGTCTGAACTGGACTCTTCTGTGCTCCCTTTATCCGACTCATTATGCTCTAACTCTGCAACTTTCCTCCTGTATCGTCGCCATGTAGCTTGGATGAATGTGGCAGCCCATGTCCGCCATTGCTGCGAGTAAAACCGGAAGGTCTGCTGCACTTGTCGGCTGTGGATACGCCTGAACTGACTGGTGATGAACTTCAGCTCATCGGCGCTGAGGGCGAATGCCTCGACTTCTGTCAGGGCTTTCACCGTGCGCGTAGAAGGCGGCAAGTTGGACGCGGATTTCGGATCCAGAGCCCAAGTCAGGAGCTCCTCCCCGCAGAAATCGGCTTCTTTCAAAATCCCGCGGTTGTAGAAGCCTGATCTTCCGCCGTCTGTCGTCACGCTCTCCAGTCGACCGCGGATGATGAAGAGCATCTCGTCCACTGGATCTCCCTCACGAAGAACGTACGTCTTCTCTGTGAGTAAACTCGGCTTGAGCCTTTCGCATATCGCGTCGAGCAGCCTATCGTCCATGTTCGCGAAGAGAGGTACCTGAAAGAATTGCATCATGTTAAGACAAGATATTGCGTCGCCTCGACTGTTTTTGTTTGAACTGTACTTACCCTTCTGACCAAATTTAAGCAGAGATGGCGCTTAATATCTCGTCGAAGATCTTTCGGCAAGCTTTGGACCAAGCTCTCCTCGTCGACACCTCTTGTTTCCAACCATTTGTACTGATCGTAGCGCCGGACTCTTTCCCTCAGCTCTGGCGGCAGCACCCTGTGATGCATCCATTGCTCCGAGTCGCGCCGTTTCACCCTCATCTCCTCCAGTCGAACCGAGAGTGATTGAAGGTACGTCTGTAGCAATACAATAAAAATGTTACTTCTGATGTCACCAGTTACTTAGGCATCGACATTTTTAGGCGAACATACGAACCTGCATATTACCAATGAGGAGCGCGAAGAGTAGCAGCCCGGAAATGCACACCGTAATCGAAAATAGAACTTCTCCCGGATATGTACTTGAAGAAAGCCCCTGACCAAGTGTGCTGTTGTGAATGAAAAAAAGATTAAAATCGCCATTTCTGTTGGCCTCTTTAACAGTTGCGTGTTCTTTCGATGACAGGGATGGAAGAATACCTCAAATTCTGGAGCCCCCACCACAGGCAATAGAAGTATTTTGAGAAGAAAGCCTCAGATTCAAGAACACCAGATGATAAAGCTTGTAAGTATATTCCATACTTGAACTTTGATTGTTCATCCTTCACTGCACATTTCGGTTCTAACACGATCTTGCCGATGTCTCTCCATTGCTCCAAGTTTGACACCCCGTTAGCGCAGTACAGGTTGTTGACGTCGCAGTCTGCGCTCTCCGAGCAGGCCATGTTCCAGCACGTGTCCTTGCGCTCGATCGCCAAGAGGTACCATAACGCCCCGAAAACCTACAACACCGGCAATCACACATACATATATATACATACATAGTTTGATAGACCGGTGATGGATTGCTTACATGGCTAGCCAGGAGGAACCACAGCAAGTAGTAAGCTGCACCGGCCCAAGCCGTCTCGGCAAAGACACCGGCAGTCTTTTTCAGCTCTGAAGTCAGCGGGACGAAGCGCAGAAACCTCGGGATGTATTGAAGAAACACGATCAACACCAGCGCTTGTTTCGTGCCCAACACGTCCGAGCCTTTTGCTTTGTGGAGGAACCTCAAGGTCACGATCTGCACACGGCAAGAAGAAGACATTACAGAGGTCGCTAACCAACTGGACCGAAGAAGCGAATATGAATTGGTGTGATATATATATACATATATATATACACACAGACCTGGGGGATAGGCAACACCGAGGCGAGATCCACGAAGAAATAACGGTGAATGTACCGCGTCGCTATTTCTGTGGGATCAATCACGAGCTCTCCTCTCCCGAATACACGAGACGAAGGCGCGATGAAGGCTGTCCTGAACTGGAGACATATCCGGAGGATGTAAAATAAGTCGACTGCGGTGCGGAGACTGGTGGTTGTGTAGGCCAAGCTGTTGTCCATGTGAAGGCACATGTTTTCTTCTTGGAAGACAGGGAGATACAGAAACAGGGGATCTATCGACACGGAGAGAATGCAGGACACCAGGAAGAGTTTGTTCCAGAGCAGGAGGCTCTTGTCCTGAGGATCGAAGATTCTTTTGTCGGAAACTTTGAGATCCTCCGGGAACACTGCCCGCGTCACTCCAGATGTCAGCGATCGCCCGAAAGTTAGAAGCCCTTCGGATCCTCTCTGGAACCCGACTCGGAAAGATATCGATTGGGACTTGGTTGTGGAAGCTCCTTGAGTACCTAACCCCTCTATGCTGAATCCGGGTATGTTCTTTCCAGCCATGTCCGATCGAAAGGCGACAGTCCTCCAACCTACGACCAGAAAACGGAGGTTGTGGTTTAAGATGAGAAAGATGTATAAGGTTTCTGTGTATTGAATTGTGTGTGTACCTTACAATGTAGCCGGAGAAAATATACGTCCTAGAAACTCTTTCTATTGTCGGAATCATACATTTAGAAATTCAGACTCATTGGCGGATAAAGAACAATGATTTCTTCGATTTATTGCTTCTGGAATCATGAAATTTATCATGTCCAGGAAACCCCTGAGAATGAATATGCATAGAGTGAAACTCACGGCAAAAATTAATTAATCCATGTTTGTTTCTTTTTAGAAAAAAAAAAAACGACACAGGAGAAAGAAAATACGTAAGAACCTGAAAAAACCCAGAATTTTCACCATGCGATGATGCGAGGCGTGAAAACCGGCAATTGGGAAAAGATAATGAGAATTTCCGGCGGGGAGAGAGAGAAGGATGGTGGAATATGGTTTGATCATCATCGTCATCGCCATCTTCATCTTCTTCTTTTCCTTGCCCCATTTTGTGGGTGAGCGGCCGCTTCTCGCGCCTCCAGGAACAAAATCTAACGCCCACTTATAACGGCTATTCCCCAATCCCTAATATTCACACTAAAGCCCTTATTAAATACCCTCTTATTATTATTAGAAATTATATATTTCCTATTTCATTTCATTTTTAAAGATTAATATATATATATATATGTCTATAAATTCTTAAGTACTCATTATCCAAATCATCACATTAAAAAATACAAATAAAAATTAAAACCCAATTGTTCATACTTTCGTTGTAGGAACATATCATCGGATATTTGAGGTGTTTAATGCATGGAAACAGTGAACAACATTTTCTATAACAACATTGAACAAACGTTTGAACATCTGTACTGTAGTAATGTGTGTAAATACAATACACGAATGAGCTCTTAGTATTCACACAAAATCTCACCTTTTAACTTCACACGAGAGATAGTCTCCAGGGAAAAAGAGGGGTCGAAAAATCGCGACGTTTCTACCATTAGAAGCCGGGCAGCAATCAAGGCCCGACTATTCCACAGGGATGAGCTGAAAGAAAGAAACTTGAAAGGTTTATGGTAGTATGTACTGTTGCAGGACTCTTGTTCGCTTCTTGTTCTTGAGCTTCCGCATCGCTGATGTTTCGATCTGCCTGACTCTTTCCCGGCTCACGCCCATTAGCTCCCCGATTTCTTGCAGCGTCATCATTCTCCCGTCTTTTAACCCGAACCTGTATTTCATTACCTGCTTTTCTCTTGGAGTCAAAGTGTCGAGGACCTTAGCCAAGTCCTGCTTCATGAATTGCTTCATGAGTGTTTCCTCCGATGTTTCTGCTTCAGGGTCGGCGATCACTTCCTGCAGAGCGAAAAAAATGAGAAACGAACAAGAAAAAGGTAACAGAAGAATGATTGAGTATGTGTGTGCATGTTTGTTGAGGGTGGTACCGATGGTTTGAGGTCTAGATTAATCCCGACTTTCTGGTCGAGAGATCTTGGAGGTTTTGGGGTCAGCAAGACTGCAGAAATCCGTTTCATCGACAGACCTGTTGCCTCGGCTATTTCTGTATCATCAGGATGTCTACCATTTTGAGTCAGCAGCTGCTTTCTGGCTTCTTTCACTCGATACGTTGCATCCACCATGTGAAACTGTAACGCCAGGCGAAGCACGAAAGTAAGTTCTTGCGCCAGGTTTCAAGACAACATAGACAGAATAATTTGTGCAGTGAAAATTTCTCACAGGTAATCTGATTGTCCGGGAGTGGTCTGAAAGGGATCTCCGGACTGCTTGCTTTATCCACCAGTGGGCGTAGGTGGAGAATTTGAAACCTTTCGATGCATCAAATTTCTCTGCACCTCTAACAAGGCCGCGACATCCTTCCTGACAAAAAGGAGACATAGTAAGGCGGGGCAAGTGAGCAACAGGCCGTCAGTTCTGTTGCGGATTCTATTGTGTAGAAGTACTTTTACGTCTGATGATCAGATTTGTTAAAACAAGTACCTGAACCAAATCTTGAAGATTCATCCCCACGCTCTGGTAATTTTTTGCAATCGAAACAACTAGCCTAATGTTGCTCAAAATCATCTTATCTTTGCACATGATCCCATGGTTTATTTGCTTTCTCAAGGTTTTCTGATCCATACCTGCAGCTTCAGCCCACTGTGCAATGGTAGGCTGGCAGCCACAACGATGCTTAAGCTCCTCGTAAAGTCTCTCCAGCTTCAATAGATTCTGTGCACACAATAGATAGGTATTAAAGATGAAGAAATGAGAAAAGATATCCCCAAGCAAGACGAAAGGGCTTAAGAACTCAAATCAGTAGTAAGGAAAGAATGACAACTTGAACAGAAAGGTTTGGAATAATGAAATTTCATAATATCTATGGAGCAAGGAATCAAATTGGTATAGGAATGTCTTAAATACTTGATTACAACTAGGAAACACATTTTTCTGAAAAGTTACCTGAATCCCTTGTGAAAACGCCCGTTCTTCGGATGCAGTGAGCAACCTGGAACTAAATGTAGTCCCTCTTAAGTAATACAGTGGGTCAGAATAATCTACATTCTTTAGACTGAAGTTTTTCTTTCGACTTGATTTTACATAAATGGTGTTAGCTGCTTCCTTTTCCACAGTTCTTGTTCTTCTAGCTTTTCTCTCCGTTTGGCGTGTTGATCTAACAGCTATTTTTGCCTCAAGAAATTCAAGTCCCTCAACACTAGGCTCCACATCATTAGATTCTGCTAACGGATGAGAGTTTTCGCCCAAACCAATTTCAGAAATTCTTGAACCTCTAACTTTGCTGGTAAGATCAGCAAGCTCATCTTTCAGAAATTTTGAATCATCCGTTTCAGGAATGCTTCCAATAGTAGTGGCGTCCGACTTAGGGGATTTACGAGGACTGATAATCACAGATGCATCTTTTGCAGCCTTAACCGCTGCCTTGGCCAGAGCCAGCGCTTCAGATGCAGCAGCAGTGATAACAGCTTCTTCACTTACAAGAAGTGTTTCTCTATCTAAATTTGCTCCAACATTTCTCTGCAGGCATGTTAATTATCATCAGCTTACTTGAGCTTTCCAGATTTGATTTTTCTTTTTTTTCCTGAAGTCCTAAAAATGCAATGCAAGATCTCTTTTTTCTTGAGCTCGTGTCCAAGGAACGGAAAATGGCAGTTAACAGAAATTCAATGCCAGATGAACAGAACAAACTACACTATCAGATGCTACAAAATAAACGATCTACTGTTAAGTGATAAACAACAAGCACAAATTTCTAGCAAGTTATCTTGAGCTGGAGATTTAGATAATTCCCTAAGAGTGAGAAAACATTCCGGTAATATATCTTGCTAATTGTTATTTTAACAAATCTACTAAACATAAGCATTTGACACTTACCTCAGGATGGCGGCCGACTGCTCCAACATATGACCACGGTTCGTTTGTGGCAGAAGGAATTGGATGAGTATCTAAAGAAGACAACTTCTCCAGATCAAGTAGTGCAGTTTTAGCTGTCGACGTTATCCATGATCTATCATCAGGAACTGAATTAGGAATTGATTCCAATGACGATAAATGTAGCTTCTCAAACTCGAGTACTTTAGTCGACGTCAATGTTGACGGGGATGTTGACAAAATACACTGCGTCTGAAAATCAGTAGTTTCTCTACATTTTGCTGCATTTTAAGCACACTATCAATATAAAATTCATCCAAAGTTCTTGCTTGAATATATGCAGATTGAATAAAATGATACAACAGATCCATGTCCCTATGAGAAATCGACAAGCATGAGCATATGAAGATACACTAGAATAAAAAAGATAAACAACGATCCATGCTCAAGAGACCAAGTGATATCAACAATCAATCAAATAAAATTTAACACATCCATTCTATCTACATTCTACACACAAACAACAATTGCAACCGAAACTTCAAAAACTCAAAATTTCAAATCCTACAGCCCTTTTTACATCTCCAAGCTCAACCTCACCCAAAAATCAGGATATAATCTGCATACGCATCATTTAGTACCCCCGCAAACAAATGCATCATAAAAACGACACTTACAATAATGGCTCGGCGACTTGAGCTTAACTGCAAAAGCGTCGGGAGAGCACCTGAACTGCGGCAACAAACACGACATCCTTCTCCTATACACTCAATCACACAGTTATCCTTACTCTTCCAAACTTCCCACGCATTTTACCAGCACAAACATTTCTCCCCTCCTACAGAATTCTCTCCTCCATTCCACAACAACAAAAACAACGATAGTGATAAACCCAATAATCTGCAGAACTTCCCGCAATCAGTAACGTGGGCTTACAACGGTCGACGATGAAATGGCAGAATGGATAATTGTATGGATAAGCTCGGCGCCATTCCCACGAAGACATGAGGACGAGAGAGATACACCAAGCACTGCTCCCAACCACTATGGGCTTTTAATGGGCCTAAATATTGCCTTTTGTCATCCCATTATTTAATTAGGGCTTAAAAGCCCAACATGTTTGGCCCAGCGAATCACTTTTTTTTTTTTTTTTTTTCAATTTAAAAATAAATAAAAATGCAAAATCGAATAGGGGTTTCGTCTTCTTCGCTGGGTTTCCGCAGTCACAGCGTTGTCCTCTGTTTCGATTACTTCACTCACTGCTGCCTCTCAGCAATGTCTGTAGCGTCTAGGTTGCTCCGGGGTTCCAGGGCTCTCTTTGCTGGGGCTAAGTCAGGTACGTCACTTGAAAAGCCCGTAGCTTCTGCCTCTGCCTCCAAGAAATTAGCGGCCGCTGCCGCCGGCGGTGGTTCGAAAGCGACAAGTGCCACGAAGAAGAGGAAGGTGACAAACTCAGGGATAACGAAAGAGATGCCGATTTCGCCGGTACTACAGGGTATAGTGGGTGCGGAACAAATATCTCGTGCGCAGGCTTCGAAGAAAATTTGGGAATATATCAAGATTAATAATCTGCAGGTAGTGTTGAAACTTGGAAGGAATTTTTTTGCTTTGGATTATAATTTGACCTCATTTTTTAGGTATTTTTCGTTTTTTACTAGTGATGATTGGTTGCTAATGGAAACGAAATAATGTGCATGTGAAGGTGTGATTAGGTTTCCTTTTGTGGACCCAAACTTTTCGTCACTCCTTTTGAGTAATATGCGATTGGTGTAATGGAAGATGAATAAAACCAGAGGTCATAGAAGAAAATCTAGGTTTATATAGCTCATTTGCTTGTAATATCATGTAAGTTGTGTGTGTGTGTTTTAGTTAGTTATTTGTTTGTAGTACCACCGAAGTTGCATGTGATTCTGCCTACTTATTCCTGTCAATGTATTTGGAATCAAGAAGTGTTCGATTCCATAGGTGAGCGTGACTGTCAAAAATGACTTGTGGGTGGGAAATTGTCATCCAACTTTAATGTTGAGGTTGCTTTCCTTTGATTTTGTGGCAATGCATAGAACTTTTTTTTACCTATGGCTCAAAACACTGTGAACTATGCAAAGCCAACTTCGAGTGGATTTTTAGTTTCAGTTTGTGTGTTGCTGCTTTACATTTTGCATCAGGGGGATCTTTTGTAGAGGCAGGTTATGGTTTTATAGATGATGGATCTGTGTTTCTGTTGTGAAGAACATCCTTCTTGTGGAACTTCATAAATGGACTAAATGTATTCTACTGAGTGTCCACGTCCCCTTAACCTTTATGTTTATGGTAACTTGGTTATTTGTGGTGAGTTATGGGCTTGTTCCATCGATTTGATCACATGAGCATGCATGATTCGAACTTAGTTTTTATCTTTTGTTTAGTGTGATCATACAAGTGTTTGTATGTCTTTTTTCAGAACCCATCTGATAAACGGGTGATCATGTGTGATGCCAAGCTGAAGCAGCTGTTTGATGGGAAGGATAAGGTGGGGTTTCTTGAGGTTGCAAAGCTGCTTTCTCCGCATTTTCTGAAGACAAAATAGCTGCTGATTGAGCAGCCATATTATGGTAATTTCATCCACAATCCTGTCAAGAAGAAGCCACTTAACTCTCTCTGTAACCTGATTGATCCCAAGTGTGTTCAAACTCTTTGCTTTAGGTATTCTGGAAATTGTTGTTTGATGGTCAGTACAGAGACTATGTAGGAGGATGATTTGATCTATTGACAAGACTTGATGCTTGTTTTGTTCCCTCTTTCTGTTAATTTGAAAATGGATGCATTTACATGGCTTTTTGCCTCTCTGCAAATTTGTGTCTTGTGGTCCTTTTCTCTATTTGGATAGAATACAACATATATAGTCTACTTCCTGGTTGTCCTTTCCTTTCCCCACTCTGGCTTCATCTGTAATTAAATCAGACAGGAGAGGACAAACATAATCTCACCCAACCTGACAATGTTTGTTGTCCTTGATACCATCGAAGAGTTGGTGCATCCATTGTTCACCAGACAAGATTATGTTTCTTGACAAAGAATCCAATTATGTTAAGAAATCTGCTAATATTTCATTGTTATAAAGGGAGGATTTTTTGTAGTGTAAGTAAATGCAAATGGTGGTGAATTGGACAAAAATGTAGACAAATGATTATACACACTATTTGGATGATTTGTGGCTTTTCTTATAGCTATGCAATTGTCAAGTTATTATTGAACCTAAAAATATAGAAAAGGAATTCATGAGATGAATGAATGGAATGCCTAACAGTAATATTTTTCTTGAAGATTTGATTGCTCTCTAGTCACAATTATAATATGCAAAAACAAAAAAGCCACCAATCAGTAGAGGTCAACCTTTGTTTGACCAAAGAATCCCACCAGAAAAAAAGGGATGGAATAAAGAACAGGCGTAGAAGAAACGCGAAAGAAAAATGGTGAAGATAAGTGCAAAATGCATTGGAGCACTTCTGCTGTGACCCAATACGATTATTTTCAGCCATTCGTCTTCCAGAGAAGAAAGAAGTGGACTTTCCAGAGGTATGTATGCCTTACTTGAACTTGAATTCATGCTTGGATGATTTGTTTTTTAATTTTTAATTTAATTTCATTTATGAGTTCTTGAAATGCTCCCGATTCCTGCGTATTTGTTTGTTACTGGAACTTTGGCTGCTGTTGTTTACTGGGTTTGTACGATGTCGGTTTTCTTGTTTGCTGCAAGAGATTTTGCTTAGAGCAAACTATTTTATGATGACTACGTTCATGCATGTGAGTACGTGTTTTGGTGTCTTATTTGGTGGTGCTGATTTTTTTTTTCCAAGAATCTTGTCTTGACAATCATAGTTTCACGTTGTTGAGTGTTCTATTATTTGAAGATCAATAGGAGCAACGAGTTGCAGTTTCTTCGGTTTCGGTTTATCGTATGAATCTGTGTATTGGTGTATTAGATATCGATCACCAAATTAGAATCTTTTATCTGTTCTTAGTTGTGACTATTTGAAGGAGACTCTCCTATTGTAAGAGTAATCTACATGATGGTTAGGTTTGGACTTGGCATTGATCGATATTCCATGTCTGATCTGCTACCCTCTCTTGCCTGATTTCGAGCTTTATAGAAATCACAGAAGCTCCTAATACAAATCCCCTTTGCAAGTCTCATCTAGGAATTTCCCAACCTTTATGTCTTCTCTAGAAATGAGTTCTCAAAGTCACCGAGTGTGCGTAGAATTGGCTGGATTTAAATTTCTCACCGCTTAAAACTCTTGCCAAATTTGTCGATTCACTGTAGTTTGTGTTCGAGCTGAAGAAGGATGGGAGGTGGAAAGGACAAGCACCATAGTCAGGAAAAAGGATTCTACACTAATCTTGCATCCTATGGCGCCGGCCCTCATGGAGCATACCCTCCTCAGTACCCTCCACAAGGATACCCTCCACAGGGCTACCCGCACGCCTATCCACCAGCTGGATACCCTCCCCCAGCTGGCTACCCCGGGGCAGGCTACCCCCCGGCTGCATATCCTCACGGGCAGTACCCATCCGGCTATCCCGGTTCCCATTCAGGTAAATTAGACAATATACATTGTTTGAAAGTCAGATTCTTGTTTTGTTACATTTTTCTGGCATTGAATTCCTCGAATCTTGATTCGTTTTTTAAGCCAATCTTTGAGATTTTAGTTCAGCATGAACTTATATTCTCAGGGCCGGGATTTGGAGCAATCCTAGCGGGAGGTGCTGCGGCAGCAGCAGCTGCATACGGCGCCCACCACATGCCACACGGAGGATATGGTGGCTACCACCACGGGAAGTTCAAGCACGGCAAATTTGGCAAACACAGCAAGTTCGGGAATCACGGGATGTACGGGAAGCATAAGTTCAAGAAATGGAAGTGATAATCCCACCCCGGAAACATAATTCGCTCGCCCCGGCGCCAACTATCGCTCTTATTACAGTACCATTGTTCTTACATTAGCCTGTTTTTACAAGATTCTCGCTTTAATTTAAGACCGCATGGCATGGATACAATAGCCTTATGCAGCTTAATTCTGGGTAGAATTGCTGCTGTCTGAATGATCTATATATGAATAAAAGGCTTGGTTATGTTTCAAACTAGCTATAATAGAAAACATCGATGGATTCAGACAAGAATGGTTGTAAGGAGTCTTGTTGGTGCTGCCTCAACATCAGGGTGTCTTTGTTGATTTCATTTGTCAAGTTGCCCTTTTTTATCATTATTATTGTTGTTGTTATTATTCATATTATCCATCCATGGCGGCTCTGAAACCCCATTTCTTATCTTGTGACTTGCATGTGCTCCTGTCTTTTCTAAGAACAGTTGGTTCGACCATTCATAAATGCTTTCCTAATCTTTATTTTTATTTTATTTTTAAAAAAATCTATTTTTATTTTTGTCTAAATTTGTTTGGTTTGTGTTTTGATTTAGGTTAAAAAAATACAAATTAAGTATATAAATTGACAACAGTAATAAATCATAAATTATTAAACAACTTAAGCATAGTAACTTTTGAAGGTAGATACAATATAATACAATGCTTCTTGATTATATCATTCACAAAAGGAAATGGAAATAACTTTATTCTAGAACATTATTACATTCAAACTCTAATTTTTATTTAAATCATTATATCAACAGTTTGTTTTTTATTAAAAAAATTATATTTATAATATATTAATATCACATCAAATATTTATTTTTAGTTAACCTTACCTAATTAATTAAAAACACCCTGAAAGAAAACATATCTAACTTCAACCTTATTTATTAGGTTATAAATTACAAAGGGAAGGGGGGAAAGCCATTGAGGCGGCGTCCCTGTCCACAGACCACATCCAAAAAGGAGACAGTAGCTGGGATTTCTTATAGCATTAAATTAAAAGCTCTCTTTACATATATTCAAATTTTATTTTTTATATATTGTTTATTTATAATAGTAATGTTTCCAGAAGATAGCAAGTTAGTTTTTCATTAAAATTTTAAACTTTTCAAATAAAAAAAATCATGTAAAATATTTATTTTATTATAAAATATCACATTAAATACTACTCCCTCTGTCCAAAAAATATAGTCTTATTGCGTTGAACACAAGATTTAAAAAATATTGATATTATATTGATAGTTGGTAAAAAGTAAGAATAAATAACTTTTTTGCCCCTTTGAGTATATTAGTGTAAAAAATAGCGACGATTGTGTAATAATAATGAAAAAAAATATGGATAGTTTTACTGTGATATGTTTATTTATGGAAATGAGACTATTGTTTTGAGACAAGAAAAAAATAGTAAACAAGACTATTTAATTGGGACGGACGGAGTAGTAAATTTTAATTATTTTTGGGAATTTTCATAACCCCTTAAGTTATGTTATTTAGAATTTGATTTTTATTTTTTACTTTGTAAATTGTGATTCTTATAAAAATCAAATATGTATATATTTTTTGTCTACTAAAAAAAGATAAAAAAATGAATTAAGATTCTTTTTGTTTTTTTCTTCATCTTATTTATTATTCAATATTCATAATTTTTCTCATATAATATTAAATCAAAATATTATTAAATAAAAATAAAAATAAAAATAAGCAACAGTCCCCACATAAGCATGAATGACTGTTGTGTCTCTACTTGCCTCCTCCTCATTCTTATTCCTTCTTTCTTTTGAGGACCACTGTAAAAACAAAAACCATTATTACATAAAACACCGTAAGGAAATAAAAAGAAGAACTATCCGGATTCCAAATTCATGCATATATATATATATATATACACATATTTATTTAATTTTAAAATTAAAGGATAATATTCCCCTCAGTCCCACATATCATGTTCACGTTGTCGTTTCTGTTCTTCCCATATTTTATGTCTTTTTTTTTTGAAAAAAAATGATTACACACTTTAATTTTATTTTAAATTTTTAAATTTATTTTTTTTAATTTTAACACTACTATATTTTTAATTATCTATTAATTACACAATTTTCTAAAATAGAAGGTATATGGGCGGAGGGAGTAGTATATAATATATAAAAAAAATTAAAAATTTGTGTCTTGTACGGAATTAATGGAAAGAGTATTATTTTTGAGGAAATTAGTGTTTGTATATTGAAGTCGCATGTGATGTTTGCCGGCAAAGTCGCTCTTTTGGGACCCATCGTTTCTAACTATTGTTTTTAAGGAAAGTATTAGGTTGTATTTTTATTTTTTAATAAAAAATATATAATTTTAATTAAAAAACTAAATTTTTTATACAAAATATTATACTATCAAATCAAACAAACCCTTCCAATTATTAAGGTCAAATTGTGGGTTTTGTTCATTTGTATGTGTTTATATATTTTAGAGTGAAAATGATTGTTTAATGTTTTTTTTTTTGGTTGATGTGATTGAAATATTAAAATAAAAATATTATTATTTTAAGTAAATGTATTCTTTCAAATGTAACATAACAAATTAATTGTTGATGAGTACAATTTAGGATTTGAAGATAGACTAGTAGATTTTATATATTTTTAAATTTTAATATTTTGATATAAAAAAATTATTTAATGTGATTTATTATACATATATATTTCAAATGATAAAATTATTTAAAAATTTGATGAATTAATAAAAAAAAAAATGTAAGTTTAAAATAGAGTAATAAATTTTATGAAACAACACAAAGGATTAAAACTAGATTTGACCCTTATTAATGTTATCCATTTTTCCTCTACCACTATATATTTGTTTTTTTATTTTATTTTATTTTTATGTGTATTATTCCCTAATAATTATCTACTATGTATTTATTTATTCGTAAAAATTCCTATTGGTGGTGAATTTATTTAAAGAAATAAAAGTAACGCTAAAAGGGTTCTTTTTGGTTGTCATTTCTTTTTTATAATTGCAATTTGGACCCACCGTGGTGGGAGTTAGGAAAAATTAAAATAATATATTCCATTATTTAAATTTTAATTTTTTACATTATTTGGGTTCGTTTACATGTAATTTGATTTATATTTTGACTTTAAATTATTATTTTAAATAATAATTTAAATATAATATTATATAAACAATAATAAAAGTGAAATTTTAATTGAAATATTTGTTTTATTTTATATAAATATATATTGATATAAACATACACATTTTTTTTAAAAAAATATTACCTTCAAATATTATTTAAATCAAACTTAAATAAAATCCGGACATGACATTGTCTTTTGTTTCTATCCTCTTGATTTGTCTTTTGTGGTAGTATTAATTCTATTTTTATTTTTATTTTTTTTTACGCATCATTCTTCATTAATTTATTCGACATACAAATTACAAATCCAATTATTTTATGAATAGGAAAAGCCATCCAATGAGAAGGAAAAAGAACCCACAAATTTTGTAGATGTTGCCAACCACTACTTGCTGCTTTTTTTTTTTTTTTTTTTTGTATTACAAGGTCTATTTATTTTTAATAACATATGTTTTTGTGTTTTTTTTTTTTTTTAAGTAAATAATAATCGAATATAAAATTTTGGACCAAAAAATATGTGTGGTTGAAACGTGACTTGGATTTAGCGGTCTATCCGACCCTAAACCAAAACGAAAGGGGGTAGGATTCCTTTTGGGCTTATCCTAATTAATAACAAATTGGCTTAGGGTTTAGGGTGTCAGTATAATAAAATCTCTTTGGTTCCTGCCCGTGGACGTAAGTTGACGTACCATCACCAAACCACGTAAAACCTCTGTGTTATTTATTTGCTTTCTTTTTCGTTTTCTCATAACAGTGTGGTTTATTAGAAACAATAAGATACCATAATAATAAAATACTCGATAAATAAAAATAAAAAAGCTTTAATTCTTTTTCACTACGTCTTTTGGAAGTGATAATAAAATTACAAAGAAATAAAATTAGTCTAGAAATTAAAAATGGAAATTTCTAATTGGTAAAAATAAATAATCCAATGGAGAAATATAATAGAAAATTAATTAGCATCTATTCATCTATATATATACAAAAGATACACAAACTAGTAATTTCAAAAGATGCTAATCAATAGTAGTAATAATAATAAAGTCTATAATATTTTTTTTTTTTTATGTGTAATTAAAAATATTTTAAATAAATTGTAGTAAAATTTTTTCTCTCACATGTTTACATTTTTTTTTCCTATTTTTCTACATATGTGAAAGAATTGAAACTAAAAAAGAAAAAAAAAAAAGAGAAATAATTTATTATTATTATTATTATTATTATTTTTTATTTGTGAATCTCAGGAGCAAACCCTTTTATTTCTTTGCTATCATTTTTCTCTTGTACCAAACAATCTCCTAAAATATAATTATACTAAAGAGAAATATGATTTGCTGATGATTAAATATAATATCTTTAATTTTATATATATATTTTTCTATCAGCTTAATCATAACATGTTCATTATTTATTTTAATTTTAAAATTTAAATTTTCTTTTATATTCGTAATGTTTCAAAATATTTACATTTTTTTTTTAATTCACAAAACATTTATTATTATTATATTAAAATGGCCAATGCAATCAAAGACGATCTTTTATATATATATATAGATATAGAATTTTACATTTTATAGAACTTTTGTTGTTAGTTATTGAAATTATGAAATTATTTTGAAAAATTGAAATATTGTTTGAGTGAGTGATTTTTATAATTTTAAAAATATTTGATAAGAAAAAATAACATTTTTTTTTTAAAAAAAATGGAAAGACGTGTGCATATATATATATAGATAAAAGAACAAATGATTTTTTATGTAAAAATAGTTCAAAAGATAAAAGAAAAAAGCTATAAATACATGAAGCTGCTGAATACATAATTATATTGATAATATTTTTTCTAATAATACATGTAATATATATTTTAAATTTACGAGTTATTAAAATTATCATATCATTTTACTTATTTTAAAAATTCATAATTAAAATAACACAAATAGATTAAAAAAACACAACCAAACACACAATAGTCAAATACAGGCTGGCTTCTTTCAAAGTCCACATTCATCACTTATTTAAATTTATTATTGTTGAAACACTGTTGTCTGGATTATTTTTTTTTATTATTTATTACAATAGGGATATATTTTTATTTTTTTTTAAATAAAAGGCAATAATTTTAGAAATAAATATATATATATATATATATAATGTAAGTACCTAACAACATATGCAGCACAGAATAGTAGTAATGTGGACAAAATTTATGCGTATCTTCTACCAAGTAAGAATATTTTAATAAATGATAGTAGCATTTGTTATACAAAATCCAAACTAACAAATATTTTTTTTTATTACAAATTATATATGGGTGGGCTTCTCTTTATTTTATTTTATTTTAAAAAAAAATAATAAATTTGAATATAATATTTTTATTACTATTAAATAAATTATTTTAGAAGAAGATGGGCATGAAGTCATTCTCACGTGGCAGAGGCGTGTCTGGAAGCCACTCTTTCTATTCCTGTAAAAATACGGAAAATCTCTATTCACAGCTGTATCCAATTTTCCTCATCCAAACACGGCCCCACCCCTCTCGCCTTTGCACATAAAGCGAAAATACGACATAAAAAATAAATAAATAAATAATTGATTTATAATAAAATTGTAACATATATTATATGGATATATATTTTTTAATTATCGAAAATAAATCATACGATATCTATATGAAACTGAATTATGTTGATCAACACCATAGCTATTAATCCATTATTATTTTTAATTGATAGTATTTATTTTCTTCAAATTTTTTATTAGATTTAACTATCTATTTTTAATTTAAATATGACATAGAAAAACCAGCCAAACAAACAAGCCCAATATAAATTGATTTATTATGAAATTATGACTTATCAAATGCTCTTCTATCTATTAAATCGTATCTGAAAATAAGTTTGAACTAACTAGTCAACAATATTTTGAGTTTTATTTTTTTTATTGAAACCAACTTTCGTTGGTAATGAATCTTGTTATTGATTTGAAAGCTATGTGCTTATTTACTTATTTTGGAAACATTAGGGTAGAATTTGGATAACGCAGCTTTTTATTAATCAAGATAATCTAATCCAAAAATAAATTTAACAATACAAATATAAGATCAAAATTAAATTAACGAGATGAGTCGAATTTAAAATAAAGGATAAAAAGATGAGTTTTTTATTTTTTTATTATTTATTAAAGATTGATTTTTATAATATACCATACATTTCTGTTATATTAATATGCATAATTCGTTTGCTCCAAAGATACCATTTTTATTTTTTCTATTTCTGACAATTTAGCCATAAAAAATGTTTTGACTGCGATGGAAATCTGTGCATATTAAAAGAACAATACAGATACTGATCCTGCACTGAAAATCTTACCCAATTCTTACCTAAATTCATGCACTCAACTAAAACTAAAAACACCCAAACACATATATATACATACATGATGCATGCATTAAGGGTATGTTTCTTTATCAATATTTTTTCAAGTTTTACTATTTACACTTTGTATTTTTAAAACATTATTTTTACACTAAATTCATATCAATTTTTTTCCGGATTAAAAAATTTACCGCACATCACTGATTCAGCTGTGTGCGAATTTCTCTCTCTCTCTCTCTACTTTTCTTCAAAAAAAAAATAAAATAAAAATCATAGTGGCGAGAATGTACATAGACAAGAATACACACACAAATCCACTTGCTAAAGCTAAACCCGAAGAACAGGTTGATAAACAGTATGAAATTTCTCGTGATCCGTGCCCAGTCCACGGCTGTCTATGTGATTGTTCTTGGGCTCTGTGTTTTGTGCTTCCAACCCCGCCGTTAATCGCACCCCCAATTTCCTGCTTTCTCGAAACCCCTTTCCCCCTTTCTTCCCCACTCTGCCATTTTTGTTTTTCTCGGATCTGCAGATCGAATTAATGGAAGTTCAAGGGTGGATCCGAGCCCAGCCCATTTTGTTCCTGAGACCTGAAAAGATAGTGTGTTAACAAAGAGCCAAAGGATCCTTGCTTTTTCATTTGTGGGAGATCTCAGTTTGGCAGCTTTTATGGGGCGAATTTTTGAGTGGGTTAATAATTGGGGGTGGGGTTTTGGTGAAGAAAGATTGCTTTATATTTTTTAAGTTTTGTTTGGATATGGGTAAGGTTTTTATATTTTTTGGTTGTTTTCTGTGGTCTTGAAATGTGTGTTTTTAGCACTGCTCTCTTTTAATTGCTTTTGTTTTGTTGAGGAAATGTAAGAAGTTGGAGCTGACTAGCAGAGTGAGTTTAGGACAGGGAATATTGTGCCATGAATAAGATGATTTACCCTCTGCAGATTTGAGGGTTTCTGTTGAGGGTCAGAGGTGCTCAGAGCTTCAGATTTTGTGTTTAATTTCTAAGTTAGCAAACATATGTCTGAAATGGACAGTAAATGCGATTGATTACTTTTAAGCTTGAAGGATAATTCTGTTCCTTCTGTAGCTGTGATTGTTGCTTCTTTTTGCAGTGCAGAGTCATTGTAAATTGAATTGAATTTCACCAAATTTTCACTTTTCTTGTAAAATTCTTGCTGTATTGTTTCATCGATGTCTGGTTTCTTTAATTTCATAAATTATTGCCTGCTTTTGTTGGATTCCTAATCAAAATGATTTCTTACACTTTAGGTCTGTAAGTTTCTGCCAAGAACACCAATCTTCGACCAAATGGGAAAGTTCTTGTGACAGTAATGGATCCACAGGCGTTTATTAGGCTATCCATCGGCTCCCTCGGTCTCAGATTTTCCGGCGCCGCCGCCCCAAAATCCGGTGGTATTCCGGCGTCTTCTTCCCCGTGCACATGCGACATCCGTCTCCGCGGATTCCCTGTTCAGACAACCTCAATTCCATTGGTGTCGTCCCCTGAAGCAACCCCTGCCTCTCATGGCATTGCTTCGAGCTTTTACCTCGATGAATCAGATTTGAAAGCCCTGTTGGCGCCTGGATGCTTCTCTGCATCTCAACCTGGGTTGGAAATATCAGTTTTTACAGGGAGGAAAGCTACACATTGTGGTGTCGGGATCAAAAGACAGCAGATTGGGACATTTAAATTGAACGTTGGCCCTGAATGGACCGACGGGAAGCCGGCGGTTCTGTTCGACGGCTGGAAGGTCATCGGAAAAAACAGGCCGGAGAACGGAAAACCCGGTGTCGAGCTTCATGTTCGAGTGAAGCTAGACCCCGATCCACGATACGTGTTTCAGTTCGAAGAAGACACCAAATTAAGCCCTCAGATTGTTCAGCTTCAAGGAGCTGTGAAGCAGCCAATTTTCAGCTGCAAATTTAGTCGAGACAGGTGAAGAAATCCATCGAAAACAACATCGATAACCCGGCATTGATAATTGATTGATCGATCGATTAAATTTTTCAGGGTGTCGCAGCTGGAGGCGCCAAACGCTTTCTGGTCGGGCGCAGCCGAGGAGGATGTCGAGAGGCGCGAAAGGAAGGGGTGGAGGGTGAAAATTCATGACCTTTCCGGCTCGGCCGTGGCTGCAGCCTTTATCACGACGCCGTTTGTTCCTTCAGGGGGCTGTGATTGGGTGGCGAAGTCAAATCCGGGGGCGTGGTTGATCGTTCGACCCGACACGTGTATGGCCGAGAGTTGGCAGCCGTGGGGGAAGCTGGAGGCGTGGCGGGAGCGAGGAATGCGCGACTCGATTTGTTTCCGGTTCCACGTTTTCTCCAACGGGCAGGAGGGCGGGGAGCTTCTCGTGTCGGAGATACTGATCGGCGCGGAGAAGGGCGGGGAGTTCTTCATTGATACCGACAGGCAAATCCGGTCGGCAGCGACTCCGTTGACGAGCCCACAGAGCAGCGGCGATTTCGCGGCTCTGAGCCCTGTTTCCGGTGGGTTTGTGATGCGGTGCCGCGTGCGAGGGGAAGGCAAGTGCAGCCGGCCGTTGGTGCAGCTGGCGATGCGATATGTTACTTGCGTGGAGGATGCCGCCATCTTCATGGCGCTGGCAGCCGCCGTCGATCTTAGCATTGAAGCTTGCAGACCGTTCCGGCGGAAGATCCGGCGGGGAGGTAGCCGCCATTCTTGGTGATGAATGTAAAGTTAGTTTATTTCCTCGAGTAATTTTCCATTGTCGTCATTGTCGTTTTGTAACTCATGACACTGTTCTTATTTGAATGTCGTAATTTTTCAGTGCACCATTTCTGAGACCAGAAAGAATGACTCTGCCATAGATAAGAATGCAAGAAAGGGATGTTTAATTAATTACACCCACAAGGCATATAGTTGCTGCCCTACTTGTATATGTGAACTGTTTTTCATAGGACTCCGATCAATCCAATCTACTCGGCGAATACTGCGTAGATGCCGGCGAGTTCTTGCTGAAGCTTCTGTATGTCCTCCAGAATCTGTGCTCTATCGTCTCCCCGACTCGAATCCAACACATTGACATTGATCGATATTTTCCTCTCTAGACTTTTTATCTGCAGTTTGATTTTCGATATTAATATATATATATATATACACGTATAGATTAATGTGATATGAATTAAGAGTGGAAACCTTTCTGTAAGGCCATCTTGACATTCCGTTTTTTCGGCATACTTTCTTCATCACAGTAGGGCAGACGTTCAATCTTCGCGCAGCTTCTTCTATGGGAAGGTTGAAATAATCGATCAAGTCCTTGAGCTTCAGATGTTTTGTTCTTTCCCTCTGTGTTTGAAGAAATTCACCATCAACATAGACACCAAAGCAGACAAAATCTTACAGCAAACTTAAAATTCTCTCTTCGACTTCGTTCGACATTACAATGATTAACCAGAAACTAAGAGTTACCTGCACAGAAAGTGGGATCTTTGCAGTGTCGCCTTGGTCGGCTTCGCCGTCTGTTTGTCTCATCCACGTCGCGAGTTGGTTACTAGGAACTATCAAAGCAATCAAAACAAATGTTGTATGTTATATATATATATATATGTACACGCTAATTAAGAGTTTGAATTTTGACGATGAATTTTGGTATGAACACATTGTATATTCTCACCTGTGTTTTGAGGTTGGGAGAGAAGGGAATCATTTAGGTTGCGGTGGCAATCCAATCCAACAGAAAGGGCTTCATAGAAGCTCGAGAGAGGATCCTGCAATGTCGAGAAGCCCTCTTGTTTGCAGGCCTGGAAATATTGGATCAGGAAGTTCTTTACGGTATCCATACTCTCCTTCTGGAAACTTTTTTTTTGGAAAGAGTTTGATGTGAGGAATGAAGATTTGTAAGTAATAGGATGAATTGCAGGAAGATGATGAGATTGAACTTACTCGAACATCACCATTTCCTGATTGTTTGACGACGATGAATGGTGGAAGTGAATCTCCTGGACCGCATGAGCAATCACTCCCCATCGCCCATGGATTTCGAGGCGCTTCACTGTCATGCCTGCAATGGAATTGAAAATCGAATCAGAAATTGATCATAACCTTACTTTCTGAAAACCCTAGAATTTGGGGGGCGTTGCACTCACCGTTTGTGTGAGTAATCACCCGAAGTTTCTGGCAGCAAATACAATTGTACGAAGGCGTCTGCGTTGAATTATCACAAGGAAAGGAGATATCAGGAATATCGAAAAACTCAATGCCGCCATGGCTGCAGCCCTCTCCGGTCAACTTAGAAGGTCCATGCCCGGCTCCGGAGGTCTCCGCCACATCGATGTCGTCAATCTCGTTGCAGAAGGACCAAAGGACAGGATCCGACAACGGATCCTCCGGGTCCAAAATATTGTTAAATTCGTTAAAATTAGGGTAATTGAGAGTTTCCTGCACGCTCCGATTAGGATTAGGGTTTTCAGGGGGGAAGAAGGAGGACGGATTGATGTACGGGATTTCTTCAAAAGTAAATGTTTCCATTGATTGAGCGCGGCGGCGGCTGGCGGCGACGCCCGGGGAGGACCAAGCGCCGCGGCGGACTGGTGGCTGGATTGACGGCGCGTGCCAGAACTGATCTGATTTTCAACAGCAGAAATTTGTCTTCTCTGAGAATTTTCAGGCGGATTTCTGAAAGGAAGATTGTATATAAAGTGGAGGGAAAGTGGCGGTTTGTGACCGTTGGATAGCGGTTAATTTTCGAAATGTATAACATGGCACATTTTTTTAAAAAATTGCAAATTAGTACCGTTACTTTTTATTTAGTTTGTGTGCTGGAAAATCAACGATGAGACTATATACCGAAATTTCTTTAATTTTGTTCATTATGCAAAATATCTGTGCTCGATTTACAAATTTATTTACAAGCAATAGGAAGGATAATAAGGAAAAGAGAAAAAAAAGAAAAAAAACAATATGTGCTGCCACGTGGCAAGAATCATATGTAGAAGAACAGATCGTCAGCAATGTTGATCTCATCACGCTGAATCAAATCCGCTGTAGGATGACCAAATTCATCCAACGGTTCGTATGTGTCCACGTCATCATCACTCAAACTCTCCGTCTCCGTCTCCTCCTGCAATCTCCGAGCGGCGGCCGCCGACGCACAATCAACATCCACCCCACCTTCCCAGAGGGAATCACCGGAGCTGAAGTCACAATGCTTGTTGGTGACTTCTTCCGCCTCTGGAGACGGCATCGGGAAAATATCTGAATTTTGAATTGTCACCGGAGCAGGAGACGCATCCATGGTAGGGCTTTCAGTGCTCGGAGATATATCCTCCATAACAGCAGCCTCACTTGAAAGAGAACCGATCGATTCTCCGGCGGAATCTGGGCTCGGAGATTTATCCTCCATAAAACCAGCATCAATTGGAAGAGAACTGATCGATTCTCTAGCATAATCAACCGGCGACAGCGCCGGAACTTGAGATGAAGTGTCGGACTGAAGAACAACGGGCAATGCAGTCGGAGGTAGAGCCAAATCAACGGAAACTTCGCCGCCGTCTGTAATTGGAGGTTCTCCCTGAGCGTCGACGGCGTCGTCGTCGTCCAACGACGTCGTCAAGGAGAATACCACAAACCTACTGTTACGATAGATCGCCTTTGTACTAACCGCAACGCCGTCGACGCTGACGGCGCCGTCCACCGCAAAAATCGTGACCGTCTTGTTCGGAGACAGCGTGGGGAATTCCGATCCGCCGGAATTCGCAGCGAAATCTGCGATGAGGTGTCGCATCGGCAGGACGTGGTGGAGAAAGTCGAATCGGAAGCCATCGGGTTTCTCGAACAAGTTCTTGTCGGAGACGGCGAAGACGGTGGCGGAATCCAAAGATCGCAGCTCCGATCTCCTGAACGCCATGCCGGCGGCGACCACAGTGTAACCCCTTTTCCTCAAGTTCCTGATCACCCGGTCCACCAACGGCCGTTTCACCAGACCGGAACCGCCCACAACCGCCGGAGGAATGCGCGGGGAGGCGCATCTTGTAGCGAAAGAAAAGTCCAGTACGCCGTCGATTCCATGGATGGCGATGTTGTCGTCGACGTAAAGATCGGGCTGCCGGACATGGACGGTTCCGATGGGACTGTTGGCCTGAAAAGAAGAGATAGAGATTTCGCCGTTGTAAAGGTTTCTGAAGAGGTAAAGACAGTACTTGTTGTAATAAGTGGGGAGCTCGTCGCCGTCGACGACGGCGGAGAGGGAGAGCCAGGTGAGGACTTGCGGCGGCTTCAGGCTGTGGTAGAGGAGGAGATCGACGGAGGGGCGCGGAGGAGCGCGGCGGCGGTGCAAGAATCTTGCGGTGGTGGAAGAGAATGCGAAATCCGGCGCGGCGAAGATGGTGCCGGAGAAATTGGAAGTGACGGTGGAGATGGAGAGGAGGAGGGAGCCGAAGATGGAGTAGCCTCTTGAAGTGAGGAAGTCGGCGGCCATGAGAGCGGTTGACGGCGGCGGAAGGAAAGGAGTACCGAAGCCGGAGGCGGCGCACTGGTTTGAGGAGAGGAGGCAGAAAAGGAGGAGAAGGAGGGTGAAGAGCTTGGAGCATCCATGGCGGAATGGATCCATACAGAAGTCTCTTTCTTGGCAGGAATTTCTAAGCTGTGCATCTATGGAGTTTCTTTTCTTGATTCATCATCGCTATTTATCAGGTTTTTGACGAAACAGAGCTGGGACTTCCGATTAATTTTGAGTATTCTTGGGAAGACCGGGATCTCAGATCCGGAAGCATTTCAACCGTTGGATATGATTGAATGATAGTACAGCTGTGTGGACTTGATCCTTTGTAAACTTAGTTACAAATAAGTCATGAAATAAACAATGGTAACACGTTTTTCTCATCCCAAAACACGATTTCTTCTCAGCCTCCGGAATTCTAGCTAGGGACTTTTTATTTTTTTTTTATTTTATTTTTTATTCTAGCTAGGGACTTTAGCGTAATGCAATTAACAATTTTTGGCTGTGTTCTTCTCAGCTTCCGCAATTCTTTCTATTATTTTCTTTCATATAATCTCTTTTTTAAAAAAATTAATACACTATATATATTCATTATATTTATATATTTTATACAATTTTTTTTATCTTACTTAAAATTTTTTTATTTATAACAATTTAACAAAACAAACAGTTATTTACTAAATTTCCAAATTAATTTCCAAACAAATCAAATTCAAGTCTAAAGCCTACACATTTCAGTCCTAATTATTCATCATCATAAACTAGTAAATTGTCTTGATTAATTAATCTAAAAATAACTTAGAAACAAGTTAAAAAAACCAAATATTAAGAAATGCAAATATTAATTAATACAGTATAAAATAACAACCAATCATCAAATCCCTACCGGGGCAGCGCGTGGTAAAGACGCCGGTGGTGTGGAAACCTGAGTCCAAATTATACTACCTGACGCTGAAGGGGATAACGGTGGGGATTGGCGGCTGGATTTGTCTTTGATTTTAATCGAACGGCTCGATGTGTTGAATGACGGCAACATTGCGATAGACACAGGTTCGACCGTAACTTACCTTCCGCCGTCATCGGCCATGTGAACCTCCGGAGATCGCCGGATCCGCGGCGGTTGCTGAGAGTGTGCTACGAGGCCGTGAGGGATTCCTTTTGGGGAAACTTTCTGTAATGATTGCTCATTTCCGATGGGGCGACGTGAAATTGAGCAATTACAATGCTTTCATGAAGATCGACCGGAGAACTGTGTGTCTGGCGATGGCGGAGGATCGGAGGCTTCCGGTGTACGGGAATGTTGCGCAGGGGAATTTTTAGGTAGGGTTTGACTTGGAGAAGATGAGGGTTTCCTTTAAGCGATCTGATTGCAGCTGAGGATGGTGATTATATTGCGTGAAGACTGCCTGAGAAATGCGTGATCGGAGACTGGAAACTTTTCCGTTCACCGGCGGAATTTCATTTTAGTGTATGATCGATGAGTTGGAGAAGACGACGGTTTCCTTTAAATGATGAGATTAATTACATAATACTTGTATTTTGATTAACATATAATCATTATATGACGCTGCTATTTGTGTGCTCATAAAAAAAATATTCCGATTAATGATACTGTCATAATTTTGTAAAGTCTTATTAATCTTTTTTTAAGTCTCCATTCTGCTGCAAGGAGACTGTTTAAACGAAACCCTCATCCTTTCCAAGTCATACCCCACAATAAAATTCGCCTGCGTTATACTTCCGTACACCGGAAGGTTATCGCCGTCCGGCAGAAACGCCAGGCACACCGTTCTCGAGTCGCTCTGCAAAAACGCATTGTAATTGCCCAATCTAACATCGGCCCCACCTCGGAAATGAACCACCATTGTCGGAAGCTTCTCGTAGTCGCTATTTCTGTTCACCTCGAAGCAAACGCTCAACAGATTCTGCGGATCCGCCTTCCTCCTCAGATTCAATTGCCTGACCACCGCCGTCACCACTCGTTCGTACAGCTCCAATGGAAGGCTCGTCAATGTTGCTCCTGTGTCCATCACTATGTTGCCCTCGTTCGACCTGCTCGACGAACCCCAATTCAGCCGTTGATTTCCGACCGTTATTCCCTCCAGCGTCACGTGGTAGTATACCAACCGAGGTTTCAGTACCAGCGGCGTCGACACCACTCCCCGCCCTGAAACGACGCCGCCAAAGCTCAATTTTCCGATTTCCGGATGTAAATGGAACGACGACTCGGGAAGGCAGTAGGCGAATTTGCCCCTGATCGTGGACTCTGCTTGTTTCATTAGCGACACTCTTGCGACGCCGGCGAGGCCGAATATTCCGGCGGTGCTTTCGCTGAACCCTCGGTTATCGTCGCCGCAGCCGAAGACGAAGTTAGGGATCGATAATCGTCCGACGGCCAGCCTTTCGGTGGCGATTTCTCCGGCACTGGTGGAGCCGTCGCCGTACAGAATAGAATAGCCGCACGTGTTGCCGGAGCCCCTGGGGTTTGTAACCAGCCCTGTGGACCGACACGTTGCGGAGTTGTGGAGGACCGGCCTGTACGACGGCGATCGTCTCCGATCGAACAGCGGCTGAGTTTGCTCGAAGCAGTTGCGGCAGGGCGTGCATTGGATCCAGGTGAGGTCGCTGCCGGTGTCGGCGGTGGCTAGGTATTCGACCGGCGGCGTGCCGATGGAGAATTTCATGAGGTAATTGAAGCTGTCGTAGACAATGTCGGTTGTGGCGGCGGCGGCCAATGCTTGGCGGCTGAAGTTGGAATCTCCGGCAGCGAGGAATTTGAAGCGTTTAAGGGATCGTAACAGAGAATTTCTGACACGATCTGAGGGTGTTAGGGATGAATTGAACAATAAATCTCTTGGGATGAGATCGACGACGGTGATGTTAGCTGCTGCGGCATTGATAATCATAGAAACCCTGAAATTTGAGAGGAGAGAAATTAGGGCAAAATAGAAGAGGATTATTGTATAGGGTTTCACGTTAATCGCCATGGCTAGCTGTTGACCAAGAAAATTAAGATGGTGAGGGCATTGCTGCTTAGTTATTTATATAGAAGACTAGGGAAGACCCGTGCTACCAAAAAATTGTTCTTTATTTAAAAATATAAATTTAAATTTATGGAAAGATAAATTATTTAATAAAATATAAAATTAAAAAAGTAAAATGAAGGAGATAAAGTTTTGCAATTACTAGTAATTCTTAAATACACATGAAATGTAGAAAGAATTATCCAATATTTTTTTTACATTCATTTTAAGAATTTTTTAAAAGAATATTTCATGTGTATTTAGTAATTACTAATAATTATAAAACTTTATCTCCTTCATTTTACTTTTTAAATTTAATATTTTTATTAAATAATTTATCTTACCATAAATTTAAGTTTATACTTGAAAAAATATTGTTTTATACTTGAAAAAAATATTTATGTTTGATTTTGTATCCAATAAAAAAATTGAACTATTAATTTTGATTAGCAAAAATTTATCTCCATGTATTCATTTTAGGTTTTTAAGTTTATATTTTATTAGATAATTTATCTTCTATAATTATATTTTAGTAAGTACTATAATTTTGTTTTTATACGACTTATTTATATTGCATATTTTCCAAAATATGAAAATATTTAAAAATAAATATATAAAAGTAATAAAAAATTCTATAAATGTATTTTCAAATAAATAACAATTTTTTTTGGTTCATTGACCTTGACCTGTGCACGGTCTTCCAGCTAGTATATATACATAAAAGAGTTTAAGAAGGAACTTAATTTTAAGTTTTTCTTTTTTTAAAAAAAAAATTAATTATATATAATAAAAATAGTTCATTATAAAATTAATATTGTAATTTCACTAATAAAAAATGAAAAATCGTAAGAAAAAAAAAATCTAAATCCAAAAAAATAAACTTAATAAAAATATATTAAAGTAAGTCATAAATAAATAAATAAAATTTTAGTAATAAATATTTTATATTTATAGGCATAAATATTGCAAATTATCTTTGTTAGGTACAAAAAATAACAATAATAATAAAAATAATGATAGCAGGATCTTAAAGGAAGTTAGACACGAAGTCGGGTGAAAAAAGAAAAAAATTTGCGCTCAGGTTGGTTGGTCAGGTCGGTTGGTCCTCGGTCGGTTGGTTCGCAGGTCGGAAGATCCGCAGGTCGGATAGTCAGCGAGTCGGACGGTCTACAGGTCGAATGGTCAGCGAGTCGGACGGTCTACAGGTCGAATGGTCCTCAGGTCGGAAGGTCCGCAAGTCGGATAGTCAACAGGTCGGATCAATAAGTCGGATAGTTTGCAGTCGGTTGGTTCACAGTCGGTTGGTCCGCCATCGGTTGAGTCGGTCAATGCGTAATCTGGACCAAGCGAAGGTCTGTTAATCAGTCGCCTAATTAAGTGAACAATAGTTCAATCGCTTGGTTGGGGCGACCATTAAATCGTTTGGAAAGACCAGAGGGTGATCGCTTGATGAGGCGACCAAGGAGTCGTTTGGTCTAGCGACCAGTTAGTCTCTGATTTGGTCGGATGGGTTATGCGGTTGGCGAGACGGTTGCCGTAATCGACCAAACAACGTTTCAAAACGTTTCGTTGTGGACGGTTGACGGCGGTTGCTGGCGACGGTTCTGAAACGTCTCTTCTGAGGAATATTTAAGGATTTGGGTCAGCAACTGGCAGATCATCTTGAATCGACATCAAATTCAAGAGAATTGCTTTTGGAATCACCACTTTATTTCCCAGTCTGTAGTTTTATTTTCCTAATTTATTTTATGTATCGACATTCCTAATATCATAATTTAAAGATATTTCCATATCTTTGAATTTTACTTTTTGTTTATTGAAAAAATACATCAACAATCTTATTATAATTTAAATTAAAAAAAAATAAATATAAAAAACTATAAAAATACTATGTATAATAAAAATAGTAACTAATGATATAAGGTGTTAGTTGATTGGGAATATAATGGACGGCTGAGATTTCTTTGCATTAATTAATACTTGCATTGTTTGATATTTGGTATTTAACCTGCATTGTAAGTTAAGCTTTTACGAGATCAATTAATTATAAAAGTGAAGTTCAAAATAAATGAGAAATGATATATATATATATATATAAAATGCCCCCGCCTTCGTCAACATTCACAGCCATGGCGATCATCATTAAACCCTACAACAAAACCATTCCTTATTTTTATTTTGCCCTAATTTCTATTCTCTCAATTTTTAGGGTTTCTTTGGTAATTACAAATGCAGCTATCATCACCTTCGATCTCATACCCAGAGACTTACTGTTTAACTCATCCCTAACACCCTCCGAACGTCTCAGAAATTCTCTCTTACGATCCTCTAGACGCGCCGAATTCCTCGCCGGAGCTTCCAACTTCAGCCGCCACGAATTGGCCGCCGCCGCCACCACCGACATCGTCTACGACAGAAGCGAATACTTTATGAAATTCTCCATTGGCACGCCGCCGGTGGAATTCCTAGCCATGGCCGACACCGGCAGCCCCCTCACGTGGATTCAATGCGCCCCCTGCGTCAACTGCTACCACCAGACTCAGCCGTTGTTCGATCGGAGCCGGTCGTCGTCATACCGGCGGGTCCCCTTTGAATCGGAGACTTGTAGGTCAACTCACGCGCCTCCTGGTGTGCAGACGTTCTTAGCCAGGAACGGTGGTGGCAGTCACACGTGTGGCTATTCAATTAGGTTCTTTTCAACTAAAAGTGGAGTATTATTTATCTCTTTCCTATTTAAAAAATAATAATAACTTATTAATATTAAAATATCTTTAATTTTTATTTAAATTATAAATATTTTATTACATATATAATTATTTTATATATAAAGTGGAATGACATAAATATAAAAATTCTTACAATAAAGTATTATTATTTCTTATTTTATTACAAAATTTTAAAAGACTAGTTTGATTTGGAATGCTTTGGTACAAATCAAATTGCTAGTTTGTCCATTTTTGCTGATTTTATTTCAAAAAATATTTTTTTAAAAATAAATCATATATTAATATTAAAATATTTTTAATTTTTACTTAAATTACAAACATATAACTATAAATATAATTATTTTATACAAACAATTAAAAACATAAAAATATTAAAATTTCTTGCAACAATCACTTACTAATAAAATATTATTATTTTTTAATTTACTATGAAGACGGAAAGAGTATAATCTAGGGTGTGTTTTTTTTTTTGATAAATTTGAAAAAAAATTAATTTGAGTTTGGTATAAAAATAATACTTGATGAAATATTTTGTGAGAGAAATTTTTTTTTTGAAAACAGTGTCAAATAGTAAAATTCGGAGAAATTTTGCAAAAAAACAAACCCTAAAATAATAAAAATTTAATCAAAATCATTATAAATTAAATAAGAAAAATATCTGGACAGATACCAAGATGACACCACCAGCTCTGGAGAGCTCGCCGCCGAAAGGCTGGCGGTCGGAGAATTGTCGATCCCTAACTTCGTTTTCGGCTGCGGAACTGATAACCGGGGAGCGTTCAGCGACGGCAGCGCCGGAATGGTCGGCCTTTCCGGCGGAAGTACGTCGATGATAAATCAGCTAGGATCTTCAATCAGGGGCAAATTCGCCTACTGTCTTCCGGAGGCGTCGTTCCACGCAGAGCCGGAAATGGGAAAAATGAGCTTCGGCGGTGGCGTTCCGGGCCGGAGAGTGGTGTCTACGCCGATCGTAATGCAAACTCGGTCGCCGCTCTACTACCTGACGATGGAGGGGATTACGGTGGGGAATCGACGCCTGAATTGGGGATCATCGAGCAGATCGATCGACGAGGGCAACATAGCGATAGACATAGGAACGACGACGACGACACTTCCGCCGGAGCTGTTCGAACAAGTGGCGGCGGCGGTGAAGAGGAAGGTGAAGCTGAAGACGAAGGCGGATCCGCACGGGTTTTTCAGCGATTGCTTCGAGGTCAATAGGCTTGACGATTATAAGAAACTTCCGAAATTGATTGTTCATTTCCGAGGCGGCGCCGACGTTAAGCTGAGTCGTCACAACGCTTTCATGGATTCAGGGAGGAAAACTGTGTGCTTGGCGTTTGTGAAGGAGACTGGTAACCTGCCAATCTATGGGAGTACTGCGCAGGCCAATTTCATTGTAGGGTATGACTTGGAGACGATGACGGTTTCCTTTAAGAAGTCTCCTTGCAGCGAATGGAGACTTTAAGAAGATGGATGATTGATAATACTAATTTAAATTATTGTTCTATTGTATTTAATAAATGTGGAAAAATAAACATGTATGTGTCTATACGGGCATGGATTCAGTGGATTCAGTACTTATTTGATCGGATCAATATGTATAATGAAGTTGTTGTCGTCAAAAAATTGTCACCGACGGTTTAATCGAAAAAATCTGTTGAAATTGATTTGATCGTAGGGTTTCCGCCGGATGCGATAACCGAAAAAAATTAACTAAGGAAGAAGGTACACAGTTGGAATGAACACTGGGAAATTAAATCGGAATTAACTACAAAAAACTGTAGAAGTCTCAAAAATAATGAAGGAAATTAAAATTACAGAGAAAAAATTAACGCAATGCAGGACAACATGAATTGATGGCCGGCGGCGTCCCTAACCTCTTTTTCCTTTTATTTCCCTAATCTTATTCGAATAATGCTCTCATCCCTTATTTTTCTCCAACTTCCTCAATCTCTTTTTATTTTCAAACTATGTTTTTATCATGGTGACCACGGGCCTTATTGATATGGGCCTTCTCATGGACCGTATCCTCTGCACCTGCTTGGATCGGCCCGGTTAAATTTTGAAGTGTACAAAATAATATTTTTTATATATAATATAACATATATTGAGTTAGAACATAACATATACTATATTATAAATCTGCTGTGATATAGTATCAATTTACTATTTGTGTCAATGTACTTAACGTTAAAAATATCTTTATATTTATATAACTTTATAAAAAAAATGTGTTTCTATTAGTATTACAACACACTACTAGTAGTGTTTTGGTTACTTTTTTTTTTTAATTTGTAATATGTTTTTGATATAATAATTAATATTTAAAGATTAACAGGAAATAGATACTTAGTTACTGAAGGCAAAAAATATATATATATATATAAAATGTTAGTTTATATTCACAATGATATTCGTGCCCTCTATATTCTACATCTTTAATGAATTTATTTAATTATATAAAATAAACATTCCGTAAAATCTCTTAAAAAGTTTTTCAACTTTATTTAATTTCTAATTGATCAACATTATTATAATTAAGAGTACAACTTAAACACTAAATGAAACGGAATGCAATACTTATTAATGCAAACCTTGATCATGTCTATATTAACAAACCTCAATCCCTTCTTCAATATTCATAGCCGTGGGGAGGACCATGCATTAAACCCTACAAAATCGTTTCGATTTTGCCCTAATTTCTCTCTTCTCAATTTCTAGGGTTTCTATGATTATTGGTGCAGTTTGTATCACTCATTCCTTGTTAAATCAATCATTCATTTTGGTTGAGTTTGTAATATATAAATAAATAGATGGTGTGTATTTTTAAGTTTAAATTTTTAAGTAAGAATTATTTAACATGATACGAGAATCAAAACATCCGTATTTGAGTCCGCCACCCATTCTTCATCGTCCACGTGCAAATTCTTCATATTAGTTCCGATTACTTTCGATGCGTTTCTTTAGCCCAAATTTATTAGTTTTAATTTTACTATTTAGATTTTGAAAAAATATATTTTTCTTTCACAAGCATTCCATCAAATATTATTTTAATATCAAATTGAAATCAAATTTTTTTCCAGAAACCCTCTCTTTGTTAGTTTTGTTATGTATCTACCCCAATTTTTGTCAATAAATACATGCATTAATAAAATGTGACACTAATTAAAAAAGATAGTACACCCATACATGTTTATTCGATCACATTTATTACATAGAGTAGAATAACAATTTAAATTAGAATATCAATCACCCACATATAATAATATATATCCATCTTTCAATTAATCAATTATATAATTCACCATTCGCTGCTGCAACGAGATCTCTTAAAGGAAACCGTCATCCTCTCCAAGTCATACCCTACAATGAAATTCCCCTGCGCTAAAGTCCCATATATCGGCAGGTTATACGTGTCCGCCATAAACGCCAAGCAAGCAGTTCTCCTCCCCGTCTCCACAAAACCATTGTAATTCCTCAGCTTAACGTCCCCACCTCGGAAATGAAAAACCATTGTCGGAAGCTTCTCATAGTCGTCGCTTGTCTTCACCTCGAAGCAATCGCTCAAAAACTCCTGCGGATCCCTCTTCTTCTTCAGCTTCACCTGCCTCTCCACCGCCGCCGCCACCTGTCTGTACAGCTCCGCCGGAAGTCTCGACGTCGTCGTTCCTGTGTCTATAACTATGTTGCCTTCGCCGTCCGACGACCTGCTCGATGAACCCCAATTCAGGCGGCGGTTCCCCACCGTAATCCCCTCCAGCGTCAGGTAGTAGTACGGCGACTCAGCTTTCCGTACCAGCGGCGTCGACACCACGCGCCGCCCCGAAACGCCGCCGCCGAAGCTCAGGTTCCCCAAATCTGGCTCTGCGTGGAACGACGCCTCCGGTAGGCAGTAGGCGAATTTTCCCCTAATCGAAGACCCTAGCTGATTTATCAACGACAAACTTCCGCCGGCGAGGCCGACCATTCCGGCGCTGCCTTCGCTGAACTCTCCCCGATTATCATGTCCGCATCCGAAGATGATTTCAGGCACCGACAATTGTCCGACCGTCAGCCTTTCGGCGGCGATTTCTCCGGCGCTGGTCGCGCCGTCGCCGTACCCGATTAAATAGCCGCACCTGTCGTCGGAGCCCCTGGAGTACTTAACCAGGCCAGGAGAGTCGACAGACGACGTGCAAGTCCGGGAGTTGTAGGGGACATGCCTGTACGACGATGATCGTCTCCGATCGAACAGCGGCTGAGTCTGGTGGTAGCAGTTGGTGCAGGGGGTGCATTGGATCCAGGTGAGGTCGGTGCCGGTGTCGACTTTGGCTAGGAATTCCACCGGCGGCGTGCCGACGGAGAATTTCATGAAGTATTCGCTACTGTCGTAGACAATGTCGGTTGTGGCGGCGGCGGCCAATTCGCGGCGGCTGAAGTTGGAAGCTCCGGCGGCGAGGAATTTGGCGCGTCTAACCGATCGTAGCAGAGAATTTCTGACACGATCCGTGGGTGTTAGTGATGAATTGAGCAGTAAATCTCTGGGGATGAGATCGACGACGGTGATGTTAGCTGCTGCGGCATTGATAATCATAGAAACCCTGAAATTTGAGAGGAGAGAAATTAGGGCAAAATAGAAGAGGATTATTGTATAGGGTTTCATGTCAATCGCCATGGCTAGCTGTTGACGAAGGAAATTAAGATGGTGAGGGCATTGCTGCTAGTTATTATATAGAAGATATCATCAAGGGTGTGAGTTGATTGGGAATGTAATGGACGGCTGAGATTTCTTGCATTAATTCATATTTGCATTTGTTTGATATTTGGTGCTTAAGCTGTCCCGTAAGTTAACTACAAGAATTAATAAAAGTTCAAGTTTAAATGAAATATTTTTGGATTTTTTTTAATGATGTATATATATAATAAAAAGTAATGTAAAAGTTTGGAGTAAAGTATTTGTAAGAGTGTTTTTGTGTGGGATTTCATCGTCTTCGCCATAGCCATGAATCTTGATGAAGAAAGTGTTGAGAGGAAAATCTCTAAAAATTAAAATCTAGTGTGTAAATTGATTGGAAATTCAGTTAACTTAAACACAATATTAAGCAATGCAAATATTAATTAATGCAAAGAAGACACATTATATCTCCAATCAATTCACACCCTTCATTTCTATATATATATATATTAACAAACCTCTCTCAAACACTTCCATTCATCAAGATTCATAGCCATGGCGAGGACCATTAAACCCTACAAAATCTTTTTATATTTTGCCCTAATTTCTCTTTTCTCAATTTCTAGGGTTTCTATGATTATTGATGCAGCGATCGTCACCGTCGATCTCATCCCCATAGATTCCTTGCTCAATCAATCCCTGACACCCTCAGAACGTATCAAAAATTCTTTGTTACGATCGTTCAGACGCGCCGGATTCCTCGCCGGAGCTTCTAATGTCGCCCACAAATTAGCTGCCACCGCCGACGTCGTGTACGACGACAGCGAATACCTCATGAAATTCTCCGTCGGCACGCCGCCGGTTGAATTCCTAGCCACCGCTGATACCGGCAGCAACCTTATCTGGATCCAATGCGAGCCCTGCGTCCACAGCTTCGACCATATTCGGCCGCTGTTCGATCGGAGACGATCGTCTTCTTACAGGCCGGTCGCCGCTGACACGCCGACTTGTAGGTCACTGGGGCGGATGTCCCGCGCCGGCACAGACGACACGTGTCACTACTCTATTAGTTATGGAGATGGGTCGACCTCCGCCGGAAAAATCGCCACCGAAACGGTGGCGGTCGGAAAATTGTCGGCCCCTAACATCGTCATCGGATGCGGACATGATAACCGGGGAGCTTTCAGCAAATACGCCGCCGGAATCGTCGGCCTCGGCGCCGGAGATGCGTCGCTGATAAATCAATTAGGGAAATCGATCGAGGGCAAATTCTCCTACTGCCTTGCACAGGCGTCGTTCAGTTTAGAGCCACGGAAAATGAGCAAAATGATATTCGGCGGCGGCGTTTCGGGGTGGGGGGTGGTGTCGACGCCGCTAGTGCAGAAACCAGGTTCCACTCACTACCACCTGATGCTGGACGGAATAACGGTGGGGAATCGACGGCTGAATTTGGCTCCATCCAACGGCTCCTATGCGTCGAATTACGATGGCACCATAACCATAGACACTGGAACAACCATTACCTACCTTCCGCCGGAATTGTACGAACCGTTGGCGGCCGCCGTCCACAGCCAGGTGAAGCTGAGGAAAATGGCGGATCCGATGGGGTTGATGAGGATGTGCTACGAGTATCTGACAGTTGCGGATTTAGAGAAGCTTCCGGCAATGACTGCCCATTTCCGAGGTGGCAATTTGAAGTTGAGAAATTATAATTGTTTTACGATGACCAGAGAGGGAACTGTGTGCCTGGCGTTTGAATCGGCGCCCCGGGAGGGGATGGTGCCGGTGTACGGGAATCTAGCGCAGTCGAATTTCAAGATAGGGTTTGACTTGAAGAAGATGAGGGTTTCCTTTAAGCCATCGGATTGCAGCTAATTAAGGATTGAATTATTTTAAGTAAATATTACCAATAAAATATTATAAGGATATGAATGGAAATATGATTCATTCTTAAAATCCTAATAAAAAAAACATCACTTTATCAATAAATTAAGTACATTAAGTTTCTGCTAAACTCTTGTAAATTATGGATAAAAATATATATACAATAAAGTTCTTGCTTTACATTGAAAATTTTTAAGTTAAATGTTACTACTTTGTCTGGCTAAAAAGTAAGCTAATAATTTTTTGTCGTTATATTTGACATTAAAAATATTATTATATAGTTTTACTTTAAAAATATAATTGTATTTGTATTATAAGAAATTAATATGTATATTTTTGTCATTTTTTCTTCATTTATATTATATTTTAATATAATAATTAATATTAAAAAATTAACTAAAAAAAAAAGTAATATGAATATATATTGTTGTGACAGATCAAGATTAATAATTGAATAACAAACAAAAACAAAAATGTAAGGATGACACATATTTACTTGATTCGCCAAAAAAGTGTTGGCTACATCCACGGGCAAAAATGAGAAACAAAAAATAAATTTATTCGCAATGATAAATCGAGAAACAGAGAACAAAGTTTGTTCACAACCGCAAGGTTACATACAGATTCAGCTCAATACTAATTCCAAAACCTAATAGTCCAATACTGTATACCCTCCGCCGGAGGTCACTCCGCGCTCTCGGACCCACGTCAAGGGAATTTCACCCGCTTCACCCCGACTAGCTAAGACCGGTAAAAACTCAGTGAATGAAGTGACAAACTAGATTAAAATCATATCAATATATATATTTAAAATGGTTTTTATTGATGTAATCATGATCCAAACATCAAACACGTCTGTGTGTGCTGCTGCTTATTCAGAAACTCCATGAAAACACAGCTATATATATATATATATATATCGTATATTAATTTACTAAATGTTGGGATTTTTTGACATGTGGTTCCCTCATGGCCTTAAACTTATCGACCATTCTGTCGTGTGGGGGCCACAGCTCTTTGATCGCCGGGTGTCCGGCAAACCGGTCGATCCACGCCGACAGCTCCGGGAATGCCTCGCCGGTGACCAATTGGATTCCGGCAATCTCGTCGAGGATGCCGACGAGGTTGCCCATCCACCCCAGCGCAATGTCCAGATACCCTATCCTCTCCCCGCCGAAGAACTCCTTCCCCTTCAGCTGCTCCTCCACCAATTTTAGGTTTCCGGCGGCCTCCGCCACCGCCGCTTCCCGCTGCTCTTCCCCTTGCGCCACGAACACTCTCCACACCGACGGCAGCAACTGTTCAAAATTTTATAATTAATTTTTTTTTTTTTTCAAAATTATATTTTGACAACTTTATAGAAAAAGTATATGCATATACTCTTTATCAATTTCCATAGTACTTTTCTATAACAAAATAAAACGAACATAAACATTTGGAATCGAATATCAAAATTTTAATTAAGTACAGCAGGTACCTTGTCGTCTCCGAACTTAGCCCAGAATCTGGCGATGGCTTTTTGGTAGGGGTCGTGGGGAAGAAGGGGGTGGGGTTGGTTCCACGTGTCGTCGATGTATTCGAGGATAATTAGGGACTCGCAGACGGGCCTCCCGTTGTGGAGGAGGACCGGGACCTTGCGGTGCACGGGGTTGTATTGGAGTAGAGAGGTGGACTTGTTGTTGATGTCCTCGAAGACGGCGTCGTACTCCAGGCCTTTGATCTTCAGCGCCTGTACGGCCCTCATCGCGTACGGACTCGACCATGTCCTGAACAGCTTCAGATTTTCATGACTTTCTGCCATCACTCGTAATCTTAATCTCGCCTGTCTGTCAGTTCAGGAGGTTATTTATTACTTAAATTTTTATGTGGCTGTGGGGGCCTGATTTTAATATTAGTATTAATGATCATTAATTGCATCGATGATTTTGGTGGCCGGCTGTTGGTGGTGATGATGATGTAAGCGCTTGCATCACACTGGATATTATTGGACTGCAAATAGGGTGTTAATAAGTGTATAAACTGCATCTACATCTACATTGTGTGGAGATGAGTATTTTTAATAATTTCATATAGAATAAATTATTTGTATTATTTTATAAATTAAAATAATTTAATAATTTAATTAAAATCTAAAATTATAAAAAAAAAGATAAATTTAAAATGACAATTAATGAAATAGTTAATTTAATGGCTATTAATTAAATATATATACAATAATAATTTTATTTCTTTGTAGTGTTTGCGTAGAAATGTTCGAGTTTTTCATGAAATTAGATTAAAAAAAATTATCTAGAAAATTAGAAATTAAATGTGAGATTATTATTAAATCTCTATAATTAAAGAATAGGTGTGTTTCATTTGTAAAAATAAAATATCAAATTACTATTTAAAACAAAACTTAAAAAAAAAAAATCAATTTTAAATCAAAATCAGATCAGTCTAATAATTTCCATAATTATTTATTTTAATATATTAAATGTATATTTTTTTAATTTACAAATATTTCCACACAATAAATATATATTGTTAAATAGAGAAAACACATGAGTGTTTGTTTCCTGTTCGTTTGTACTACAGTCTCAGTGGAGAAGGGACTACGTAGAGACGCTGAGCCGATTTTTTGTTCCTAGGTGAGTGAATGATTATATTCGTCGCTTCGTTTATGAATTATAAGCTATGTGCATTGGAGATGTTCTTTCATCGTGTGCCAATTTTATGTTTCCGATGTTGGCGAATCGCCTTGTTGTTGTTTAATTTTCAGGATTAACTTTGAGGCTTTATGTAGGTTTTTGATGAACATAATTTCGTTTATCATTGAATTGTGATATTTTTGGAAATCGGAAATTATCCTATATCGTTCCTTCATTGTTTGAGCGTAGCGCGGATTCTCAACTTTTAAAAGTAATCATTGCATTTCCAATTTTTGTGATGTTGATGAATGTGTTCGGTTTAAAAAATCTCTAGAGAGAATTTGGATTTTTTAATCCCCTGGTATGAGTGAAACCGGAGCACATTTGATGCCGGTTTATAATTCCAAGACCTGAAATTTCTTTAACGAGCAGTGTTCTGTGAGTTGGAGAAGGTTCATGCTGCATTTGAATGGTAAACATTAGCATAAAAGTAGAAATCAGTACATAGTGATTTGCTTTGAAGTTTTATTCAATTTCTCTGTAGTTCGCTTTGAATTCCAAGAGTTTTTATTTTTATTTTTATTTTTAAACTCATATATTTTTTATGTGCCTGCCTTCAATTGCTCTGTAGAGCAGCTTTCAATTGACTCCTGCTGTAGCACTCTTTCTGGATCTAATCAAATGAAGAGGGTTCGTGCTTCCTTTTTAATTTCATGAACTTTCAAATCTGTTTTATCCTAAATTTTGGGAGTTTAAATTTTAACTTTTTTCTTATCTATATATTTTTTATGTGCCTGCCTTCAATTGCTCTGTAGAGCAGCTTTCAATTGATTCCTGCTGTAGCACTCTTTCTGGATCTAATCAAATGAAGAGGGTTCGTGCTTCCTTTTTAATTTCATGAACTTTCAAATCTGCTTTATCCTAAATTTTGGGAGTTTAAATTTTAACTATTTTCTTATCTTCAGTATGAAATTGGCCAATGGATTGGAGATGGGAGCTTCGGTGATGTATTTAAGGCATATGATACAAAGACGAGGGAAAATGTTGCTATTAAGATCATTCAGTTTCAGCATAGAGACACAGGCCTGCCCAGTGAAGTCTTAAGGGAAATCTCTGTGTTGATGGAGTTGGATCATGCCAATGTTGTAAGGTGATACTTTCTTATTTATTTGGTCCCATATACTTGGCATGAGTACGGAACCTAGCACTTTTTCGATTCCACAATAAGGTTTTCCATTGTTTCAAGGAAGGTTTTGAAGTGTTTGAATCCTGATAGTGATCTAACTTCTTGGAGTAACTAGAAGATTAAAGAAAGTGGAAGATATTAATGCCCTTTTCCATACCTTGTAGAAGTCATCTTGAATAGAGCTAATGTTTAAAATATCTTACTGATGATGTAATTATGAAATCAACTTTTTCATATTTTATAAAAATTCAAATTAGATAAATCTGAAGCAAGCAGAGAAAATCACATTTCCTTATGTACAGGTCAAAGACCATGCAGAGTTATGATGTTGCATAAAAATTTTGATTTTACTAGAAATATTAGGTACGATAGAATGGTCGTCCTTTCAATTTTTTTTTTTTTTATACATGGAAGAATCAATTATTACTCAAGGATTTCCGTATATTCATAAATACAAAATGGATGGTTAACAAGCAAAAGAAGAATTTTGTAATTTCAAGAAAGAAGTTTACGAGCAGGTTGTTGGATGTTGAATTGGCAAACTTTGGCTGCTGTCTTGTTTTTGAATCCATGGACTATGACCTTTCTGGGTTCATGGAAGCTCATCCAGAAACTTTTGCGGATCCACTAGTGATAAAAGTGAGTAAACTTCTTTCTTCCTTCAGAAGGTTTTAGGTACAATATGAAGAAGACATCCTTGTAGTGATGTGATGCAGAAGATTTCGGTGGATATTTTATCATGATGCTAGATAATCTGTAAATAAGTTTATCTGTTCGTCTGTCACTGCATCTATCTCTATTGATCTGATCTGAATCTAGGAATAAGCATACCTTAATCAGTATCTTAAATGAATTTAACAATTCTCATTGATAACTTTACAAGGAAAGTTCAACATGATGAAAAGGTGTGCTAATTCTTCAAATTTTGTTTGCTCGTTAACTGCACTTTGAGTTATACTTTCTGGCTCAACTTCAAGAGAAGCAATAAGCTTTGGTCGTCAAACTCAGATTGATTTCTCAAAATGTAACTCAATTGAAATGCTACAATGATTACAGTTCACATTTTATTTTGCATCTTTTTGTCTTGTGTTTTGGACATTGACATACTTAGATTGTCCTTTTCATGAATTGTGAAATGCACAAACCATCATAACCTTCGTGACTGTTTTGTTGCAGAAACTACTGCTCCAAATACTTGAAGGTGTCTCTTACTGCCATTCTCAAAAAGTTTGGCACCGAGACTTGAAACCTCCTAATTTGCTCATCAATTCTGACCTTACTATAAAACTTGCTGATTTTGGTTTCGCCAGGACAGTTGATGTTTTCCTTTCAAGCTATTCCGAGGATGTATGTTCACATTAGCACCTATCTTTCCTTTGACAGGTTTTAGTACCATTAGGTTCATTATCTTCCATGCAACTCAATTTTCAAGAACGTCTGATCTTAAGCATTAAATATATCAAAGTACATAATCCTGTACTTATCAACAAGAAAATGACTTATTTTAAGTACAACCATCTTAGTTCATGTTTTAAATTGTGATACCAAATTCAGGTATGAACTCTTAGACACCATCTGTATAATTAGGCAACAAATCTGTAATGTTGGTGTGCTAGAAGCATAAATATCTCATTGTCATAATTCATAAATTAGAAAGTCTATAAACTATTCACTTTCTATATCAAACCGACAGAAGTAATCACTTCAGAAGATGACCATTTCTGAGATTCTAGTTTCTTTTGTACCTGAAGAATCTTGTTCTATAAAATTTTATGATTGATTCTTCGATGTGTAACACGTGGATCTTCATCTGCATAGGTAGCAACTCTTTCATTTCAGGCACCTGAAATCCTGCTTGGCCTACCATACACTTCTGCTATAGATATATGGTCTGTGGGATGTATATTTGCTGAGTTGGTGACACTGGAAGTTCTCTTTCCAGGGACAAGTGATGCTCTTATGTTGCAGCTCATTGTCAGGTTAAAAATTGTTGAACTGCAACTTCTGCCTCTATCTTCAGAAAGTCTCTTGATTTTGTCATTTCTTTTTTCAGCTTGTTTGGTCTGCCTGATTCAAGCTACTGGCCAGAAGGAGCATCTGCCTTGTCAAAGAATTTAGGCTCAAAGGTAGTTTTATCAAGAGAATCAAAGTCTCATAAATCAACTTAATATTCGATTTTTTTATGTTTACCATATCTTTTTGTGGCGTTCTGGCTCTTTTTTTTCTCCCTTGCAAACAGGCAGTACCTACTGCATCCACACAGACCCTTAAGAGCATTGTCCCTCGCCTCGATCCTGAAGGATTAGACCTTTTAGAAGTAAGTTTTTGGCTCGATTTGGAACAAAATATAGTATTTTGTACATATTGTAAGCCAGTGCTCTCTAAATTCAATCTTAGATTCTTAAGAAGAATCTGTTTCCTTTTTAAGTTCTTTAGGAAATCAATGTTGTTCACTCTCTAAGTATTTGGCTTTTGCAGAAAATGCTGTCTGTCAATCCACATAAAAGGATTACTGCTGCTGATGCACTAAAGCATCCATACTTCGACGACCTGCGAGTGAATCATTAACCATTTCTACTTGAGATTTGGATATATGGATCCAACTTTGCTTTAAAAAAATAAATTTGTGTGACTACATCACAATATGATTTCTGCACTCTATTTTGTGCCTCATTCAGCAAAATTCTCGTTTGAAATAATAAGAAATCAAGTATCTGACATTGTTTATTTGCAAGCAGAAAGAATGAATCAGGGAGACAACATGGATCAGGTTCCACCATGAATCCTAGTCTTTGAAATCCTGGTAAATGAAACTCAACAGATTGTTTGCCACAGTGTAGCCCCCATCGATGACTAGATTGTGTGCCGTAATGAAGCCCGATTCGTCGCTCGCCAGAAACAGGACAGACTGTGCAACATCCTCCATGGTACCTCCCCTGCCCTTGATAAGGCTTGCTCTCTCACCCACAATCTTGGTCACATCCTCTGGCTGGAGATCCGGATTCCCCATCAGCACTCTGTAGGGATCCAGGAGCAGCTCGGAGGGCACGCCGTGCGGCAGAATGCAGTTCACCCTAATCCCGTGTACTCCCAGCTCGCAGGCGGTTGTCCTGGCGACGCCAAGGATGGCATCTTTGGACATTGTGTAGGCATGGGATGCCAGGCCGCCCATGACGGCTGCAGAGCTCGACGAACATATGATGGATCCGCCGTGTTTCCCCTTGATCATGGCGCGCGCAGCGTACTTGATCCCGTGCACCACCCCGAACAGATTCACTTCCAGAAGAGCCATCAGCTGCTCAGTTTTGAGATTGGTGATGCTCCCGCAAGGACCGCCTATGCCGGCATTGTTGAACATGATGTCCAGCCGCCCTTTCCAGTCGAGAGCTAGCTGGACCGCACGTTCCACATCGCTCTCAACCGACACATCGCAGTGGATGTACCTGGCTCCAATGGAATCTGCTAGCTTTTCGCCTGGCTCGTCGAGGATGTCGGCAATGACAACATATGCCCCGCTTTCAGCAAACGCCTTGGCCGTAGCAGCCCCGATCCCCCTTGCTCCACCTGTTACGACGGCGACCTTCCCTGGCAGTCTACTTTGCAGAAGAAACAGGAAAGAAAGGTAAGAGATCTGAAAGCATTTGAGAAGCAGAATGAAATCACCAAGGTATGTACTACTACTACTACTACTAGTACTAGTTTGTATTGTGCTGACCTTTTTGGTTTTGGGGGAAGAACGTGAGCTGTGCCTGTGGAATCCATTTGATCTGTGTGATGGATAGTTTGGTTGCAATTTTGGTGGTATATATAGCTGATACTTAACTGATTATTTAATCCTGCACACTCTTTTCATTTACACAACTAACCTCTCTCTAACTGCAGACGTTTTTTTCTACTAATTTCCAGGTGTAGAGATGAGATCGAAACATAGAAGATTTGTGGCTTCCTCCTCTCAATCATAGTATTTATTTATTTCCAGATATAATCTAATGTTCTTGTCTTATAAAAGACACAACACAGCCCCACTTCATGAGCAGCTTAATCCAACACAGCCCCACTTCAGTGCTTCATTTGGATCAGTCTATCTTCCTTCTCATTTACTACTCCATTATTATTGCTTGTCATCTTATCTTGCCATGAGTTTAGGTCGGTCTTTACATGAGGCATATACAGATCTGTTGTAGTAGCTGCAGGCTATGTCTAAAAAGCTGCAGGCTTTGAATAAAACACATACATACACACATTGATCTTCCTGTTATAAATGAGTATTTTGAATTAAAAACACTTTGATGTGTCGCCTCCATAGCCTGTCTTCCGCCACCGTGGCCATCGCCCGTGTTTCTGGCCGTCCCGGTATTGTTGGAGCTTCGGGTCGGGTCCAATGGATGGGCTTTCGCCCATTGTCCAAGACCCGCCCGGATAGAGTCGGTCCAAAGGAATTCGGATCTGGTTTGGACCAGTATTCAAACATATTCGGGTCGGGTCAGGATCCAAAGAGAGTACTATAAATTACATCTAAATTATGTTAAAATAAAACTCGACTTTTACTTGGTATAATTTGGGTTCACCGGAGAATGTCTGCTCCCATAGATTCGAAGGCGCAATCGGCCTCCGATCTCCAAAAGGAGGTTTATTTTCTAATAAAAATAAAAATTTCAAGTTTTTTACCTTCCCCGTTGTACTTGATTTAATTTTATTTGGAGCGCTAATTCAGTGAAGTTAAAATTCTGGTTGTGACGACGATGATGATATTATTGTTTACAATTATGCGAATGCAGGTGAGGAATCATGAAGTTGCTTTGGCTGAACTTAGTAGCCTTGCTTCTTCTCGAGTACGAGTTTGTGAGCTTGTAATTTAGTTTATGCTTTTTGATCATCTTCTGTCGCTTTTCACTTGGAATTTCTTACTTGAACTCGTTCGTATATGTTTTGATAGTGTTGCCGTATGTTAAATTATTTTGTAAATAGTAAAATCTTGGGGAAAGAAATAGCTGTGGGAGATTATGTAAATAGGATGTGTGATATTTTGAATAGATAATATGTTTTTGACCTAATATTTTAAATGAAAAAAATTAGTCTTGGATTTGATGTTTTTTATTGGGAAAAACTTTAATTGTTTCAATTTCGCTTGTATTGCCAATTGTAAATTATTTCAATCATTATCCATTGATGTCTTTGTTGTATTCTGTGATTATGCAATCCCATCAAGGTTCAACTGTATGAAGTTTCAATTCTATCTAAATTTTGTTTTCCCTTCGAAAGCTTGAAAATACTATCTTGGACTAAGAAATTTGTGTTAGTTTGATGTATAACTATTAGTAAGTGACAAGAATATTCACAACTGGAGACAAATTCTATTGCATTTCGTAATTAATAGTCTGTCATTCTTGTTACAAGCTTCTACGTGTTCTCTTAGTAATATGAACTCTTCGGGATAATTAACTAAGCTTGAGTTGAAAATTGCTCGGTAATTATTGGAGCCAAGCAAGTTTGATTCATACAGATAAATGACCTGCTCAATAAAGGTTGTTAAATTGGGTATGCTTTTAGTTTTCTGTTTCTTTGGTATGGGGTTTGATTAGTCCCGACAAAGCTCAAACTTGCTTCTGAACCAAAAATTTCTTTATTGAGTCAAGCTCAAGCTTATCTACTAAATCAAGCAAGCTTGAGTTCATCTTGATAAATGTTAGATTTGAGTTTAAAACCAAAAGTGCAGCTTAGCTTGGTTTGTTTAACAGCTTTACTTGGAGATTGACTGTGCTGCAGCTTCAAGAGCTTCAGTTTGAAGTTATTTTCCGATGTGAATGGGCTTTATATTCTTCTCCTTTCCACCCTTTTACTTCTGTAAATATTTAGCTTTTACCAGAGCTAATTTTTGTATATTATCAGCATGTAACTTGATTAAATGATTTATTGGGAGAGTCGAACAGTTTGATGCAATTTTTCGCAAACCATTGGAGTTAGGTTGAACATACTTTCAAATTTACAAAGGGGAATCTGATTATATACTTGTGTTAGTGTGTTTACTTTCTCATGGACAGATTTTGTTGTATGTCTTTTTCTTTCCTTCGACAAATTTGATGATAGCTGGCCTAAATAGGTAGAAAATTCATATTAGCACAGTTCCATGACTTGCTTAACAGCCATTGTTGATGCAGGTAGTCTATCAAAGAAATGGTAATATATTCTTCCGGACAACTGTGCCAAAAGCAACAGCTTTTGAGCAAAGTAAGTCTCATGAAATTACCCATTCGTGTTGTTGTTATTTGTATTAAAACTGTTACATGTCGATGATTGCGTAGAACAACTGGAAAGCGCTAAAGCTAGGCTGCCGAAAAGCTAAGCCAAGCCCGTCTTAACATCTTCGATCCTCTTATCCCGAGAGTTTCTGGTTGAACTTTCAGATTACAATCCGTTGCTTTTCTTGTTGAATCAGCTACATTCTTGCAAAGCTGACAAAATTTATATTAATCTTTACAATGTCGAGATGATCATAATCGTTTTTGTCATAATGGTTGAATGAGTAGTCGATAATAATGTCTTCATAAATTTATTTCACCAAAATACTCATTATCTTTGATTTCGGCCATTGATTCCAAGTTTGGAGTGATGAGCAGCAGATACATACACACAAAAATTCAAAGCTCCAGAAAAGTACGATCGGATTCTGTCCTAAACAAACAACTTATTCAATCTGCTCTGCTCTGCTCTAATGGCTGTGTATTGTTCGACTTAAGAGGTAAAAAAATCTTAGCTTGGATGCACCTTCTTCTTTACATGGCAATTGCAGTCCTCCACATTTGTTGTCTTACTCTTACACCCCATCTTCTTCTTCATTTCTTTCCATATGTTCACTCTCTTCTTCTTCTTTCTCACTCTACCCCCACTCTTCTTTTTCTCTATCTGCATCTCCCTCTTCATTGCATTGCACTCTCTCTCCAGCTCCATCACCTTACTCCCCATCTTCTCTATCTCCTCACGCGTCGCCGCTGCTGCCGTCGTCTCACCATTGCTCTGCATTTCTTTAGGTATCACCTCTCTCAGCTTCAGCTGCGCCGCAAACAGCGCCTGCACGATGATCCGCACCGGGAGCCTCTCGTTCTGCGCGGCGTGCTCGCAGGCTTCGATTGACAGCTTGTTGCAGTCCAACACCTTGCAGAGCTCCTCCTTCTCCGACTCTGTCAGGTACCGGTGCTTGTCGAGGTAGATATCGATGGCCCTGTATATTCCATCCGAGGTTCTCGGAGTCCCCGTCGACGCTGCAACCGATATGTCGGCAAACTCGAGGAACGTGCTCACTTTCAGGTCGATGTCGGCCGAGATCTCCGCCAAGAAGTCGTCGATGAGGTCAGCCACGGTGTTCAGCCCGCACGCATGTGGCCCGACGTAGTTGCAGTAGAAATGCTTGAGGATCCGTCGTACAAGCTCGGTGTCGTACTGCTCGTCCTTCGCGTACCCTTGTGAAGGTATTAACAGATCGTTGACGGTTGCCTGATCTAACTGCTTTCCGATTCTGATCTCTAACTCGTTCTTGCAATCTGCGGTAACATCCAGGGCGACGCTGTAGCGGAGCAGTTCAAACAGGAACGAGCAAGGAACAACGTCTCGCTGCTGAGGCAGCAGACTTACGACAGCTTCGACTGTCTCCTTGTAAGAAGTCTTCTTGTAGATTGGCAAGTTTTCTCCTGTTTTAACGTTCGAAAATACCCATTTCTGGGTATATTGACACAGATTTGCAGCTACGTATTCTTCCGGGGCGTGGCGCTGAGCCATCGCGCGAATTATAGGCATATAAAGTCTCAACGACAGCGTCGTTAGATCCTCGGATTTCCATTCGACCCCAAAGAGTTTCTCCCGGTCGATAGGCTGGTGAGTCTGGTGAGTGTTTTCATTCTCATCGTCACTTTCGTCATCATCCTCGTCGTCTGAGTTTGGATCCGCGAGCGGTTCTCCGAGCAAATGGGGATCTTCTAACACCATCAAGATTATCGATTCCACGCAGTAGGAAACCAGGCCGAGCTTCACTGCATGTTGGAGGACATTCTCGGCGCTCTTGAGAGCCTTGATGCAGTTGTTCCAGCTCGTCACTATGCAGCGCTCGAAAAACATTAAAGCCGTGCTCAACAAATTGTCACGGCAATGGCTGTCCGTCATCTCGAGGTAATGCGCGACACAAGCGATGCGGACTATGTTTTCTGTTGACAGGTTGATCTCGAAGCCGTGGCAGAATCTCCCGACAAGCTCCATCGATTCTTGATCAGCCGGGATGTCGCGGAGTGCCGCCGAAAGATCCTCATATGGATTCCTCTCCAACAGGTTCGATACCTTTGCCGATTTGCTAGCCAAAAGCTCCTGAATAAAACCAAGATGATATATATATATATGTGTGTCTGTAGTGAAATTATTTGAAATTTTTACCTTGTCGAGGGTGAAATGTGATCCACAGAGATGAAGCTGGACCTCTGATGTGAATCTGGACCTTGGCCTCCTGAAGAATTGGGGATTGTTACATTATTTATATCTATCTGTCGCCATTGTTGAATAATGGAAGCTTTTTGAAGGAGAAGGAGCAGATTGTTTACCAGGTAGGAGATTCTATGATTGCTTTTCTGGCTGCCATTTCATTGAAATGAAATTGTATTACACATACCCTTTCTTGGACTGCACTTTTCACTGCCATACAAAATGATAAGGATCGATTTGAAGGATATTCAGCATTTGCAGATTTCATTCATGAAAAATGTATCAATTAACACCACCTTGTGAGTGCGCAATGAATTCAAATCCAAATCCAAATCAATCACTGCTACAAGCACACAAATTCCTACGAGCAAAGAGCAAAGTGGGTGAACGAAGGGAGGAGAATTAAGCAACAGAAAGCATGAATGTGTAATAAAGTACTCCTCACCATTACGCCATGGAGATAAAAGATAATGCATTGGCTAAAATAATAATAAATTGTAATTGGAAAAGGATTCAGTCAGAGCATTGCAGTATGAGAATGAATTGTTCAAAGGAGTCAAAACCGGAAGAACAGCAACAGCAACAGCACATAAGATCGAATCAAATCAAAATCACAACAAACAGCCCAATCGATAGGGCTTAGGGCCATGGATTTTGCTTTCAATTTTAATATTTTTGGGCTTCAATCCTATTCAAATTAAACTCTTTCATGTACTTTTAATTTTAATCTACTTAGATATATTTTAATTAATATATTATCGAAGACCTGGTTGAGTCTTGAGGTGCCTTCTCTTGGCAATGCACAAATTACCTTTTTTAGTTATTTTTCTAATAAAATATTAAATTTAAATATTATTTAAATTAAAAAATTCAAATTTAAAACACAAACACAAACCAAATAAAATTTTGATATCTCTTGAATAAACAAACTGAACTGAGAAAAAATTACGAATAAAACAAAGGTCTAGTAGGTTTAAGGAATGCAAGATGACAGACATGTTCAATGAATTTAAGATATATATACCAGATTAATGTTTGTTGATAATAATCATGCTGGATATATATAACAAATTTGTTTTGTATTAACAAAACATATGAAATTCACCAAATGGAATAATTCAGCCATTTGACCAATTCAATCAAGAAATAAAACTCCATACATATATATATATATATATATATCTCCAATGTAAGAACCTGGGAACTTACAATCCTTACATAGGTTAGTCATATTTGACTTGTGTTTTGTTTCACAACTCCAAACATTCCTTATATATATATTATTATATAGCATGTTGTGAGATCAAATAGTGATATATGCTGCGTAAATTATCATTATATGTTATTAGTTGTTCGAATGCAAATTCAAATTCCATATTGAAAAATGTGACGAAGATCTAATACTTTTTTAAGTCCTACGTAAACTTCCCTAGATCAAATAGTGACATACGCTGTGTAAATTATCATTATATGTTATTAGTTGTTCAGAGTGCAAACCCAAATTCCACATTGGAAGAGTGACGAAGATCTAACACTTTTTAAGTTCTACGTAAACTTCCCTACGAGGTCTTTTGTAAGAAGTACAAAAACAAATTTGTGCAAACTCAACCAAACAATATCATACTAGTATTAGTTAGCTCAGTCCCAACATTAATATTTCTATTAACATATGGATCATTTTTGTTATTTCACTCAATATCCCCTAAAAATCACAATGACTTTAAAAAAGTAGTGACTCTAGAATAAGAAAACTAATGAAAAACTAATGGTACCTAAGAATAAGGACACACCCCCATAACCTTAAAGTAATGTTAGATGTGGTGATCATCCCAAGTAAATCCTATGTTCCAAAATCTAGACACACCAAAGATAGATTTTTCACACTTCATGTTATTTTCTCCACGTAAGTCTTCTAAACAAATAAGTTTCGGAATCACCAAGAATGACAGTGACTCAATTACTACTATATATTACCACTCATTCATCAAGATATAAAATAAATAAATAAAGAAATGACTTGATCCTTCTCCAATAGGGTGCATGTCAATTCTTCTTCTCTAGGAAACAGAGGGCAATATAAATTAATACTATAATTTGCCAAAAATCAAATTAGGGTTACTGCAGATAACTAATGGCTAATAAAATACACAGTGAAGCATTTGTGGAAGCATTCTCTTGTATGTATGTATACAAAATCAAGAAATGACAGCCATGGAACACTCTGGTGCTAGTCACATTTTTCCAATTTAGTTGTATGTAACGATGCCAGACATGCCAATTATAACACCTAATTGAATAAATAAAACAAATTTCATGAACAAAAATCCAACTTTATTAAAAGGGTTGCAATTGCAAGCATATATGCCATTCCTATTAGGATCACGATGCTCAATTTGTCAAACCCTCAAAACAGGCAGAAGAATATAATTAAATGGATAAAGCCCACTAAGAAAAGCATCATTTACTCTAAAAAAGCAGAACAAATCTCAAGATTTTTCCAGGATTCCATGCAAATAATAATTTAAGAAACATGTAAGAATATGAGAAAGAAAAGAAAACTAAAACAGGTGGAGTTTGTGTTCGAACCTTGTACCAGTTGAAAACATTGTAATATTCGCCGCATTGTAATGTCAATCCAGATTTGTATTCCCCTGTCACCATCAGAATATCACAATATGCCACTCTGCAGAAACCATGCCAAGAGAAAGAACAATTAGCATTTAGTCTCACCTGCTCAATGCCGAGTCCTATCATCCCGCGATCGAAATCGGTCCCCGATATCGATATCGCCAGCCCCAATTCACCATCCGACATACTGGCTTCCAGCAAGTCAGTAAGAACCACTAGATCGACGGGATCGCCGATAATCTCCTGGCCGAAGAAGCTCAGTGATCTCCTCAAATGGAAGGCTAATTCAGACCTGACTGAGAAAGGCCTCCTGGAATTCAACAGAAGGAATCGACTGATTGAAGAAAGATATGCTTGCAGCAGCCCCTATTCCAAGGGTCTTACAGACTTTTCTCTTGATATCCATAGACAAAAATTGTCTGAAACGAGTCCAGGGAGGGAGAGCTATGTCAGTTCAGGCGGGAAAACCGGTGGCCGGCCTCGATGGACTTCTTCCTGGTTTGCGCCAAAGAAGCATGAAAGAAGCTATTCTTCGTCGAGCTCGTCCTGGACGAAAAGCTCCAACGAGACAAGGTTCATGACTTCATCTTCTTCCTCCTCGTCGTCCAAGATCAATGAGAGTGGAATCTTGGTGACGAAAATGAGGGCCAGGGTGACAAGAAACGATCTCGAATTTGAGAGTCAGGGTACTTTCATATCATCAACAATGGAGAAGCCATTGAGGGAGAGAGATTCTGAGCGGTCTGTGCTGCTGCAACCGGAGCCGTTACCGTATCCACCCCAGCAGATATTACCATCACCTGTTGGCATGCTTTCGCCGCCAACATCACCACCGCCACCGCCGCCACCACCACCACCGCAGCCTTTTCCACCACCAGCTGTGCAAGCACCACAACCACAGATATCGGCAGCTGGAGAATTTGAATATGAGGAAAGGGATGTTAAGACAATAGTCAACGAAAGAAAATATGTCTGGGCAGACATATATCGACCTGTTGAGCTGCAACATTTTCTTTGCAATAGGAGCACAGCGCTTTCACTGCAAACCATGGCAAGGGGTTGGCATGACCGACCCGAAGAATGCGGACACTTCATATTTGAAGGAAGTCCCGGCGTGGGGAAGAGAACCATGATGTGGGCTTTGCTTAGGGAGATATTTGGAAAAGACAAAGTCGAGGTATATGTACAAACTCTGGTAGATATGCCGGAAACCTGAAACAGTAAAACCATTGTGAATATTAATGAGTATTCAGATTGTAATTCACACTCCAACAATAACTCAAATTTAAAGCAAGAGATTAAAGCAATAAGACTAACAGACTCGCATAATAGCAGTGATTGAATTATTTCCATCGACTTGCTATGTCTTATGATTTGTGTCTGACTTCCTGTATACTTTGCCACAGGCAAAAGAAGAAAGCAGGACATTTTACTTGAAGGTATATTCAATATTCCGTACAATATCTTCGATTGATTTAGCATCATATGTATCATTTATTCATCTAGCTAAGAACACAATATAACTGTACTTCATCTCAATACATCAACTTCATAACACAAACTCTTGTATTCATGCTTGATATTCAAGCAGATTCAATGTGTAAAAGTGCTTTCTATTCTAAATTTCTAATCACGAAATTGTGTTACATTAATAAAGTTTAACAACATTTAAACGAAAAAAAATTAAGACAGAAACAGAATTCTAACCAAGGACCAACTGTGAAAATAACTAAGGTTATAAGTAGCAACAGAACACACGTAATAAATTACCCATCATTTTCCATTAATGAGAGAAAAAACAGGATCATGGTTCTCGAACAAGCCGGTTTCATTGCAATGACCTAACCTATTTGATCACAGGGGGAAGCAGTGCCTAGCATTCAAGTAAATTTAACTGCATCACCACATCATGTCGAAGTGAACCTCTCTGAACTCAAAGGGTACGAAAAACATGTAATTGTTGAACTTATCAAAGGGAAGCCTTTGATGTCTGATGCAACCATGTGTGCCACAGAAGCAAAGTGCAAAGGTATTAGTGTAGTCTTTAAAGCATGTGTTTCCTTTTCCTAAAGAACAATGACATTTTTGTATTATCAATGGATGCAGCTATAATTCTGCATGAGGCAGACAAGCTATCTATAGATGCACTGTCATATATCAGGTGGATGTTAGGGAAGTTTGAAGGCTGTAATAAGGTATTCTTCTGCTGCAGTGATGCCAAAAAACTTCAGGTCATAAAACCGATCTGCACATCTGTTCAACTCCTAGAACCGTCAGTGACAGAGGTAGTAGCATAACATTTTAAAACCTCCCAACTTATCAAATCTCAGTCTGGCTTCAAAGTTGTTTAAAAACCCATCTTTGGTAGATTCTTGAAGTTTTGACAAAAATAGCAAAAGAGGAAAACATAGAATTACCTCAAGTGCTGGCAAATAAGATCGCTAACAGCTCCAAGAATAACCTGAGACAAGCCATACGCTCCTTTGAAGCCACTTGGCACTTCAGGTATGTCCAGCTATTCAGGAATATAAAAATAAAACTTTTGATGATTTCACAAGTCCAGAATTGTGCTAAGATTCTCCATTATGACTAATATTTTGCATATATAATGAAGTGGGTGCCAAGCTGTTTTGAAGGAAGATCAAATTATCAAAACTGGGTGGGAGGATAAAATAGCTAATATTGCTAATAACGTTGTAGAAGAGCAAAGCCCAATGCAGTAAGTACTTTTTAACACACATCGAATACTCATTTGGTTGGAGGAAATTGAAGCTAAACAGCACAATTGTTTCTTCTCAACAGGCTGTATTATATCCGTGGAGAAATTAAAAATCTCATAGAGCACAATGTAGCTCCAGAGTACATTTTCCAAGTAAGATCAGATAATTTTTCAGTGTTTTTTACATGAAAGCTTATAATTCACAATGTAATTCGGTTTTTTGGCAGACTTTAAAGGAAGAGCTGCAAAAGATTTTACCTGAAAAGCTACAGATGCAGTTTATCCAGCTGTATGAAGAATATCAAGTAAAAACCTCCTACTAAATCGTCTACTATCATTAATGCCAAATATAAAATCTAAATATATTCTGATTCACAGAACAATAATAGTGCGAAGAAGGGCATGCTCTGTGGAGACGTGGAAGAAGGGCTCAGTGAAAGACAGCATGATCAGAAAAAGAACGTGCAAAGGTTTATGAAGATTGAAGGTAAGGCCAGCATCCATCAAATGAATGGTGTGGCATGGAAGTTATACATGCCCCCTCTTAATCCTAACTCTTATGATTGTCTTGCCTTAATCACTTAGGATAGGCCTAAATAGAGGAATATTGTAACATCTCATAATGCAAAGATCGACAAGAGGAAAATTAGTCTTAGAAGAGATAGATGTGAATCCTATTTCTGCCATAACTATTCAACGTAGTAAATTTAGAAACATCATCTAAACGATTTGGTGTTTGCCTAACATTTAAATTAAAAAAGCAGGGGAAGCATTTACAAAGATATAGATATCTTTCCTTAATACACGAAGCAACTTCCTTGTCACAATCTAGACAAAGCTTAGCTTATCCAACGGGAACCTACTTATTTTCTTCTGATTCATTAGCTATAACCATGGTAGAAACAACTGAAAAACCGACTAATTTTACCAATTACAAATGAAAATAAAAATCTCCTATGATAGATAGTATCATGAGTTCCAAGTTTTATCAGTTGCATTCTCTTCTTGTTAGGTCAATTGGAAACTATGATTGTTCTATATATATGCATGGCACAAACTGACTACCTGTATTCCTTCGACAGAGTTTATCGCACGATTCATGAGCTGGTATAAGGGTTCCTCCTCTATCAAGAACATGGAGGTCTGACTGAGAACAACATCCATCCAATCCAGAAAGGCTTCTTTATGACTTCATAATCAAATTTTCTGCTATCATTCCATTTACAAACACCTGTTGTCAATGTCCTCAAGTTTCTATGCCCCAATAAAAACAAGACTAAACACGACGAATAACTTAGCTTTATGTGGCATAAAGCTACCTACATTACAGCCATGAATGCTGTATAAAACCTTTTCAGGATGAACTCTTCCTTGGCTAATAAATTATGTAAAACACATATTACCTCACGTTTTATATAGCATATAGATGCGTTGATTACAATATTTGCTTCATAACTCTGATTTTACCATCAAATAACAGCAGATTGCGACGATGGACCGGCCGACGACCTGCAGTTGAATCCCTAAAGTCTGGACCAAGGTGAAAGACATTGAGCTGTTCGGGAAAGAGTTCTTCGGCGAGTAGACTTCCGACACCGCCGCCATGACGAATCTGAGTCCAGGATTCGCCGTCCGTACATTCCCTTGACTCGGAAGCCATTAACCAGATTGATGTTTACAGTGATGTTCGCGGGAAGGAAAATCTTAAACTGTGCGTGTATTAAACAGATAGTACTGTTTTCTTTCTTTTTTCAACACGCGATAGAACACGCCCGTGTCGGAATAAATCAAGGATTTCATTTTTACCTTTTAATCTCAATTTTGCTTTTTATTTAGATATTCTAAATACAAAAGAAGTAAAAATATTTAAAACAGTATACAATCCTCCCATTAAAAAAAATTAAATCAATTCAACACAATACAATACAACTTTTTATTACTTTCCTGTATAAATCACTCCACCCCATTTTTATTTTACATACAATCTCTATACAAATATAAAGAATTCAATCCCAAAAAAATACCCAAAAAATGAAAATGAAAATTCAAAAAAAAAAAAAAAGAAAAAAAAACTTTATATTCGATTTACACAACAATTAAATTTATACCAAATAATATTTATCTTCAAACCTCATCTTCACTCCCATAATTTCTGGCACTCACAGCTTGGCTCCTTTTCTTCGCCGCCCTCCGCCGCCGCCGGCTCTCGTCGAACTTCGGCCGGCCGGTCTCCTTAAACCTCCTCCTGATCTCCGGATCGACGTCGCACTCCGGCGGCGCCGCCGGGTACCTGACGGTGTCGTAGCAGTAGGAGTAGTACATGTACTTGGACCTGAATCTCTTCATGGCGAGCCTCTGTTTGGGAGTGATTGTGGCGAGGTCAGCTCGGTCGAGGAGGTCGCCGGCGCCGTCGCAGCCGGCGGGAGCCACCACCTCCTCGAGAGGATCGGAGGTGCAGCCGTGGAGGACGAGGTCGGTGAACTCGGCAACGAAAGGGGCATATTTGTAATTTGCTCTGTACTTGCCGCCTGACGTGGCCCAATCAGAAGCGTCCCAAATAGTAGCGTATAGGCCCATGGGCTTTGACGGGAAATCATGGCCCATTTCGTCTTTCCGTACGATCTCCCGAATTGGGACATCGTCAATATAAAATCTACAATAAAAAATAAAATAAAATATTATTAAAAACTGCGAAGAAATTTTTTTTTTTTTTTAAAAAAAGAGAATCTTATCCAATATCACATGTGGGATTAGGTTACTGTTCTGTCTGCGTGTCTCATAATGTCCAAACTAAGCCCATATTCCACAGCCATTATAAAGAAGTATATAAAATCAAAAATTCTAATTTGATTTGATTTGGTCTCGTACGTAACGTAATTTGCAAGCAAATAAAATAAATTAGTTAGGAATTATTGAACCTAATAGTCAGTACTTGTCAACATTGATGGTAATTTATTAGTGATGAACATAGCATAGGATTGGTTCCACTGTAATAAGAAGTCCAAATATTTGTCCTAGCTAATTTCTGCTCACGGGCTCGTACCTATACATAAATTATGATCGCAAAAGAAACCAACTTTGCAAAATCAATTTTTGAGGCCTTCCTTACATTGCATGTGACAAAAAAATAAAAATTGGGAAATTTTTCCATGATCTTGAATTGTCTTTATATTTTCTTTATTCTTCAGACATGTGAAGTTTGAAAAGTATGGATACTAAACAGTGAAAATATGGTAATAAAGTAAGAGCTAGTTTCGTGGGCGAAGCAATCTCTATATGTGTATATATATATATATATATATATATATATAATGGTCAAATTTGAGATGAAGAAGTAACTAAATTAAATTAAATTGGATTAAATTGTGTAATTGCTTACATGATGAGGGTGGTGGTCCAGAGGATTGTGTAAGAATGGAAATCCTTGGAAGGGTCGAACCAGAGGGAATACCTTTCTTCCCTCCCTCTGTGGGTGCTTCCATTGCCATACATGTTTGTCTGAAACCGCCATGCTTTGCCTCTTATGTTCCCCAGGAATTCGAAGTCCAATTCGTCGTGCGTCTTACGGAATATGTCTCCGTTGCTTGTCTGATCGATCATCAAAATTCAGACATACTCGAATTTCAATTTGAATTCGAGTTCATCAATTGATCGAAAATTAATAAACTAACTTACGTAGAAGGCGACGCAGATTCCGGCGGTGTAGTCCGACGGCAATTTGATTTTCGCGCTGAACAGGCCGTGGCTGTAGAGGTCCGACGATCTGAATCCTGATCCTGTAAGAAATTATACACTGTTATTTCACCATAGGAAAATTCAATCACAGAGAAACACAACTCTACATATATATATATATGTATATATGTATGTATGTATATGTACCTGTGTATTGGTTGAGATGGAGCTGGACGGAGCGATCGTCGGAGGAATGGAAGATGTTGGCGTCGCCGAAGATTGGACTGAAGCCTTTTGAGAAAGGAATAGTGGAGACGTTGCCGAAGCTCGCCGCCGCCGCCGCCGGAAAGTGATGAGCCACCACCACGGCGGCGACGGCGAGGAGTATGCGCAGTCGTATGTTATGCTCCATCTGTGCTTTTGTAATTGCACGCACTCTACACTCACAAACTCCTCCTTTCCTTTCTTATATACATATATATATATGTATATGCGGGTGGGGTGGGTGGGTTGGGGGTGGTAGGGGAAGATGATGAAGATGAATTGTTTAATCAGTGGACATAAGAAAAAGTAGTAGAGCTACATGCGAGGGCATATTTGGAAATTCGCAGGAAGTGAAGACTCGTTCAATTATTATTATTATTATAAATAATAAAAAAATATACTAAGTATATTTTTTTAACACATACGTAGGAATTCAATATACTACTTGAACTGATTATGGTACGATAAATTTTATAATCCTATTATTTATTGATTTAAAAAATATAAATATATGTACATGAGTATCCAAAGTGAAGAAAAATAAAGAATGTTGCCCTCATTTTTAAGGAAGAAATAATTAACCAATTAATAACTCATTAAGGCATATTAAAGCTGCTTTAATTGATGCGACCACACCTTTTTTTTTAATCAATATTTATTTATTTATAAATTCTAATAGTGAATTATCACATACATGACAAAATTTAAATTATACACTACAAATTATCAAAAGTTGAAATTGAACCCTTATTCGATTAAAAAAAAAAGTAAAAAAAATTATTCAAATGACTGTGACATTATTGTAAAGTATCAATCAATATGGTTAGCTGTACTAATTAGCTTTTAATTAAGGCATCATAACGTTAATCTATTGCACCAAAAAGTCAAAAATAGCAATAATAATAGGAAATATTTAATATTAATTTAAGTGAAAGTGATTTTACTTATTATTTTAAAGATTTGGATACACAAAGTGTTTAGAAAAATATTAAAACTAAAATTCATAATTTCAATTTCTTAAAAAAAAAAAATAACAATATATAATTTTTAATACTGTTATAATTTAAAATTCAGCAAACCCATTAATCATTGTACCGATACTCGAAATAGCTAAATACAAAAAGTCAGTATGACCAAAAGAAAATTAAATATGTGTAGAAAGACTAAACTGCCCCTTAATTAATTATACTGGGGCTGTCAATTAAATTAAGTTTGGCCGTATATCTAAATCAATATTATATTTTTATTTATTGATTAAAATGATCGTAAGTGGTGTGACGGTTTTCTGTATGAATTTTTACATGCAACATGACGATGGGCGGGGCTACGACTTTGGTATAAAAATTAATATTTTATTTAAAAAGGAGCTGTCCACGTGGCTAGATCAGAACACTCGATGCAACTTGTTAGATTTTAAGGTTGTTTTATTAGTATTTTATTTTAATTTTTAAAATATTTTGTTATTTTTGAAGGAGAAGAGGAAGAAGAGTAATCCTTTTCTGGGATTGAGCAATTATTGCAGTTGACGATAAGAACAATGTCGGAAATAATTTGTGGACATTAATTTAATTTATAATTAAATTAGTATTATTGAATTAGCAAATTAAAATAATAATAGTAATAATATCATAATTTGCTATCAACTTACAGTTGTCATTGCAAGACTTGCATGAATTGCCAGTTTTGTTGCTATTCAACACGCAATTGGATATATTAAGGGGATGTTTGTTTGTATACATTTTTAAACATATTTTTTTTACTTTATAAATAAAAAATATATATATATATATATTATATTTACATGTTTGTGTTTTTTGTTACTTATAGGAGAGGAATGGATCACTTTTGGAATCATTTCTTGATTTCCAACCAAGAAATGTTTTCTTTTTTCTTTTTTTTTTTTTTTTTTGAATGAATGTTTTTCTTCACTTTTACAAAATGTGTATGTATATTATCAGTTATGTGTATTCATTTATTTGTGTTGGAACAATATTTTTCTCCAACTTTTTTTGGCATATGGTTCTTCTTGCTTTTCTCCTGCTGCCTTTTTCTGTTTCCATTCAGGTCATTTCAACAGACTGCCTGCAACTCTGATGGTCTACTCTTCTCGATTTGGGAACCTTAGAAGAGACAAAAAGAATGAATTTTGGGGTGGTCAACCTTTGACAGAATTCATGCAGGATTACATCATTCCACTTTCGTGCAAAGGGTTTTAATTGAGGTTGTCCTGTATGCCTTGTTTGTCTGCTTCTTGGTTTGTTATGTGGGAAGTTTTGTGGTTGTTGCATAGGTTAGAGAGAGAGAACTGTTGTGAGAGAAAGTAAGTTAAATCCTCTCAACCTCAACCCTTCCCTTCTCCATGCATTGAAAGAGTGCTTGTCACATTTACTTGCCGGAGACATCGTCGGAGGAAGAAGAGATTGGAAATCCGATCAGGAGATTCGTCCAAAGTCTGAGCAACCCTGCTATTTGCTAGTTGTCAGTACGAGTTCGTGACAACTTATACCTGTGGAGGGATTTTCCTAGGTGGTTTGCGTTATAGTATGGGATAAAGGAGTTTTGGGCTGTTTAGTTCATAATCAACCTTGATTAGTGAACTTCTCCTGGATTGGAATCCCCCGGATGTAGGTTGGTTATAACCGAACCGGGTTACCAAATATCTTGTCTTTTATTGCTTTGGATTTTGCCCTTATTTCGTTGACAAGATAATGTTACAACTGTGATTTTACCACGCTTCGGGAGTTGGCCCATTTGGAAAAGTGTACAAGAATTTATTGGGGTTGCACTTATTCCATCCCAACATTTGGTATCAGAGCGGTGTTCTCTAAGTTGCTGAGTAGATTCTTTCACAGTTGAAAAGATGAGTAAGGAAGGTCGATCTACATCGAGACCTCCATTGTTTGATGGAACAAGTTATCGAAGTTGGAAAAACAAGATGGAAGCTTTCCTGATGCAACAAGGTGAAGATGTTTCTGAAGCTGTTGAGTCTGCATGGTCTCATCCCATGAAGACCATCCAAGATGAAGATAATAACATCTCTCTTGTGAAGAAACCGAAAAGAGAATGGACTCTCAATGAAAAGTCGGCTGCAATCGCCAACTCGAAAGCCCTTTTCTCGATTTTTAATGCTGTAGATGAAACTCAAGCGAAGTTGATATCCAACTGCAAAGTTGCTAAGGAAGCATGGGACATCCTGGAAAATGCATTCGAAGGGTCTGTACAAGTTCGAGAATCAAAGCTGGATCATGTTGAAACCTTGTTTGAAGGACTGAAGATGAATGAAGATGAAACGATTGCTGATTATCATAACAGATTCATGGATGTTGTGAATCAAGCTGAAGCTCTTGGAATGCACTTCGAAGAAAAGAGACTGGTGAGGAAAATGCTTAAAAGTCTCACAAAAAATTTCAGACCGAAAGTGATCATGCTTGATGAACCACCAAAGCTGAGAAATATGACATTGGATGAACTGTATGGTACGTTGGTGAGCTATGAAATGAACTATATCGAAGATGAAGCACCCAAAAGCATGGCTCTAAATGCTGAAGACTTGAAGATGATAGAGTCTGATGAAGAAATGGCACTGCTGAGCCGTAAACTTTCACGAATGATTAGTGAGAAACGAGCTGCCAAGCTGAAGTTTGGGAAGTTTCAGAACAGAAATAGCTATCATGGAGGAGGAACATCCAGTTCTCAACGAAAATACCCTGAGCAGAAACCAACTACATACAACAAGCCAAAAGAAAGATTCGATGGGGAATTTAAGAAGAAGTTTGTGGTGTCTGCAAAACCAGAGACGGTTCAAGAACCTACCTGTTATGGATGTGGTGGAGTCGGACATATTAAATCAGAGTGTCCAACAGTAAAGAAGAGGGAAAAGAGAGTTTATCAAGCCATATGGAGTGACAATGAAGATGGTGAATCTGCTGGAGGTGAGGAACAGACAGAAAGTGATGAAGTGGTGGCATTTATGGCAAATGCTGGTGAAACCAGTAAAAGAAATGAGGAATCCAACCCGAAAGCTGCTGATGAGTCAAGGGAACTTGATGCTGAAGAGTTGATTGAAGCCTATGAGGAAATGGTAATCGAACAGAAGAAAGCTGTAGTGAAGAACAAGGAGATGCTGGAAACAATCTATCGTCTGGAAGATCAAAAAGAAAAACTTGAGGATGAACTTGAAAAACTGAGAAAGATTGCTGATGATAAATCTGCTGAATCACAGAAGTTGAAGTCAGAGAATTTGAAGTTGAAGGATGAAAATGATAGACTTCGGAAAGGAAAGGAAAAATTAGATGAAGTCCTTTCGATTGGTAAACCATTTGGTGATCACAAAGGATTGGGATTCTGTGAATCTTCTCAAAGTAAACCAACTACATTTGTGCGTGGTGGTTTGTTAACTGATGTCAAATTTCCAGAGAAGAATTCAGTATCTGTAAAGAAACAGAATCCAAAGAAGAGCAAAAACAGAAATTGGAACAGATATCGCAGAAGAACTCAGAATGACAGATCGTCGTTATTACAGCCTACTGACTGCAAGTACTGCATGTATCCTGGTCATTCAGCTGAGAAGTGTTTCAAACTGGCAAAGGATGTTATCAATGGGAAACACATTCGATGGCCTACAGAAGGTCTGAAACATAGCATCAAAGTCAAATTGGTGTGGATGCCTAAGGAAAGTCTGAAACAGGAGGAATGCAATGTGATTCTGTCAAGTCAAGAGTCTACCAGGGCAGATCGATGGTACTTTGATAGTGGTTGCTCGCGACATATGACTAATCAAAAAGAACTTCTGAAAAATTATGTTGAAGACCGAAGTGGAGATGTTATCTTTGGTGATGGTGCAAAAGGAAAAATCAGTGGATATGGCGCTCTTGAAAAAGAAGGAATTCCAAAGTTGTCGAAAGTCTACTATGTTGAAGGACTGAGTACAAACTTGATCAGCATCAGTCAACTTTGTGATGATGACTTACATGTGAAGTTCACGAAAAATTCATGTGAAGTATATGATACGGAACAAAAATGCGTGATGACTGGAGTTCGATCAAAGAACAATTGTTACCTGCTGGAATATCCTCAAATGGAAGCATTGATATTGAAAGATGATGAATCTATGCTGTGGCACACCAGATTGGGTCACGTCAATCCACAGAATCTATTGAGGATTAGCAAAATTGGAGCTATCAGAGGATTACCCAATTTTTCAAAGATCCCGATTACTACGTGTGGTGATTGTGCGAG